AATAACCAGTAATCCGACTGATGTATTTTTTTTTTCTTCTTTTCTATAAGAGCGCTCTTTTCTTTCCTTCGTACTTTTATTATTTAATATATTAATAATAATAAAAAAAAAATGTTAATCAGAATCTAATATTTATATATATACATATATATGTGTCGCATGTAAACAAAAAATCGACATTTTTTTTGTCAAATTTCGCACAATGAAAAAAAAATACACAAAGACATGAAATTTCTTTTCTAGAAAAAAGAATTTTCTTTTTTGGAAAAAAGAAAAAAAATTCAAAAAACGAAAAACTTTTTGTTAAAAAAAAGGTTTTTATAAGAATTACAAAATAAAATATTTGCAATTAAAATATTTTCAATTATAATTGAAATAAAATAATTAAAAATAGAATATTTTCAATTCCAATTGAAATGGAATTGCGAATAAATTGTTTGCAATTAAAATATTTTCTATTGAAATTAAAATAAAATAAACGAAACCAAATTGTTTTCCAATTAAAATTGAAATAAAATAATTGAAAAAATTTCCAATTAAAATTGAAATAAAATAATTGAAAAAATTTTCAATTAAAATTGAAATAAAATAATTGAAAATATTTTCAATTAAAATTGAAATAAAATAATTAAAAATAATTGAAACTAAAATGTTTGCAATCAGAATTGAAATACAATATTTTTAATTATAATTGAAAGGATATCATTGAAAATAAAAATTTGCAATTAAAATTAAAATAGAATTGCAAATAAAATATTTACAATTAGAATTGAAATATAATAATTGAAAATAAATTATTTCCAATTAAAATTAAAATAAAATAATTGAAATTAAATTTTTTGCAATTAGAATTGAAATACAATATTTTCAATTATAATTGAAAGGAAATAATTGAAAATAAAAATTTTCAATTAAAATTAAAATAGAATTGCAAATAAAAATAATTGAAAATAAATTGTTTGCATTTAGAATTGAAATGAAATATTTTCAATTCTAATTGAAATCAAAATAATTGAAACTAAATTGTTTGCATTAAGAATTGAAATAAAATATTTTCAATTCAAATTGAAATAAAAATAATTGAAACTAAATTGTTTGCAATTAGAGTTGAAATGAAATATTTTCAATTATAATTTATATAAAAATAATTGAAAATAAAATAATTGCAGTTAAAATATTTCCAATTAGAATTGAAATAAAATAATTGAGAATAAAATATTTTCAATTAAAATAAAAATTTCTATGCAAATAAAATATTTTGCAATTAAAATTAAAAAATACAGTTGCAAATAAAATATTTGCGATTATCAATAAATAACGAAATAAAAAAATACAAAATAAAAAAAAAATGAAACCATTTTCGAAAATTTCGATTTTTTGTAAACAGCGAGTGTTGTGTATTTAAACTAAAAAAAAAAAATGCAATACCGTGTATTGCGTGTTATCCTCAAGAGTTTGGAAAAAACTTTTCAAAGATTCTTTTTACGTGTCGCACATAACGGACAATTGTTATTTAATAATTTAACGGTGAAATGTGGATAAAAAAAAAAATGTTAAATAATTGCTAGCGATAGACGCCGAAATGAAATAATTACAAAAAAAATATATAAATATATACATAAATAAATAAATATAAAAAAATACGACTAAAAGAGAAAAAAAATTTCTCTAATCTAATTGTCGATGTTTTTTATTTTATTTTATTTTATTTTTTTTTTCGTTTTTTTTCGAATTCTTAGATATCAAGAATTTCATTGTCGACAGTTTGAAGAAAAAAAAAAGTCTTCTATTAATTATGTTAAAATATTATTGTGAAATATATTATATATAATTGTATATTATAATTATATAATAATTATAGAATTTTATTACATAATATAAAATATTATATTATATAATTATATTATATTATGTATATATATATAACAAATTTGTATCAATGTTATCGCCAGTGGATTGTGAAATAAATGTTTTTCTATTTAAAATTTGTCTTTTTTCTTCTTTTTCTTTGCCACAAAAATTTTATTTTATTTTTCACCTGCGACTTTTTCCTGATTTCCAAACAGAACTTCGACTTTTTCCCTGACTCTACTCTCTAAACTTGAATTAGCAATAATTAAATTAAAAATTAGTAAATTAGTAAATTTTACTAATTTTTTTTACTAAAAAATGAATAGAAATTACTATATTTATTTTTTTAGTAAAAAAAATTAGTAGAAATTATTATTTTTTAGTAAAATTTACAAATTCAAAAGCAAAAATTCTGTCACTAATTTAGAGAGACAAAGAATATTTTAATTCACTCTAAAAATAGTTAAATATTAAAAAAAAAAAAAAAATGTTTGTGGTACATTTACTTTTCAAAATCTTTAATATTATAAAATTATTCGAAACTTTGACAGCTTTTTGAAAATAAATATTTAATAATTATTATTATTTTTCCACAGGAAATAAGATTTTTAAAATTTTCAAATTTCAAATCATTTGAAATTTAATAATTTACAAGAATTGCGAACAAAACTTTCTTTCTAAAGAATTTTATCAGAAATTTTTGAAAATAATTGTATTTATTCTGGCAATTTTATAAAAAATTTATTTATAATTAAATTCTTTTGAGAAATTTAATTTAAATATTTTGAAAATAATTAAATTTTTTTGGAGAATTTTTTAAGTAATTAAAATATTATTTTTTTGTATAAAAAATAATTGAAAATGTAGTGAAGAATTTTATTAAATTTTTGTAAAAGTAATTGAATTTTTAGAAAAATCTTTATTCAATTTTAGGAAAATAATTGAATTTTTGAGTAAAATTTTATTATATTTATTTAGAAGAATTGAATTTTTGGAAAAATTTCCATCAATTTTAGGAAAATAATTGAATTTTCTGCTAAGAACTTTCATTATTTATGAAAATAATTTAATTATATTTTAAAGAATTTTATTAAAATTTATGAAAATAATTGAATTATTATAAAGAGAATTCTAAAAAAAATTTATGAAAATAATTGAACTTTTTCCGCAGAATTTTATTATTTATTCGAAGAATAGAGTTTTTGCGAAAAAATTGCATCAATTTTGGGGAAAAAATTATTCAATTCTTGCTAAGAATTTTATTATTTATGAAAATAATTGAATTTTTGCGAAGAATTATATTATTTTTTAAAAATAATTGAATTTTTGTCAAGAGTTTTATTATTTTTGAAAATAATTGAATTTTTGAGTAGAATTTTATTATTTTTTAAAATAATTGAATTTTTGTCAAGAATTTTATTATTTTTGAAAATAATTGAATTTTTGAGTAGAATTTTATTATTTTTTAAAATAATTGAATTTTTGTCAAGAATTTTATTATTTTTGAAAATAATTGAATTTTTGAGTAGAATTTTATTATTTTTTAAAATAATTGAATTTTTGTCAAGAATTTCATTTGTATTTTTCAAAATAATTGAATTTTTGAGTAGAATTTTATTATTTTTTAAAATAATTGAATTTCTCAGAAGAATTTTATCATTTATAAAAATAATTGAATTTTTGAAAGAAGAAACTAATGAAGAATTTCATTAAAAAATTTTTTTAAATAATCCAATTCTTGAGAAGAATTCTATTTACTTTTTTTTTTCAAAATAATTGAATTCTTGTTAACAAATTTTATTGTTTTTCAAAAAAATAATTAAATTCCTACAAAAAAAAAATTTAATAATTTACAAAAATAATTAAATTTTTGTGAAGAATTTAATTTAAATTCTTGAAAATAATTGAATTCTTGAGGAGAATACTATTCAATTTTTTTCAAGATAATTGAATTCTTGTCAAGAAATTTTATTATTTATGAAAATAATTGAATTCCTGACGAGAATTTCATTATTTATAAAAAATAATTGAATTTTTGCTAAGAATTTTATTGTTTATGAAAATAACTGAATTTTAGTGAAAATATTTGATTATTTATTGGAAGAATTAAATTTTTTAGAAGAATTTGATTTATTTTTTTTAAATATAAATAATTGAATATCTTCTAAGAATTTTTTTTTTAAATCTTTAAATTTCTATATGAATAATTTTATTATTTTTGAAAATAATTGAATTCTTGCTAAGAATTTTATTATTTATGAAAATAATTGAATACTTGCCAAGAATTTTTTTTAAATAATTGAATTCTTTCGATGAATTTCAATTATTTATGAAAGTAATTGAATTCTTTCGATGAATTTCAATTATTTATGAAAGTAATTGAGTTCTTGTTGCAGGTAGTTTTTTTTATTATTTATATGCAAATAATAAAAATAATGAAAATTCTCTTTTTTTAAAATCGTTTTTCTTTATTTTTGTTTTGCTGTTCGAAAGTTGGAAAATTTTCATTTTTTTTCTAAGTATTTGAAATAAAAAACACGATTGTCGTGTAATTTCCTTTTTTTTATTGCAATTATTCCTCCTTTTCTTTCAAATCGGCACGTAAATGTTTTTTTTATATAAATGCTTCCCCTAAATACAAGAAAATTACTTAAAAAAAAAAAAAAGAAAAATCCGAGAAGTTAATCGCAATTATTTCGAAAGAAATGTACATTTTTATTCCCCAACGATTGTCATCTCGGAATTCATTCATATTTATATGTATATACCCATTATTACATTCTTAACTTCAAATTACAATAATTAATTAAATTACCTTCCTTTTTTCCATTTCCAATTTTTCAAGTTTTCTTTCGTCAAATAATTATTATTCCATTTTACAAACGTTCTCTTCTTTTTTGGCAGCACGTGTTATCGCTACAATTGTTTTTTTTTTTAAATCTCTAATGCGAGAATCCTAAAATCTCAAAAAAATTAATGAGGATTCTCCATTCATCTTTTTTATGATAATTTATGTCAGACTATTATTACTATTTTTATTATTAATATTATTATTACTATTATTACTATTATTATTATTATTATTATTACTATAATTATTATTATTACTATTATTATTATTATTATTACTATTATTATTATTATTACTATTAATATTAATATTATTATTATTATTATTCCTATTATTAAAATTATTATTATTACTATTTTTTTTTTGCTTTACGATAAATTTCTTTTCTTTTTCTCAAAATAATCTATTTTCGAAAAAAAAATGCGGTAAATTAATTGTGCGCCGTAATTCAAGTGATTGTTCTTCACAAAATTCGCTCGTAAAAAAGAAGGTACGCTTGAGATTTGAGAACTGTATTTTCGTCTGTTTCGGTTACCCTAAAAAATGAAATTTTCTATTATTATTATTATTATTATTACAATTTTTTTTTCAATTTTCTGCATAATTTCGATTTTCCAATAGAAATTATAAAGAAAATTTATAGTTTTTTTTTAATAAAAAAATATTAGGGGGAGGGGATGAAAAAATTACCTCGAGTCGGAAATATAGTACCATTGTCCCGGAAGTGATTCGACATTTGAAGAATTAGAAATTTTCTCGCTCTTTTCTTCCGAATTCGTAGTTTCATTATTTTCAAGTGTCTCTGATTCCGTTGATTCTTGTTTTGGAAGAAACGACCATCGAGGATCATCTGGACTCAGCGGTTGTCTTGTCTGAATTAGAAACAGAAAATTAACTAGCAATTAATTAAATTTCAAAAAACGAAATGAATTTTAAGAAAGTTAATTAAATTTCAAAACTACTAAACGAATTTTAAGAAATTAAATTTCAAAACTAAATTAAATAAAATTTCAAAACTCAATTCAATATTGAGAAACTAATTCAAAAACTAAATTAAAATCAAGAAATTAAATTACAAAAAATTTTAAATAAAAAAATGAAAAAAAAATACAAACCTTGACGTAAGCAACATAATGTCCACCGTAAAGTGTCCCACTGTGCTCAACAACACCATAAAGCGAATAAACTTTCGGCACATCGTGATTTTCACAAATAGGCGCCAAATTCAGTACTGTTGGAAATTTCACATATTTCGTTACTTTACTAAATGACATTCTGTGCGATTGAAAACGTTTTAAATGCAGAATCAAAACAGCCGGTACATTTGAGATGAGATATTGCTTTGTACTTGGCGTACGAACCATTTTACCATTTTCTTTACCCTGAAATTTTTAATTTTTTTTTTTTTTAAGAAAATTAAAATTCAATAATTTTATTCATTTCTACAAAATTTTAATTACAAAATTAAATTCCTATTAAGAAAGAATAAATAATTATTTGTTCTCAATTCGTTAATAATAATAAATAATCCTAATAGTCATCATCTATCTTTTTATATTATTGGATAATTATTGGAACAACTCGTGTAAAAATTGCCAAGATATTTCTAACAACTTGAATGTATATTTTTTTATTAAATAATTGAACTTTCGAGTAGATACTGGAATAATAATTGAATGTCTGTGTGACATTTTATTTAACATTTTTGAAAATAATTGAATTTTCAAAAAGAAATTTATTACTTAAAAAAAAATTCAATTCTTATAATGAATATTTGTTATTTATGAAAATAATTGAATTTTGCAAATAATTTTATTAAAATGCCTCAAAATAATTGAATTTTCGGGAATAATTTTGTTATTTATCTTTAATAACTGAATTCTTTCAAAGACTTATTTATGTAAACAATTTAATTCTTGGGAAGAATTTTAATACAATCTAAAAGAATAATTAAATTATTTTAAAAAAATTTAACAGGATTGCCACGAAAATTTAATTTTGTTTTTCCCTAACTTTTCCCTGATTTACAGACAACATTTTCACTTTCTCCCTGACCCTGAAGAATATACCGATTCACTCCAAAAATTATTAGATACTCAAAGAAATGTTCTATTACATTTATATTTACGAATTTCTTTAAGTGAAAAATTATTCGATAACATCAATAACTTCTTTTTTAAATAAATAATTCATCATTATTATTTTTCCATAGGAATTAAGGATTTCAAATCCAAACCTTCTCAAATTAAACTTATCAAAAATTGTTATAAAACATGCAGAAATCGATCACTTTCTTCACGCTTTATAATAAATTTAAAATTACAGAGTGATAAAATCATTATTTTATATTATAAGAATATTGCAACTATAAATTTGAATTTTCAAAGATTTTCATTTTTTAACCCTTTTCAAAATTCACTTATTTATCAAAATTCACGCTACGATGCTTTTAATATTCAATTATAATTTCAAATTTTAAGTGAAATTCATTTTTAATCAATTTTTATTAGAACATTCTACGAGAATTCAATTATTTAAATACAAAGATAAATAATTTATTAAATAATTGACTATTTCTTAAAATTGAATTTTTTTAAAGAAATTCTTAAAAAATTCTAAAAATAATTGAATTCTTTCGGCGAATTTCAAAAAAAATCATAAAGAATAAATGCAATTTTCTATCTGTTTATGTAAAATTGTACATAAAAAATTATTGAAACTCTGCTATAAATATTGTTATTTATAAAAGTAATTTAATTCTTGCAACGAATTTTATTAAAAATTTTCTTAAAGAATTAAATTCCTGTGAAGAAGATTTTATTTCTGAAAATAATAAATTGAATTCCGGAGAAAAATATTATTATTTATGATATTAAATTAATTTCTTATGAAGAATTTTATTCAAATTTTTTAAATAATTGAATTTCTCAGAATTTTTTATAACATTTTGAAAATAATTAAATTCCATCGATTAAATTTCATTGAAAAATTGAAAATAATTGAAATCTTGACGAAGAATTTTATTAAATTCTTTTTTAAAATAAGTCAATTATTGTGAAAAGTTTTATTTTTGAAAAAAAATTGAATTCTTAGGAAGAATTTAATTAAAATTTCTTCAATAATTGAATTGCTTCGAAGATTTTTTATTTTTTAAGAAAATAATTGAATTGTTTCGAAGATTTTTACAAATATTTTTGACAGTAAAATTGTAATTCCTATAAGGAATGTTATATTTTACGAAAATAATTGAATTGAATAAGAAAATTTTATTAAAATTGCAATATTATTAACTAAATCTTGTAAAGAATTTTGTCAAAATTTTTTTAAATAATAGAATTTTTAAAAGAGGAAAATTTTTGAAAATGATTTAAATTTTGCAAAGAATTTTATTCAATTTTTTGAAAATAATTGAATTTCGGAGAAGAATTGTATTATTTATGATATTAATTAATTTCTTGTGAAGAATTTTATTCAAATTTTTTAAATAATTGAATATCTCAGAATTTTTTATAACATTTTGAAAATAATTAAATTCCATCGACAGAATTTCATTAAAAAATTGAAAATAATTGAAATCTGACGAAGAATTTTATTACATTTTTTTTTTAAATAATTGAATTCTTGTAAAGAATTTTGTCAAAATTTTTTTAAATAATAGAATTTTTAAAAGAATTTTATTTAAATTTTTCGAAATAATTGAATTTCTCAGAACTATTTTTTTCTATTCTTTGAATATATTTGAATTCTTTCGATAAACTTTATTATTAAAAATTAAAAATAATTGAATTGGTGCGAAGAAATTTATAAAAAATTGGAAAGTAATTGAATTCCTGTGAAATTTTTATTAAAATTTTGTTTAAATAATTGAATTCTTTTAGAAAATTTTATTATAATAGTAGATATTAAAAATAATTGAAATGAGGAAAATTTTTGAAAATAATTGAAATTTTGCCAAGAATTTTATTAAATTTTTTGAAAATAATTGAATTTTGGAGAAGAATTGTATGATTTATAAAAATAATTGAAATTTTGACGAGAATGTTTATAAATTTTTGAAAATAATTGAATTTCTGTAATCAGTTGTTCTTAAAATTTCTATTTAAATTGATTAAAAGTTGAAATTTTTTCAAATTTCATATTGAAGCCTTTGAAGTTGATCTATTTATGCAGATTTGAAACGCAACTCTTTTGAAATGTAATTAATTTTGAAAATTTTGAAGTAATATTATTCATTAAATAATTTTTGAGTAATAATTTGATGATAGTTGTTGAAGAATGAAGTTCTTTAAAAAGAAATTATTGTCAGAAACAGAAAAAATTAAAAGTTTTGTATTAAAATTCTTGTTAATTTCATAGTTTAATTAATTCATTCAAAATTGAAATTTTACAAAATTTCAAACTACAACCTTTTGAAGTTTAAAAAATTAAATTAAATGAAAAAACGATAAATTTCGTCCCAGAAAAAGAAAAAAAAATGTACCTTATTTTCCCTGGCAGTGCAAGCCTCACATCCAACGGCATTATTATTAGCCATTAATTCCTTCGCAGTGAATTGATTTAAACATGATTGAATGGAAAATTCTCCCTCGCACGTTGTGTATCGCGAGGGCGATTGACTCACTTGACTAATTTTCATTTGCGACATCTCACTTCTTATTTTTTCCACACCATTTGTTTTCGAATAATCATTATTACATTCGTTATTAACTTTCGAATTCACCTTTTTGTCCTCCTTCTCTTCCCGCGCGTACCTAACAAAACAAATTTCAAAAATTTCAAAAAACAAAAGAAATACAAAAAAATAGAAAAACAAATTACAAAGAAACAAAAAATAGAAAATTACAAACAAAATTATATAATTAAAAATAAATTACAAAGAAGTGAGAAACTTCGAGTTTAATAAAAGTTGAAAAAAATTAATTCACTGATTAATTTTTACATAAAAAGTAAGTTAAAGTTCGAGTACCTTAAAGACTTTTCCTCAGTGTCCTCTCCATTTTCTTTCGTCTCCTCCCCATTATCATTGACAATTAATTTCTCGTCATTCACTTCCTTCTCATTCACTGGACTCGACGATGAACTTTCACTGGAATTATTCACATTTGTAATTAAATTATTTTCTGGCAATTCATCATTATTCAATGGCGATTCATCGAGAAATTGTTTATCATTTTTTACATTTGAAATCTCTAGATTTAATTCAATAAATTTCTGTAATTTACTACTATCATCATCATCATTATTATCATTATTATCATTATCGTCTTCATTATTATCAACAACCATTGAATTCATTTTCTCTTGACTATTTCCATTTTCCACTAATTCGCAATTATTTTCAATCGATTCACATTCATTCATTGAATTCACAGTTGAATCGTTTCTTATTTCATTTGAAGAATCATTATCGGGTGAGGCTGGACTCGTTAATTGAGACGGTTTCTCTGAACTATAACCAGATTCATTTATTTCTTGTGATTTGGAATTTGATTCTGTGTCAGCGTCCGTCTCGGCATTATCCTCCGCATCTGATTCGCTTCCTGTTGAAAATTATTTTTCCAAAATTAAGTACATGAAAATGCTTTTCAAAAATTCAATTATTTCCAAAAATTTTACAAACATTCTTCTAAAAAAATTCATTTCTAATAAAATTTTTTACAGAAATTCAATTATTTTCAAAAAAATTTCTCAAAAAAAAATTCAATACAATTTAAAAAAAAATTGATAAAATCTTTCGCAAAAATTCAAATATTTTTTTAAAATTTTAATAAAATTCTTTATAAGAAATAAAGTATTTTTTTCATACGAATTTTAATTTTAAATTTCTCGAAAAAAGTTATGAATTTTTTTCAAAAAAAATATTAAAGAACTCTTCACGAAAATTCAATTACTTTCAGAAAATAATAAAAATTTATGAAAAAAATTCAATTATTTTTTTAAATAATGAAATTCTCGTCAGGAATTCAATTATTTTCATAAATAATGAAAATTCTTGACAAGAATTCAATTATTTTCAATAAAAATTTCTCAAAAACAAAATTGATAAATTTTTTCGCAAAAATTCAATTATTTTTAAAAATTTTAATAAAATTCTTTATAATAAGAAATGAAATATTTTTTTCATACGAATTTTAATTTTAAATTTCTCGAAAGAATTTATGAATTTTTTTTTTCAAATAATGTAATTATTCTCAATAATTCAATTTCTTTTGAATATTTAAATAAAATTCTTGACAAGAATTCAATTTTTTTTAAATTATAAAATTTTCTGATAAAATTCAATTATTTTCATAAATAATAATAAAAAATTCTTGATAAGAATTCAATTATTTTTTTTAAATAATAAAATACTCGTCAGGAATTCAATTATTTTCATAAATAATAAAAATTCTTGACAAGAATTCAATTATTTTTTGAAAATAATAAAATTTTCTGCAAAAATTCAATTATTTTCAAAAATAATAAAAATTTTTGAAAAGAATTAAATTTTTTTTAAATAATAAAATTCTTTGTCAGAAATTCAATTATTTTCAAAAAATAATAAAATTCTTAGTAGAAATTTAAAAATTTTCCAAAAATATTTATAAAACACTTCACAAAAATTCAATTATTTTCAGAAAGTAATAAAAATTCTTGACAAGAATTCAATTTTTTTTTTAAATAATAAAATTTTCGTCAGGAATTTAATTATTTTCATAAATAATAAAAAGTCTTGAAAAGAATTCAACTATTTTTTAAAATAATAAAATTCTTCATTATTTTGAAGAATTTCTAAAAGTTTTTTTTTTGAAAATAATGTAGTTTTTTGAATAATTTTAATTGAAAATTTTGAAAATAATTGAATTAAACAAAAAAATTTTCAACTTTTTCAAAGTAATCGTGTCTATTAATAATTATAATTAAATATTTGATTATTATTGAAGTCTATTAAAATTATATTGAAAATAATTGAATTTCTCAGAAGTGTTTTATTATTTATGAAAAATAATTTAATTCCTGCTTAGAATTTTACTATTTATAAAAATATTTGACTTATATTTCGAAGGATTTATTAAAATTTTTTTAAATAATTGAAGTTTTGCAAAAAATATTATTAAAAATAAAAAAAAATTGAATTCTTTCATGTAAAATTTTACTAAAGTTGTATTAAAAATAATTGAATTTTTGCAAACAATTTGACTACAAATAAAAATAATTAAATTGTTTCGAAAGGTTAATTAAAATTTTAGAAAATACAAATTGAATTCATTTCAAAAAATTTATAGCCAATTAGGAAAAAAAATTGATTTCTTTCATGAAATTTTATTGAAAATAATTGAATTTTTGCAAAGATTTTACTATTTAAAAAAATAATTGAATTCTTCCATCAAATTTTATTAAAATTTTATTGAAAATAATTGAATGTTTTTTAAGAATTTTACTATTTATTAAAATAATTTAATTCTTGTCAAGAATTAAATTTCTTTATAAAAATTCAATTATTTCAATTCTTTTTTTTAATTCTAAATGAAATGATATAAAAGTAATATTTTTATTTCATTGAAAACAATTTGGTATAAACCTTTGGGTTCGAAACGAGTTTAAATAAATAATATAATCGTATTTTTGAAGAATTCTAATGAAAATTGCGCTTTTTTAATTGCTTTTTTAATTTTTGATTTTGTAATCGAATATTGAATAAATTGCGCTTTTTTAATTTTTAAATTTTGTAACCGAATATTGAAATAAACTTTCATACCCGACGCCGAGTAATTCTTCTGCTTTGAATTCTTGGATTTCGCAACTCTCTTCATTCGTTTTCTCGATGATTTGTGCGCATTTTTCGACGAATTATTGCTATTCATTAAATCGAATGCGTCCTCGAAACCACTGCTTTTCCTCCTGTTTTTAAAAAAAATACAATTTTAGTTTTTTTTTTTTTTTTGCTTTTAAACATCAAAAAAATAATGTCTTTTTAAAAAAAGAAAAATTCACCTATGAGATGGCGGTTGTGGTTTATCGACCATAACTGGTAGACTGAGATCTAAAAATGATTCGGTTCTTCTTGTCGAATGATGACACTCGAGACATTCGAGTGTAGAAACGAGAATACCTTTGAAAACCGGCTCAGTGCCCAATAAACGTGCACTCGCCTGATGTCCATATAATTTCAGTTTCCACACTTTATCGTCATCATTATTCTTTGCTTTTTTATACAAGTCAAGATTTTTTAATATTATTTCCTGATAACGCTGAAAAAATACATTTTTTTTCTTAATAAAAAAAAAAACTTGTTTTTTAATTGAAAATTTTCTTTTTAATTGAAAAAGAAATGTTTTTAATTAAAAATCTTCTGTTTTAATCGAAAAGGAAATGTTGGAATTGAAAATTTTCTTTTTGAAAAAAAAGAAAAAAAAAAGAAAAGAAAGGTTTTAATAAAAAATCTTCTTTTTAATTGAAAAAGAAATGTTTAAATTGAAAATCCTCTTTTTAATTGAAAAACAAATGTTTAAACTAAAAATTTTTCTTTTTAACTAAAAAAAAAGGAAATATTAAAATTAGTTAAATTGTGAAAAATTAAAAATTTCGTTTTTCTTTAAATTGTAAAAATTTGGTAATTAAAAGAAAAAATCGTACGCGAAGATCTTCACTGCGAACTTGTTCCAATAAATGCCTCAAAAGTTCGTGTGAATCGTGTTGACCACCGTCCATGCATTGCGTATTCTTTTTCCGCAAACTATTCAAAAGTTCACTTGGTTTATAAGTTTCGCCATTTGAATTTTGCATGTCGGTTAAAGTTTTCTGTAGAACTTGAGTCAAGGAGCATTCTTTGTCCAAAGTTCCCTCAATTGGTGGCTGAAATTTAGAAAGAAAAAAATTTTATTTTACAATTATGCAAATTAAAAAAAAAATTAGAAATTAAGAACTTAAAATTAATTAAAAAAAAAAATTCAATTAAACTTTTTGAGAAAAATTAATATACTAAATTTCCTTAAAAATCTTTGTCAACAATTTAATTATTTTTATAGATAATAAAATTATTCGCAGGAATTCAATTATTCTCAAAAAATGTTGAATAAAATTCTTCGAAATAATTCAATTATTTTGTAAAATTGACAAAATTCTTCGCAAAAATTCAATTATTTTAACAAAATTGATAAAATTCTCAGCAAGAATTCAATTATTTTCAAAAATGATAAAATTCTTCGTAAATATTCAATTATTTTCAATATTTTATTGACATTTTTGAAAATAAATTACATTTTTCGAGGAATTCGATTAAAATTGTATTAAAAATAATTGAAATTTTGCAATAAGTTAATTTATTTAATAATTGAATTATTGCGAAGAAATTTTATGAAAAAATTTATTTCTTGAAAATAATTCAATTCCTGTAAAAAAAATTTAATTACTTTTGGTGAATAATTTAATTCCTGTAAAGAATTTTATAAAAAGTTTTTAAATAATATTGAATTCCTGTGAAGCTTTTATTAATTTTTAAAAGTAATTGAATCGCTGCGAAGAATATGATTGTTTTTTTTAAATAACTGAATTCCTGTGAAGAATTATAATACTTTTCGAAAATGATTGAATTCTCGAGAAGCATTTTATTAAAAAGTTTTCAAAATACTTTTAATTCCGGCGAAGACTTTTAATATTTATGGAAATATTTGAATTTCTGTGAAGAATTTTATTGCTTTTTTTTGAAAATAATTGAATTTCTGCAAAGGATTTTAATAAAGTTTGAAAAATAATTCAATTCTTGCAGAAGAATTGTAATTATTTATAAGAATAATTGAATTTTTGAGAAGAATTTAATTATCTATAATAATTATTGAATTTTTGGGGAAGAATTTTCCTGTTTTTTTTTAAAGTAATTGAATTTCTATGAATAAATTTTTTAAAAGTTATCAAAATAATTGAATTCCTGCGAAGAATTTTATTAAATTTGAAAAATAATTTAATTTTATTAACTTTTTGAAAATAATTGAATTTTGCTATTCATTTATAAATAAAATTGAAATATTTACAATTTTTTTTTAGATTTTCTGAAAACAATTGATTTTCTGCAAAGAATTTTATTGTTTTTTGAAAATAATAATTGAATTTCTTCGAAGAATTTTTTTTATTTTTGAAAAATAATTGACTTTCTGTAAAGATTTTATTAGATTTTTAAAAATAATTGAATTTCTACGAAAAATTTTAATAAATTTTGAAAATAATTGAAATCCTGTGAAGAATTTGAGTATTTTTAAAAAAAATAAATGAATTCCATCGAAAAATGTGTTATTTATAAAAATAATTAAATTACATTTAAATAATCTGAGAAATTATTAAAGTTTTGAGTACAATTTTAGTTAAAAATTTTTAGATTACATTTATCGAGGAATTCCATTGAAATTTTATTAAAAAGAATTGATATTTTGCAAATGAGTTTTATTGTTCATAAAAATATGTAATTGAATTCTTGTCAAGAATTTCAATTATTTATGAAAATAATTGCATTTTTGTTGAAGAGTTTTATTAATCTTTTTTGAAAAATATTTATGTTTCTACGAAAATTTCAATTATTTATGAATATAATTGAATTTTGCGAAGAATTTTGTTAAATTTTTATGAAAACTATTTAATTCCTTTCAAGAATATTATTATTTATGAAAATAATTGTTTTTTATAAAAATTCCTGAAAATAATTGAATCTCGACGAAGAATTTTGCTATTTATAAAGATAATGAAAATGTTGACGAGAATTTTTTAAAAAATTTTAATAATAATTTAATTTCTGGAAAGTTTTTTAATTTATATTTAAAGATAGTTGAATTCTTTCAAAGAATTGCGTTAAACTTTTTAAAAATTGAAACTAATTTTATCAGAATTGAAATAAAAATGTTTTCAAATTATTATTATTTTATATTATTTTCAATACAATTTCAATAAATATTATATAATATTAAAAAGAATTAAAAAAAAATGGAAATTGATTATTGAAAATAAAAAAATTAGTATTAAATTATTAAAAATAAAAAAAAAATTACCAGTAAAATTTTCTCGGTACCTCCCGGCTTTTTGTACATTCCACCGGGAAGGACAAATGTTTGTCCAGGTATTTGCATGTCTTCGAGGACCTTCAACAAAAATGGCGTTTGCGCCAAGCACTGAAGGACTGCATTGAAAAAACAAGTGTTACCTAAATTCGATAGTCCCTGAAAATAATAAAAAAAAATATATTAAAAATTCTTTAAATTTCTTTCAGAAAAAAGAAATTTACAATATTAAAATTTTTCTTTAAAGACAAAAGACTTTTTTTTTGTTTACTTACAACTACTTTTGTAAATCCGACTTCAAATTTTACTTTCACTTTTTTCAATTCCGCTACTTCTTTCTTTGAGGCTTTCGGCGATGATTTCTTTCTCTTTGTCGCTTCAGTCGACATTCTTATAATATCAGTCACAAGTCGAGACATACGAAAACTGAAAATAAAAATAAAAAAATTTTACATTTCTATATTTTTTTTTTCTTAATAATTTATTTATAACGTATTTTTTTCTTTTTCCCTTTTTATTAAAATTTACAATTTTCGTTTGCAATTTTCTCTCATTTTTCTATATTTTTTTGCTTAATAATTTATTTAAAAAGTATTTTTTTCTTTTTCCCTTTTTATTAAAATTTACAATTTTTGTTTGCAATTTTCTCTCATTTTTCTATATTTTTTTTTGCTTAATAATTTATTTATAAAGTATTTTTTTCTTTTTCCCTTTTTATTGAAAATTACAATTTTTTTCTGCATTTTTCAAATATTTTTTGGTCCCGAAGATACCGCGGAAAATGTGAAAATAAAAGAATAAATTTAAAACAAAAAATTAAAATCGATGAAAACAGAACATTTTTGTTTAAAAATGAAAGAGAAAAATTCGTCTACTTTTGTTTTTTTTTGCGTTTTTATAATTGCTTTTGAAAAAAGGATAAAATTACCATGATTTTGGATTAATATAACCATTGCATTGATAACACCAGAGTTTCCATTCATAAGTGTCAATAACTAAACAATGTGAACCTGTTCTTGGAGTATTAAAATGTTGATTCGCATGATTTCTGTCACTATTTCCGCAAGCTTGATTTCCACATTGTAGACACATCCACATTCCCGGCGGACATGGTTCAATCTGAAAAATTTCAATTTATTAACAATTTATATATTTATTTAATTATTAATTCAATTTTCTACAAATTTTAAATTCTTTTTCAACTTTTTACTATAAATTCGTTGATAGAATTCTAGTAGTTTCAAAAAATAAAATTGACAAAAATTATTCAAAAGAATTAAATTATTTTCAAAGAAATAGTAAACAAAATTCTTTGCTGCAATTCAATTATTTTTAAATAAATAATAAAATTTTTCGGAAGAATTCAATTATTTATGTAAATAAAAATATTCTTTGAAAGAAATTAACTAATTTTCAAAAAAATTTGATAAAATTCTTCTCAAGAAATTCAATTATTTACATAAATAACAATATTCATCACAAGAATTCAATTATTTTCATAAATAATACAAATTCTTGATAAGCAATGAATTATTTAGTAAAATAATTGAACTTTGTGCAGAAAATTTTGTTATTTAAAAAAATAATTAAAATTCTTGATAAGAATTCAATTATTTTCATGGACAATAAAACTCATTGCAAAATATCAATTCTTTTTAATAAAATTTCAATGGAATTCCTCGAAAAATGTAATCTAGAAATTTTAACTAAAATTATACTCAAAACTTTAATAATTCCTCAGATTATTTAAATGTAATTCAATTATTTTTATAAATAACACATTTTTCGATGGAATTCATTTATTTTTTTTTTAAAATACTCAAATTCTTTACAGGATTTCAATTATTTTAAAAATTTATTAAAATTCTTCGTAGAAATTCAATTATTTTTAAAAATCTAATAAAATCTTTACAAAAAGTCAATTATTTTTCAAAAATAAAAAAAATTCTTCGAAGAAATTCAATTATTATTTTCAAAAAACAATAAAATTCTTCGCAGAAAATCAATTATTTTCAGAAAATCAAAAAAAAAAATTGTAAATATTTCAATTTTATTTATAAATTAAGAGCAAAATTTTTTTTAATAATTACCCCATCTTCAACAACTGGAGGTGTAATTTTATTCTCATTCTCGCATTTCTCGCATTCTCTAAGAACTCCGATTTTAGAAATCGTTTTCCTTGATTCAATTAAATTAAGGGCCTTTTCACTGTGTTTACATTTTTCACCTTGAACAGAAAGCAAAATTTAATTATTATTATTATTCAACTTTTTTAAAAAAAACTATTACAAAATTATTTTTGACAATCTTTAGAAAACAAATTTTTCATTTTTTAAACTTTAAGCGCTTTTTTTAAAATGAAAAAGAAAACAAAATGTAATGAGAAAGTAACAAAAAAATACAAACAAACGAAATGAAACAAAAACAAGAAAAATACAAAATGTAACGAGAAAATAATGAAAAAAACAAAATGAAACAAGAAAATAATAAAATAACAAAATAACAAAATGAAACGAAAAGAAAGAAAAAAAAATAAAATGTAACAAGAAAAACACAAAATGAAACGAGAAAAGAAGAAAAAAAGGAGAGGAGAAACAAATAAAATTAAAAATTAAGAAAATGAAACAAAAAAAAGAGATGGAAAAAAATTCAATTATTTTTCCAAAATTAAGTACATGAAAATGCTTCTCAAAAATTCAATTATTTCCAAAAATTTTACAAACATTTTTCTATAAAAAATTCATTTAAAAAAAAATTTGTTACAGGAATTCAATTATTTTCAATAAAATTTCTCAAAAAGAAATTCAATTAATTTTAAAAAAAATTGATAAAATCTTTCGCAAAAATTCAATTATTTTTAAAAATTTTAATAAAATTCGATATAAGAAATAAAGCAATTTTTTCATACAAATTTTAATTTTAAATTTCTCGAAAGAACTTTATGAATTCTTTTTCAAAAAATGTAATTATTCTCAATAATTCAATTTCTTTTGAATATTTAAATAAAATTCTTGACAAGAATTCAATTTTTTTTAAATTATAAAATTTTCTGATAAAATTCAATTATTTTCATAAATAATAATAGAAATTCTTGATAGGAATTCAATTATTTTTTCAAATAATAAAATTCTCGTCATGAATTCAATTATTTTCATAAATAATGAAAAATCTTGACAAGAATTCAATTATTTTTTAAAATAATAAAATTTTCTGCAAGAATTCAATTATTTTCATAAATAATAAAAATTCCTAAAATGAATTCAATTTTTTTTTTTAAATAATAAAATTTTCGTCAGGAATTTAATTATTTTCATAATTAATAAAAAATCTTGAAAAGAATTCAATTATTTTTTTAAAATAATAAAATTCTTTATTCGAAATTCAATTATTTTTTTTAAATAATGAAATTCTTGTCAGGAATTCAATTATTTTTAATAATAAAAATTTTTGAAAAAAATTCAATTATTTTTTTAAATAATAGAATTCTTGTCAGGAATTGAATTATTTTCATAAATAATGAAAATTCTTGACAAGAATTCAATTATTTTTTAAAATAATACAATTTTCTGGAAAAATTCAATTATTTTCATAAATAATAAAAAATTCTTCAAAGGAATTCAATTATTTTTTTTTAAATAATAAAATTCTTCGTCAGGAATTCAAATATTTTAAAAAAATAATTAAATTCTTAGAAGAAAATTTAAATAATTTTCCAAAAATATTAATAAAACTCTTCATAAAAATTCAATTATTTTCACAAATAGTGAAAATTATTGACAAGAATTCAATTATTTTTCTCAAGTATTAAAATTTTCTGCAAATATTCAATTATTTTCATAAATAATAAAAATTCTGGACAAGAATTCAATTCTTTTTTTTAAATAATAAAATACTCGTCAGAAATTTAATATTTGCATAAATAATAAAAATTCTTGACAAAAATAGAAAATAGAAGAAGAAAAAAAACAGAATGAAACGAGAAAAAAATTTAATTACAAAATAAGAAAATTGAAACGAAAAGAAAGAAAATAAAAAAAAATGTAACGAGAAAATAACAAAAAAAATAAAATGTAACAAGAAAAATACAAAATGAAACGAAAAAAGAGGAAAAAAATTACGGAATGAATGGAGGAAAAAAATAAAATAACAAAATGATACCGAAAGGAAAGAAAAATAAAAAAACAAAACAAGAAAAGAAGAAAATATAAAATTAAACAAAAATAGAAGAAAATTCAAAATTAAACAAAAGTAGAAGAAGAAAACAGAATGAAAGGAGAAAAAAAATAAAATAACAAAATTGAATGAAATTCAACGAAAAGAAAGAAAAAGAAAAACATATTAAATCAAAAATATGGAGAAAATTTTTCGATAAACAGTTATACTCTCAATACGATTATTTAACGGAACAAAACAAAAATTAAACTGAAGAATAAATTAAAATGAATTCTCTTTTTGATTATATTAAATATAATTTCTAAAAGATAAAAGCATCTTACCTGTATAAGGTTCTCCAGTTCCTTTGAAACTTCCACAAGTACATTCAGCGTCAATCAACATCATTTTTTTTCTCCGAAAAAATTAAGTTACAATTGACCCAAGAATTAATCACTTTATCACATTCGTAATTTCCGTAATATCCTATTTTATAATATACGATATGGACAAAAAAATCTTTCACAGCACTCTCTAACTCTCCCTCTCTTTTTTTTTCTCTAAAAAAAAGAAGAAAAATTTCCCGAATTCATCTCTAACCTCAAAAATTTACTGCTCTACTTTTATAATAAATAACACATTAATATAATAATTCAACAACAAAAAAAGAACACCACAATACTGAAAAAATATCAACAAATAAATTTTTAACACACAAAAATTAAAATCAAAAAAATAAAACAAAAAACAAGAATGACAATGGCGATCAGGTTTTTGATTAAAAATTCTCCATATATAATAAAAGACAAAAGAAATTGTTGTCTTTTTTTTGTTATGAAAATACCTTTATAACAAAAACACTTTTGCACTGAATTTTCCTAAAGCACCTTTTTGCACAAACACAAAATATTCCCCCGTAGGATAAATTGGGAAAATAATTTTTTTTTGTTTGAAGCAAATAAAAGGAATTTCTTTTTCTCCTTAAAACATTTATAATATATTTATGAGGAGAAGAAGAAGAAAAGAAAAATGTGGACATGTGTTGTTTTTAATCCAGGGATTAAAGAAAATCATATAGAGGAGAAAAACAATTTTGTTTTCTGAATTATCGACGTCATTACCCGGCAGCGCCATCTCGAGGCGGGAAAATTCAAATCTTGATTCTGTTAAAAAAAGAAACAACTTTGCATGTTTGTAGATAAATAAATAACTAAATAAATAAATAAATAAAAGAAATTAATTTCAATTTTTAAAATTTTACCGCAATTCTTTGAAAGAATTCAACTATTTTAATAAACATTATAATTCTTTCCAGAAATTCAATTTTATTTAAAAAAAAAAAAAAAAATTCTTGTCAACATTTTAATTTAAAAAGTAAAATTCTTCGCCGAAATTCAATTATTTTTCAGGAATTTTTTTAAAAATTCATTGTAAGATTCAATTATTCTCATAAATAACAATATTCATCAAAAAATTCAATTATTTTAAAAATTGATAAAATTCAATTATTTTCAAAATTAATAAAATTCAATTATTTTCAAAATGAATAATATTCAATTATTTTCACAATTAATAAAATTCAATTATTTTCAAAATTAATAAAATTCAATTATTTTCAAAATTAATCAAATTCAATTATTTTCACAATTAATAAAATTCAATTATTTTCAAAATTAATAAAATTCAATTATTTTCACAATTAATAAAATTCAATTATTTTCAAAATTAATAAAATTGTATTATTTTCACAATTAATAAAATTCAATTATTTTCAAAATAAATGAATTCAATTATTTTCAAAAATTATTAAATTTCTTCGCAGAAATTCAATTATTTTTAAAAATTAATAAAATCTTTACAGGAATTCAATTACTTTCAAAATTATTAAAATTCTTAACAGGAATTCAATTATTTTTAATGGAATTTTAATGGAATTCCTCGAAATATTTGTAAATAAAATTCTTAATGAGAATTCAATTTTTAGAAACCTTTTTCAATTACTCAATAAATTATCGAATTGAATTTTCGTTGAATAATCGAAATTACCCAGCAGTGCCATCTGGAGGCGGGAAAATTTAAATTTTTTTCTTTTTCTTATAATTTTTTTTTCTGTATCCATATAATAAATACTTTCAATTCTTTCGTTTGTTCAATATTTTCTTCTTTAAAAAAATTTAGGCGTTGAACAATTAAAAAGTGAAAAATATGAAAAAAAAACCAAAAAATGGAGGGGGTAATTGTTAAAAGTTGCCTTTTTCGAATAAAAAAAAGAAACCTAACCTCAAAAAGAGTTTCACTTTTTAGTAAAACTGGTCTTAAAACGTTAGTGTTTTTAGAAAGAATACAAAAGATTTTATGCGGAAATTGTTTTTTCCCCAAAAGAATACTTTTTTTTATCCAATCGACGACAGCGCCATCTGGTGTTTATTGAATATTTAACGACTCCGCGTCTCTTTTGGATTCGCGATCGAAGACAAAACGCCAAGTCAACTGCTCCTCCTCACCCCTCTCCTCTCCTCTCTCTCTTCTCAGCAAGTAGAAAATCGCGGGAAACGCTTCTATTCTTCTTCCATCAATAAAAAAAAAAAATTTTTTCCCGAAAAAAATTACACTCAAATTTTCACTGAAAATTCATCAATAAAAAATTCTCTTCAAGTTAAAATTGTCCAATTTAACATAAAACTCGGAATAAAATCGAAAATTTCATATGTGTGTTTCAAAATTCATTGATTCCTCATATAGTGTTGGTAAAAATTAACCTATAAAATCACCGCCTGATATAGTGTTTCTAAAATATTTCTTAATAATTAACATTAAAAATAACCCTTTTTGCTTTTAATTTCCTTTTGTTCGGTGAGAATATTTTTGTGTGAAAAAAAGTGCGTTTTAATTCGAGGAGAAAAGAAAATCGAGCTATTATTAAGTGGGGAAATAATGCAATAATAATATCTGATCAAGAGGATATTATTCTAATTGTATATTCATCCCCCGGGAGGGGGGAGGGAAATGAAAAGTTGATTGTTTTTTTTGCGGGAGAGAGAAAAAAAACACAATTCTGAGCAATGAACTCATTTCCAACACCAGAATCGTCTCCGGTGATAATTGAATCCGATGTCAGCAGCAACAAGTCATCAAAGAATTCTAAGAACGAGAGGAAGAAGAGTCTTCCTTTGAAAAATGAGAGGAAAAAATTGTCAAAATCTTTATCACCTGGAACGAGCGTTAATGGAAAGAGGAAAACACTTTTTCCAAAAGTTGTTTTACCATTGTTTCCGAAAATTACGAATAAGGTTAGTTAACTTATTTTATTTTTTCTTTGAAAACGAAAATTTCCCCTTTTGTCAAACTCAGTTTTTTCTTTCTCTTAATTTTCGTCTTCTCCTTTTTCTTTCGGTAAATTTTACAAATTTTCTCTGTTTTTCTGTCTTTTTTCTTTTATTGCGAAGTTATTTTCTGTCACTTGTTAAATTATTTCCACGTAAAATTGACAAAAAAAACAAAATTCGTTATTGTTGACAATTTTTTTCTTCTCTCGAGGTAAAAATCAATTTTTATTTTTACGAATTTCTTTTTCGTTCTCTCGAGGTTGTCGATAAAGAAATGTAAAGTTAATAAATAAAAAGCGATGAATTGTTTTGGGGAAAATGAAAAATTAGAAAAGAATTTTTTTTTTTTCTTCTCTTTTGTAGAAAGGAGCAAATGTAGAAAAAACACCACCAATTCGAAGAAAATCAATATCGAAAAAAACAGCTGTAGATCCTGATTTTGTTCCCGATTCTTCTGGGGTAACAATTTTTACTTTTAAACTTATTTACAAAAAAAATTAATTGATTTATTTTTTAGGTTTTAAATTAATTATTCTGCTTTTTATTTCTATTTACAGAGTTCGAGTGAGGATGATAACAGTGTAGATGATTATCCTTTGAAAAAGATTTCGGAATCAATCAGAAAATCGGATTTGAATGTAAAAAACAATTTATATTTTATATTGTTCTTATTATTGATTATTAATTATTATCTAATTTTTAACAATTAAGAAGTATTTTTTTAAGAAAAGGAAAACTTCTATTACTTTATTTTCAAAATTCTTTTTCTAAACCAAGAAGAAAATTTGCTTATTTTCTTATATTTCTGTAATTAGGATTGAAAATAAAATTAAATTCATACTTTCTTAAATTACATTTTTTCCCTTGTTTTACAGTTGTCGAAGACAAGTCAAAAAAGTTTGAAGTTGCCAAAAACACCCAAGACACCGAAAACACCGAAAACACCGAAGACACCAAAAACTCCGAAACAAAATGCGAAGAGTCCAAAAATTACTATCGATACACAAAAATCGACGAAAAAGAAGAAAGAATCGAATAATGAAAAGAAAGTTGACGAAATTAAAATCAATGACATTAATGATGACGACACTGTTATTAATGTACCGGCAAAGAAAATGAAATTAACCGAAAATACAAAGGAAATCGAAGAGACAAAAATAATGAATATCGATTGGAAATACGGAATAAATTGGACACCCGGAAAACTTGCTTGGGCACGTTTTGCAAATTATCCATTTTGGCCATGTGTCGTCACTCTCGATCCAGACTCAATGACTTATCACCGACCAATGGGTAACTTGTTTTCTTTTTCTTTTCTTACTTTCAAAGATTTTCTATTAGAAATTTAATGGAAATTCTTCATTTTTTAAAATATATCATTTTTTTTTAACTGTTAACTTCTAACAGTTTTTCTTAAAATTTTTCAAACAAAATTAAGAAATTAATTCAAATTTCAAAATCATTTTCAAAAATTTAAATAAAATTCTTAACAAAAATACAATTATTTTCATAAATAATAAAATTCTTGACATGAATTCAAATTATTATGAAGAAAAATAAAACTTTTCACAATACTTCAATTATTTTAAAAAATTTTAAATGAAATTCATGAAAAGAATTCAATTATTTTCGAAAAGAATAAAATTTTTCGAAAATATTAAATGATTTTCCAAAAATTCTCCGCAAAAAATTCAATTCTTTTCAAGAATAATAAAATTCTTTTCAAAAATTCAATTATTTTCAAAAATTTTAATGAAATTTTTCAAAAGTTCAATTATTTTTATTAAATAATAAAATTCTTTGTAGGAATTCAATGATTTTTGAAAATAATCAAATTCTTTGAAGAAATTCAATTATTTTTAAAAATAATAAAATTCTTGAGAAAAATTAATTTATTTTTAAAAAATTTTAATATAATTCTTCTCCAGAATTCAATGATTATAAAAATTTTAAATGAATTTCTTCACTAAAATTCAATTATTTTTTATAAATAACATTTTTTGTAGGAATTCCATTATTTTCAAAAAATTTAATTAAATTTTTTTCAACTAAACAAATTTTTTCTGCATTTCTAAATTAAATTATTTAAAACTTATTATTAATTTTTCCACACTAATTAAAATTTCAAATCATTTACAAAAGTAATAACAGGGTTGCTACAAGTCAGGGAATTCAGGGAAAAGTCAGGGATTTTTATTAAAAGTACTGGAAAAAATTTAAGTTTTAGAATTTATAAGAAAATTCTGAATTTTGGTGTCATTTTTGTTTGCCTCACAAACTATGAAATTGACAAGAATTTTAATACAAAACTTTCAATTTTTTCTCTTTCTGACAATATTTTCTTTTTAAATAACTTCATTCTTCAACAACTATCATCAAATTATTACTCAAAAATTATTTAATGAATAATTTTACTTCAAAATTTTCAAAATTAATTACATTTCAAAAGAGTTGCGTTTCAAATCTGCATAAATAGATCAACTTCAAAGGCTTCAATATGAAATTTTTAATCAATTTAAATAGAAATTTTAAGAACAACTGATTACAGAAATTCAATTATTTTCAATAATTTATAAACATTATCGTCAAAATTTCAATTATTTTTATAAATAATACAATTCTTCTCCGAAATTCAATTATTTTCAAAAAAATTAATAAAATTCTTAGCAAAGTTTCAATTATTTTCAAAAATTTTCCTCATTTCAATTATTTTTAATATCTACTATTTTAATAAAATTTTCCAAATGAATTCAATTATTTAAAGGAAATTTTAATAAAAATTTCAAAGGAATTCAATTACTTTCCAATTTTTTTATAAATTTCTTCGCACCAATTCAATTATTTTTAATTTTTTAATGAAGTTTATCGAAAGAATTCAAATATATTCAAAGAATAGAAAAAAATACTTCTGAGAAATTCAATTATTTCGAAAAATTAAAATAAATTTTTTTTAAAAATTCTATTATTTAAACAAATTTTGACAAAATTCTTTACAAGATTTAGATAATAAAATTGCAATTTTAATAAAATTTTCCTATTCAATTCAATTATTTTCAATAAAATTCTTCTTAAGAATTCAATTATTTTCACAAATAATACATTTTTTTATGGGAATTCAATTATTTGAAAAAAATTTGAATAAAATTCTTCGTAAGAAATCAATTATTTTCATAAATAATAAAATTTTTCTCGAGAATTCAATTATTTCAAAAATTTTGAGATAAATTGCTTTATAAATTTGAAAAATTATAATAAAATTGACTATAGAATACAATTATTTTCGTAAAGTATAACATTCCTTATAGGAATTACAATTTTACTGTCAAAAATGTTTGTCAAAATCTTCGAAACAATTCAATTATTTTCTTAAAAAATAAAATTCTTCGAAGCAATTCAATTATTTAAGAAATTTTAATTAAATTCTTCCCAAGAATTCAAATTATTTTCAAAACTAAAACTTTTTACAAGAATTCAATTATTTAAAAAAAAATTTAATAAAATTCTTCGTCAGATTTCAATTATTTTCAATTTTTTAATGAAATTTTGTCGATGGAATTTAATTATTTTCAAAATGTTATAAAAAATTCTGAGAAATTCAATTATTTAAAAAATTTGAATAAAATTCTTCACAAGAAATTAATTTAATATCATAAATAATAATATTTTTCTCTGGAATTCAATTATTTTCACAAATAAAATATTGTTCACAGGAATTCAATTCTTTAAAAATTTTTTTAATAAAATTCGTTGCAAGAATTAAATTTCTTTTATAAATAACAATATTTATAGCAGAGTTTGAATTATTTTTTATGTACAATTTTACATAAACTGATAGAAAATTGCATTTATTCTTTATAATTTTTTTTAAAATTCTCCGAAAGAATTCAATTGTTTTTAGAATTTTCTATAAATTTCTTTAAAAAAATTCAATTTTAAGAAATATTCAATTATTTAATAAATTAATTATCTTTGCATTTAAATAATTGAATTCTCGAAAAATTTTCTAATAAAAATTGATTAAAAATGAATTTCACTTAAAATTTGAAATTATAATTGAATATTAAAAGCATCGTAGTGTGAATTTTGATAAATAAGTGAATTTTGAAAAGTGTTAAAAAATGAAAATCTTTGAAAATTAAAATTTATAGTTTCAATATTCTTATAATATAAAATAATGATTTTATCACTCTGTCATTTTAAATTTTATTATAAAACATGAAGAAATCGATTGCTCCGAGTCGAAGACTCGGAGTGATCGATTTCTTGATGTTTTATAACAATTTTTGATAAGTTGTTTAATTTGAGAAGGTTTTGATTTAAAATCCTTAATTCCTATAGAAAAATAATAATGATGAAGTATTTATTTAAAAAAGAAGTTATTGATGTTGTCGAATAATTTTCCACTTAAAGAAATTCGTAAATATAAATGTAATAGAACATTTCTTTGAGTATCTAATAATTTTTGGAGTGAATCGGTATATTCTTCAGGATCAGGGAGAAAGTGAAAATTTTGTCTGGAAATCAGGGAAAAGTCAGGGAAAAACAAAATTAAATTTTCGTGGCAACCCTGTAATTGAATTCCTTCACGAGTAAAGCAAAAATAATAATGAAAGAAGAAAAGAATCGATAACTTCTATTAATTGAAGTATTTTTTGAATAATAAAAAGAAAAATTGTATTTTTTCAGCTGCTGGAAAACGAACGATTCGAAATTTAGTTCATGTCCAATATTTCGGCGACAATGAACGTCACAGTTGGGTGAATGAAACAAATATGTTGCCATTCACGGGCGCCAATGATTTTGAGAAATTTTTGAAAAATTTACCCGAGAACAGTAATTTTTCAAAGAAAAGAATACGCGATCAACGAATTCCATTCACGGTGAGTTCAACGTGGAAGCCAAAATGGGAGATTGCCACATCGGAGGCGACGGAACTTTTAAATACCACCGACCAATATCGAGCGTGTATTTTTGCCCCGGCGCCGATAGCTGCTAAAAAAACGCCAGTGCCCGGAAAAAAGAAACGCAAGCACTCCATCAGCGAATCGCAATCAGCAGTGCCGGCAAAGAAAGCCAAACCAATTGTAAGAATTTTTAGATTTTTTAGATTTTTTTTTTTATTAATATGATTTGACAAGAATTTAATTAATTTTCTAAAATAATAAATTTTTTTTGCAAAAATTCAATTATTTTCAATAAAATTTAAAAAAAAGTATAATTTTTTTTATTTAATATTTATTTTCATAAGTAATGAATTTTTTTCCTTCACAGCCTCGAGTAACACGCTCGCAAACACCAAAAGTACCATCAGAAATAATTCCAGTAAAATTATCATCCCGTCGACGCAGTACAATAGCCCAACCAAAAACAAATCTCAAAAAACTTTCAAAACTCAACAAAAGTACTGGCGATCTAACGAAAATTCCCCCCACTCTCCAAACAACAGGCGCCAAATTAAATGGCGCCTTCAGCAAAAGTACTGGAAATCTCCTAAAACTCTTCGAAACTCTAACACCAAAATTAAACGGTAAATTAAATACCACGAAAAATGGCGAGCGACAAATGAAATTAAATGGTAAATTATCCAAGAGTTTAAAATCATCACACGTCGATATTTTCGATAGTTTATCACAAACACCACCAACACCGCCATCGAGTCTTTTGAATAGTTCCTGGGACGATGATAAGAAGAATTTCGACATTGATTACGATTCAAAATTACTCGCTCTCTGCGATTCAGAGCTTGACGATGAAATAAAATCCGAACGTTGGAGCAATGAGCTTCAGCAGGAGAAATTCAATGGCAATTTTTCGCCCACGAATAATCGTTCGATTCCATTTGACGCCGATGTTGATTCTGATCTTGAGGATGTTAATAAATCGACGAAAAAACGCAAGAGCAGAAGTAAAAGGAATCGTGAGAGTGACAATAAACATATTAACGATTCGAATATTAGTAATAATAGTTTGAAAATAAAGGAGAGAAGCGCGAGGGAGAAGGAGATTAGGGAGAGATTGAAAATTAGGGACAAATCGAAGGATAGTAAGGAAAAGATGAGGGAAAAAGTCAAGGAAAATAGGGAGAATAAGGAAAAAGTGAAGGAGAATAAAGAGAATAAAGAAAATAAGGAGAGTAAGGATAAAAGTAAAGAAGTAAAAGACGTTAAGGAGAAGAGAGAATCGAAGGAGAAATTAAAAGAAAAGGAATCGAAGGAGAAAATAAAGGAAAAGGACTCGAAGGAGAAAATAAAGGAAAAGGACTCGAAGGAGAAAATAAAGGAAAAGGACTCGAGGGAAAAAATAAAGGAGAAGGAATCGAAGGAGAAATTAAAAGAAAGGGAATCGAAGGAGAAAATAAAGGAAAAGGAATCGAAGGAAAAAATAAAAGAGAAGGAATCGAAAGAGAAACTAAAGGAAAATAAAGAGAAAGTACAAGAGAAGGAGAAAGATTCGAGGGACAGTAAAGAAAAGGAGAATAATGATTCGTTGAATTTAAGTGATTTTGAGAAAGACGAGATAAAATGGACAAAACCAATAAATTTATTCAAAGGAATAAGAACTGAGCGAGTTTGTCAAATTTGTGAACAAACTGGCAAATTAGTGAGATGTAAAGGACCATGTTATTCGTATTATCATTTGAAGTGCGTCAAACCTGGTGATTCGAGTCCAGAGCACAGTGAAATTGAGGATAATTTTGAGGACGAGGTGTTTCAGGATTTAAAGGAAATTCGAAAGAAAATTGCCGAGAGCGAGAGTTTCACGGAAAAAATCGAAGGTTTCTATCTTGTTTTTTATTAATTATTTATTGAGAATTGTTTGTGACGAGTTTAGTTCTTTGGATCAAAGACCACAATAATTTATTTTCAATTCTTTATTTTACAATTTAAGGCCCTAAGAATCCAAAAATTTTAATTAATTATTATTAACCTTTATAGTTTAAATTTTTTTGAATAACAATTCAATTATTTTCAAAAATTTAAAAAAAAAACTCTCTTATCAAGAATTCCATTACTTTTATAAATAACAAAATTTTTCGTAGAAATTCAATTATTTTTAAAAATAATAAAATTCTTTTTTGAAATTCAATTATTTTTAAAAATAATAAAATTCTTCTTTGGAATTCAATTATTAAAAAAAAAAAATAATAATTAACTTGAAAAAATCAATTATTTTCATGAATAATAAAATTCTTTGCAGAAATTCAATTATTTTCATAAATTCTTTGCAAACGAACAATTATTTTTAAAAACTATTTCTTGATTAAATTCAATTATTTGAAAAAAAAATTAAATAGAATTCTCCTCAAGAATTCAACTATTTTCAAAAATTTTAATTAAAATTCTTGACAAAAATTCAATTATTTTAGTAAATAATAAAATTCTTAATCGAATTCTCCTCAAGAATTCATTTATTTTCAAAACTTGAAATTTTTCACAAAAATTCAATTATTTTGAGAAATAATAAAATTCTTGACAAGAATTCAATTATTTTCAAACATAAATAAATTCTTTGCAATAATTCAATTATTTTCAAAAAAAATATTCTTCTAATAAATAATTAATAAATCTTCACCAAAATTCAATTGCTTTCGAATATAAAAATAAATTCTTCTCAAGAATTCAATTATTGTCAAAAATTTAAATTAAATTCTTCTCAAGGATTCAATTAAGTATCTTAAATATGTTATTAAATTTTTCCAAAAAACTAGAATTCTTTTCAAAAAAATTTATTGAAATTCTTGTCAATAATTCAATTATTTTCTTTACATAAATTCAATTAATTTACAAAAATTCAAAAATTTTCGTTAAAAGAATTTCATTATTTTCAAAAATTATGAAATGCTTTGAAAGAATTCAATTATTTTCATAAATTATAAAATTATTTTAGGGAATCAATTATTTTCCATAATAATAACATTTTTTGAAGAAATTCAATTCTTTTCAATAAAATTTTTCAATTATTTTTTGAAATTTTAATCTTATTCTTCACAAAAATTCAATTATTTGTATAAATAATAAAATTCTTTGTATAAATTCAATTATTTTTTAAAATAATAAAATTCTTTGTAGGTATTCAATTATTTTGAAAAATAATAAAATTCTTTGTAGGAATTTAATTATTTTCAAAAATAATATAATTCTTTGCAGAAATTCAATTATTTTCAAAAAAAAAATTCAATAGAATTCTCCTTAAGAGTTCAATTATTTTCTAACATTTAAATTAAATTCTTTACAAAAATTCAATCAAAAAAAAAAAAAAAATTAAAACTCTAGACAAAAATTCAAATCTAATAAATAATTAAAAAAATCTTCACAAAAATTCAATTATTTTCATAAATAATAAAATTCTTAACAAGAACTTAAATAAATTTTTTCCAAAATTGAAAATCAGATTCTTCGCAAAATTTCAATTCTTCGAATAAATAATTAAAAAATCTTCATCAAAATTCAATTGCTTTCGAATAAAAATAAATTCTTCTCAAGAATTCAATTATTGTCAAATATTTAAATTAAATTCTTCCCAAGGATTCAATTATCTTAAATGTGTTATTAAATTTTTCCAAAAAACTAGAATTCTTTTAAAAAAATTTATTAAAACTCTTTTCAATAATTCAATTATTTTCTTTACATAAATTCAATTAATATTTACAAAAATTTAATAATCTTCGTTAAAAGAATTCCATTATTTTCAAAAATAATTAAATGCTTTAAAAGAATTCCATTATTTCCATAAATTATAAAAGTATATTTTAGGGAATCAATTATTTTCAATAATAATAACATTTTTCGAAGAAATTCAATTCTTTTCAATAAAATTTCTTAATTATTTTATGAAATTTTAATCTTATTCAACTTGACAAAAATTCAATTATTATTAACGTAAAATTGTGAAAAATAATATGTTATTTCTAAATTTTTCCTTCAAAAAAATTACTGTCATAAAATTTATTCTGAATTAATAAAAATTTTAATTTCTTTGAAACAAAAAATGATGTGAAATTCTCTGGGAATTGATTTTTTTTTTCATTTAACAAGGCACGAAAATAAATAAAATCCAGTTTCTTTTTCTATATAAAATAAATAATTAATTAGTCTTATTTTGCAGTAATAATAATGAATTATTCTACAATAATTCAAGTAACTATTTTTATATTTTTGAATGTTAAATTAAATTAAACAAAATGTTTAAAATAATTTTCATTATTTTCTAATTTTTGAAACATGTATTGAATTCATTTTTCCTTATATTTTAGAAATTCGAAAGATTCAAAAAAAGAAATTATTAGAAAATTAGGAGAGAAAAAAGAAACAAAATGCAACTTGGAATTAAAGAAAAAAAGAATTGAAATTAATTGACAATTTTTTAAAAACAGTTAAAGCAGAAGAACTAACACCGCCACCGCCATTGACTGAGGAAGAAACTTTCAAGTGTTTCGATTGTCTTTCAAGTGTTGCGCCCGCATGCTTCATTTGCAAGGATCGGGAAATTGATCGTGTTCGATGTTCGGCGGGTGCTTGCGGAAAATATTATCATTCCTCGTGTCTCAAAACATGGCCGCAGGTATTTAATTAATATAATTTCATTTTTTTATACTTATTCAATACTACAAAAATTGATCTAAATCTAAATTTAAAAAAAAGAAAGAAATTAAGTAATGATTAATTAATTAATTAATTACTAATACGACCGAGTAATAGTATCAATCTTATAATTAAATTATTGTGTTATTTCTTTTTAGTCTCAGTGGCAAGGTGAAAGATTGGTGTGTCCTTATCACATGTGTCACACGTGCAATTCGGACAATCCGCAAAATGGCCACATGGGCAAAACGAACGAGAAATTAGTGAGATGCGTACGTTGTCCCTCTTCATATCACACGTCGTCCTCGTGTCTGCCAGCCGGCTCCGAAATTATCACTGGCAATCAAATTATTTGCCCAAAACACTATAAATGCCGGCAAGCGCCGCTAAATGCGACCTGGTGTTTTCTCTGCACGAAAGGCGGAAGTCTCATTTGTTGCGAGACGTGTCCCACATCATTTCATCCTGAATGTTTGGGTAACAAATTAATTAAATTTTTTATTAATTCATTTTTTTATTTAATCAATTTTTCATTAATTCAATTGTGTATTAATTCCATTTTTTATTAATTCGATTTTCTATTTACTCAATTTCTTATTTATTCGACAATTTTTTATTAATTCGATTTTTTATTTACTCAATTTCTTATTTATTCGCAAATTTTTTATTTACTCAATTTTTCCCTAATTCAATTGTTTATTAATTCAATTTTCTATTAATTCGTTTTTTTATTTACTCGATTTTTCACTAATTCAATTTTTTATTAATTCGATTTTTTATTTACTCAATTTTTAATTTATTCAATTTTTTTATTAATTTAATTGTTTATTAATTCAACTTTTTACTAACTCAATTGTTTATTATGTACAGTTTATTATTTATTCAATTTTCCATTTATTTAATTTTTTTTTATTATACTTTTAACTTAATTCACAATTTCAATTTTGTTCTTTATGCAAAAATAAAAATTATTATTTGAAAGTTAATTTAAAAAATTTTTAATTTTAATAAAAGTCAAATAAAATAAAAAATGAAAAAAAGTTTTTAAAAAAGAAAAATCGTAGGTATATTTTGCGCCTTAAAGTCGATCCGAAAGTTGAATAAATTAAAATTATATTTTAATTATTAATTAGTGTTTTTCAATATTTACAATATTAATAAATTTTCTCGAAAGAACTTGATTATTACAAAATTTTAACAAAATTCTTTGAAAGAATTGAATTATTTAAAGAAATTTTAATAAAATTCTTCTAAACAATTCAATTATTTTCAAAAATAATAAAATTCCTTGAAGAAATTCAATTCTTTTTTAAAAAGTTTCAGTTAAACTTTTTACTAAAATTTAATTTTGTTTAAATACCTAATAAAAAGTGTTTGCAAAAATTCAATTATTTAAAAAAAATAAAATAATTCGCAAAAAATCAATTATTTTTAATACAATTTTAATAAAATTTCTTCAAACAATTCAATTGTTTTTAAAAATTTTAATAAATTCTCAAAAAGAATATTTATTTGAAAATAATTTAATTCCTTTCAAGAATTTTATCGTAAATTTTTAAAAATAATTGAAATACTGTTTAAAAATTATATTATTCTTGAAAATAATTGAAATTCCTGCGAAGAATTTTATTATTATTTTTAAAATAATTGAATTTTTGTGAAGAATTTAATTAATTAAAATTTTTGAAAATAATTGAATTTTTGAAGAGATTTCTATTCAATTTTCTTCAAAATAATTAAATTCTTGTATAGAATTCTATTATTTAGGAAAATAATTGAATTCTTGTCAAGAATTTTATTATTTTAGAAAATAATTAAATTCCAAAAGGAATTTAATTACTTTTGAAAATAATTGAATTCTCACAAAAAATTTAATTATTTATATAAATAATTGAATTTTTGTGAAGAATTTAATTTAAATTAATGAAAATAATTGGATTCTTGAGGAGAATTCTATTCAGTTTTTTCAAAATAATTGAATTCTTGAGAAAGATTTTATTAGAATTTTTGAAAATAATTGAATTTCAACAAAGAATTTTATTATTTATAAAAGTAATTGAATTTTTGTGAAGAATTTGATTTAAATTTTTGAAAAGAATTGAATTCTTGAGAATTCTATTGAATTTTTTTGAAAATAATTGAATTCTTGAGAATTCTATTGATTTTTTTGAAAATAATTGAATTCTTGAGAATTGTATTGAATTTTTTTGAAAATAATTGAATTCTTGAGAATTCTATTGAATTTTTTTGAAAATAATTGAATTTTTGAGAATTCTATTGAATTTTTTTTAATATAATTGAATTCTTGAGAATTCTATTCAATTTTTTTTAATATAATTGAATCGAATAGTTTAATTAAAATAGTTTTCAATAAAGATTCAATTTTTTTCAAAATAATTGAATTCTTGTCAAGAATAAATCTTGATATTTATTATTTTTATTTATTTAATTTAATTTTTAATTTTACATTTTTTTTATTTGCTTTCAATATTATATGAAATTGAAAGAAATCGTCTTTTTGCGCCTTAAAGTCAATTTGAAGTTTATGTGAATTAAAATCACTTTTTAATTAATAAATAACCTACGTTGATTAAATTAAAAAGACGAAATCGTTTTTTGCGCTTAAAAGTCGATCCGAAGTCTAAAATAAAAATTAATTAACAAAATCAAATTATAATTGATTTTTAATTATTAATTTTCCTGAATAATTGATTTAAAAGATAGATTTTTAAAAAGATTTTTGCGATAAATGAGAAAATAAAAGATTTTTTAATTTTCATTTTACAGGTATAAAAGCGCCGGACGATGCATTTATGTGCGAGGACTGTGAAACCGGACGATTGCCATTGTATGGCGAAATTGTTTGGGTGAAACTCGGCAGTTATAGATGGTGGCCGTCGAAAATTTGCTTCCCCGACGAGGTACCCTGCAATGTCGATGCGATGAAACATGAGACAGGCGAATTTTGTGTCATGTTCCTTGGCACAAGAAATTACCACTGGGTCCACAAGGGTCGTGTCTTTTTGTATCAGGAGGGCGACGCTGTCGCCAAGAATACTGGCAAAAAGAATTCCATGGACGGCGCTTTTAGACGCGCAATCCAGGAGGCCCACAAGTATCATCAAATTTTAAAGGAGCAAAAGGCCCTCTCCACGTCCGTCAAGGAACTCGAGAAGGCTCTTAAACCTCCGTTTTACGTCAAATTAAAAGTACGTACAATTCAAAAATCTTCTTCTAAAAACTAAATTTACAAATCTTCTTCTAAAATTAAATTAAAGCAAGATTGACACAAAACAATTCAATTATTTTCAAAATACTTTTAACAATATTTCTCAAAAGAATCCAATTATTTTTAATCAATTTTAATAAAATTCTACACAAGAATTAAATTATTTTCAATTCAGTTCAATAAAATATTAATTAAATTGGTCTATAAAATTTGCAACAAACCAATTATTTTCATACAAATAATAAAATTCTTCGAAGGAATTTAATTATTTAGAAAAAATTTTATAACATTCTTTGCAAGTATTATTCAATTCAATTAATTTCAAATATAATAAATAACTCAAAAAGAATTCAATTATTTTTGAAAAAAAAATTAAATAGAATTCTTCTCAAGATTTCAACTATTTTCAAAACTTTAAATGAAATTCTTCACAAAAATTCAATTATTTGTATAAAGAATAAAATTCTTTGTAGCAAATTAAATTATTTTCCCAAATAATAAAATCCTTCGCTGAAATTTAATTATTTTCAAGAATAATATAATTTATCACAGTTTTCAATTATTTTAAAAAAATTTAAGTTCAAAGTCTTGAAAGGAAGTCAATTATTTTCATGAATAATAAAATTCTTGGCAAAAAATTCAGTTATTTATCTAAAATTGAGTAAAATTCTTTCCAAAAATCCAATTACTTTACAAAATTTTAATAAATATTCTTCGTAGGAATTCAATTATTTTCAAGAATGAGAAAAATCACAGCAAAATTTCAATTATTTTCAATAATGAGAAACAGGGTTGCCACAAGTCAGGGAATTCAGTTACTTTCCAATTTTTTTTACAAGTTTCTTCGCACCAATTCAATTATTTTTAATTTTTTAATGAAGTTTATCGAAAGAATTCAAATATATTCAGAGAACAGAAAAAAATAGTTCTGAGATATTCAATTATTTCAAAAAAATTAAATAAAATTCTTTTAAAAATTCTATTATTTAAAAAAATTTTGACAAAATTTGAATAAAATTCTTCGTAAGAAATCAATTATTTTCATAAATAATAAAATTTTTCTCGAGAATTCAATTATTTCAAAAATTTTGAGGTAAAATGCTTTATAAATTTGAAAAATTATAATAAAATTGACTATAGAATACAATTATTTTCGTAAAATATAACATTCCTTATAGGAATTACAATTTTACTGTCAAAAATATTTGTAAAAATCTTCGAAACAATTCAATTATTTTCTTAAAAAATAAAATTCTTCGAAGCAATTCAATTATTTAAGAAATTTTAATTAAATTCTTCCCAAGAATTCAATTTTTTTCAAAAATAAAACTTTTCACAAGAATTTAATCATTTAAAAAAAAATATAATAAAATTCTTCGTCAAATTTCAATTATTTTTAATTTTTTAAAGAAATTTGTTCGCTGGAATTTAATTATTTTCACAATGTTATAAAAAATTCTGAGAAATTCAATTATTTAAAAAATTTGAATAAAATTCTTCACAAGAAATTAATTAAATATCATAAATAATAATATTTTTCTCCGGAATTCAATTATTTTCAAAAAATTTAATAAAATTCTTTGCAAAATTACAATCATTTTCAAAAATTTTCCTCATTTCAATTATTTTTAATATCTACTATTTTAATAAAATTATCCAAAAAAATTCAATTATTTAAACGAAATTTTAATAAAAATTTCACAGGAATTCAATTACTTTCCAATTTTTTATAAATTTCTTCGCACCAATTTAATTATTTTTAATTTTTTAATGCAGTTTATCGATAGAAATCAAATATATTCAAAGAATAGAAAAAATAGTTCTGATAAATTCAATTATTTTGAAAAATTTAAATTAAATTCTTTTAAAAAATCTATTATTTAAAAAAATTTTGACAAAATTCTTTACAAGATTTAATTAATAAAATTGCAATTTTAATAAAATTTTCCTATTCAATTCAATTATTTTCAATACTATTCTTCTTAAGAATTCAATTATTTTCACAAATAATACATTTTTTTATGGGAATTCAATTATTTGAAAAAAATTTGAATAAAATTCTTCGTTAGAAATCAATTATTTTCATAAATAATAAAATTTTTCTCGAGAATTCAATTATTTCAAAAATTTTGAGATAAAATGCTTTATAAATTTGAAAAATTATAATAAAATTGACTATAGAATACAATTATTTTCGTAAAATATAACATTCCTTATAGGAATTACAATTTTACTGTCAAAAATATTTGTAAAAATCTTCGAAACAATTCAATTATTTTCTTAAAAAATAAAATTCTTCGAAGCAATTCAATTATTTAAGAAATTTTAATTAAATTCTTCCCAAGAATTCAATTTTTTTCAAAAATAAAACTTTTCACAAGAATTTAATCATTTAAAAAAAAATATAATAAAATTCTTCGTCAAATTTCAATTATTTTTAATTTTTTAAAGAAATTTGTTCGCTGGAATTTAATTATTTTCACAATGTTATAAAAAATTCTGAGAAATTCAATTATTTAAAAAATTTGAATAAAATTCTTCACAAGAAATTAATTAAATATCATAAATAATAATATTTTTCTCCGGAATTCAATTATTTTCAAAAAATTTAATAAAATTCTTTGCAAAATTACAATCATTTTCAAAAATTTTCCTCATTTCAATTATTTTTAATATCTACTATTTTAATAAAATTATCCAAAAAAATTCAATTATTTAAACGAAATTTTAATAAAAATTTCACAGGAATTCAATTACTTTCCAATTTTTTATAAATTTCTTCGCACCAATTTAATTATTTTTAATTTTTTAATGCAGTTTATCGATAGAAATCAAATATATTCAAAGAATAGAAAAAATAGTTCTGATAAATTCAATTATTTTGAAAAATTTAAATTAAATTCTTTTAAAAAATCTATTATTTAAAAAAATTTTGACAAAATTCTTTACAAGATTTAATTAATAAAATTGCAATTTTAATAAAATTTTCCTATTCAATTCAATTATTTTCAATACTATTCTTCTTAAGAATTCAATTATTTTCACAAATAATACATTTTTTTATGGGAATTCAATTATTTGAAAAAAATTTGAATAAAATTCTTCGTTAGAAATCAATTATTTTCATAAATAATAAAATTTTTCTCGAGAATTCAATTATTTCAAAAATTTTGAGATAAAATGCTTTATAAATTTGAAAAATTATAATAAAATTGACTATAGAATACAATTATTTTCGTAAAATATAACATTCCTTATAGGAATTACAATTTTACTGTCAAAAATATTTGTAAAAATCTTCGAAACAATTCAATTATTTTCTTAAAAAATAAAATTCTTCGAAGCAATTCAATTATTTAAGAAATTTTAATTAAATTCTTCCCAAGAATTCAATTTTTTTCAAAAATAAAACTTTTCACAAGAATTTAATCATTTAAAAAAAAATATAATAAAATTCTTCGTCAAATTTCAATTATTTTTAATTTTTTAAAGAAATTTGTTCGCTGGAATTTAATTATTTTCACAATGTTATAAAAAATTCTGAGAAATTCAATTATTTAAAAAATTTGAATAAAATTCTTCACAAGAAATTAATTAAATATCATAAATAATAATATTTTTCTCCGGAATTCAATTATTTTCAAAAAATTTAATAAAATTCTTTGCAAAATTACAATCATTTTCAAAAATTTTCCTCATTTCAATTATTTTTAATATCTACTATTTTAATAAAATTATCCAAAAAAATTCAATTATTTAAACGAAATTTTAATAAAAATTTCACAGGAATTCAATTACTTTCCAATTTTTTATAAATTTCTTCGCACCAATTTAATTATTTTTAATTTTTTAATGCAGTTTATCGATAGAAATCAAATATATTCAAAGAATAGAAAAAATAGTTCTGATAAATTCAATTATTTTGAAAAATTTAAATTAAATTCTTTTAAAAAATCTATTATTTAAAAAAATTTTGACAAAATTCTTTACAAGATTTAATTAATAAAATTGCAATTTTAATAAAATTTTCCTATTCAATTCAATTATTTTCAATACTATTCTTCTTAAGAATTCAATTATTTTCACAAATAATACATTTTTTTATGGGAATTCAATTATTTGAAAAAAATTTGAATAAAATTCTTCGTTAGAAATCAATTATTTTCATAAATAATAAAATTTTTCTCGAGAATTCAATTATTTCAAAAATTTTGAGATAAAATGCTTTATAAATTTGAAAAATTATAATAAAATTGACTATAGAATACAATTATTTTCGTAAAATATAACATTCCTTATAGGAATTACAATTTTACTGTCAAAAATATTTGTAAAAATCTTCGAAACAATTCAATTATTTTCTTAAAAAATAAAATTCTTCGAAGCAATTCAATTATTTAAGAAATTTTAATTAAATTCTTCCCAAGAATTCAATTTTTTTCAAAAATAAAACTTTTCACAAGAATTTAATTATTTAAAAAAAAATATAATAAAATTCTTCGTCAAATTTCAATTATTTTTAATTTTTTAAAGAAATTTGTTCGCTGGAATTTAATTATTTTCACAATGTTATAAAAAATTCTGAGAAATTCAATTATTTAAAAAATTTGAATAAAATTCTTCACAAGAAATTAATTAAATATCATAAATAATAATATTTTTCTCCGGAATTCAATTATTTTCAAAAAATTTAATAAAATTCTTTGCAAAATTACAATCATTTTCAAAAATTTTCCTCATTTCAATTATTTTTAATATCTACTATTTTAATAAAATTATCCAAAAAAATTCAATTATTTAAACGAAATTTTAATAAAAATTTCACAGGAATTCAATTACTTTCCAATTTTTTATAAATTTCTTCGCACCAATTTAATTATTTTTAATTTTTTAATGCAGTTTATCGATAGAAATCAAATATATTCAAAGAATAGAAAAAATAGTTCTGATAAATTCAATTATTTTGAAAAATTTAAATTAAATTCTTTTAAAAAATCTATTATTTAAAAAAATTTTGACAAAATTCTTTACAAGATTTAATTAATAAAATTGCAATTTTAATAAAATTTTCCTATTCAATTCAATTATTTTCAATACAATTCTTCTTAAGAATTCAATTATTTTCACAAATAATACATTTTTTTTATGGGAATTCAATTATTTGAAAAAAATTTGAATAAAATTCTTCGTTAGAAATCAATTATTTTCATAAATAATAAAATTTTTCTCGAGAATTCAATTATTTCAAAAATTTTGAGATAAAATGCTTTATAAATTTGAAAAATTATAATAAAGTTGACTATAGAATACAATTATTTTCGTGAAATATAACATTCCTTATAAGAATTACAATTTTACTGTCAAGTTTGCAAAAATCTTCGAAACAATTAAATTATTTTCTTAAAAAATAAAATTCTTCGAAGCAATTTAATTATTTAAGAAATTTTAATTAAATTCTTCCCAAGAATTCAATTTTTTCCAGAAATAAAACTTTTCACAAGAATTACAATTCTTGTGAAAAGTTTTATTTATAAAAAAATATAATAATTATTTTTTTTTTTTTTTATTTATTTTTTTTTTTTTTTTTTTTTTTTTTTTTTTTTTTTTTTTTTATTTGAAAAAAGTTTCGATAAAATTCTTCGTCAGATTTCAATTATTTTCAATTTTTTAATGAAATTTTGTCTATGGAATTTAGTTATTTTCTAAATTTTATAAAAAATTCTGAGAAATTCAATTATTTAAAAAATTTGAATAAAATTCTTCACAAGAAATTAATTTAATATCATAAATAATAATATTTTTCTCCAGAATTCAATTATTTTCACAAATAAAATATTCTTCACAGGAATTGAATTCTTTAAAAATTTTTTAAATAAAATTCGTTGCAAGAATTTAATTACTTTTAAAAATAACAATATTTAGGTATAGCAGAGTTTGAATTATTTTTTATGTGCAATTTTACATAAACTGATAGAAAATTGCATTTATTCTTTATAATTTTTTTAAAATTCGCCGAAAGAATTCAATTATTTTTAGAATTTTTTTATATATTTCTTTAAAAAAATTCAATTTTAAGAAATATTTAATTATTTAATAAATTAATTATCTTTGCATTTAAATAATTGAATTCTCGAAAAATTTTCTAATAAAAATTGATTAAAAATGAATTTCACTTAAAATTTGAAATTATAATTGAATATTAAAAGCATCGTAGTGTGAATTTTGATAAATAAGTGAATTTTGAAAAGTGTTCAATAATTAAAATCTTTGAAAACTGAAATTTATAGTTGCAATATTCTTATTAAAATATAAAATAATGATTTCATCACTCTGTCATTTTAGATTTATTACAAAACGTGAAGAAAGTGATCGATTTCTTGATGTTTTATAACAATTTTTGATAAGTTGTTTAATTTGAGAATGTTTGGATTTGAAATCCTTAATTCCTATAGAAAAATAATAATGATTAACATTTCTTTGAGTATCTAATAATTTTTGGAGTGAAGCGGTATATTCTTCAGGGTCAGGGAGAAAGTGAAAATTTTGTCTGGAAATCAGGGAAAAGTCCAGGGAAAAAAATTAAATTTTTGTGGCAACCCTGTATTAAATGAAATATTATTTTTATTTAGAGATAAAAATATTTTCTAAAATAAAAAGAGAATTTTTTTAGTAATAATTTATAAGTAATTAGTAATTTATAATAAGTAGATAATTATAATAATAATTAATTTTCTCCTCTTCAGGTGAATAAAGCGGTGGGCAATGTGAAGGCGGCCGAAGTGGATAGTATTGTCGCTTGTGCATGTTCACCGACATCCGACAATGCGTGTGCACAGGATTCGGATTGTTTAAATCGAATGCTACTGGTTGAGTGTAGTCCGGAGATATGTCCGGCTGGCATTAAATGTCAAAATCAATGTTTTGTGCAAAGAATTTATCCGGTAATGGAGCCATTTCACACTGTTGGTCGTGGCTGGGGCCTGAGGGCATTGGAATTGATAAAAGCCAATCAATTTGTCGTTGAATATGTCGGTGAAATAATTGATGAAGCCGAATATAAGCGACGTCTTCAACGCAAGAAGGAATTGAAAAATGAGAATTATTACTTTCTCACTATTGACACTAATCGTATGATTGACGCCGAACCGAAGGGAAATCTCAGTCGATTCATGAGTGAGTCTCTTTTTCCTTTTTAAATAGCGAACACGAAAACAAATTCACTTGTTGCTTAAAGAAATCAAAATTACAAAATAGCAAATAAAAAAGAAAAAAAAGTCTAATAACAAGAATCGAATTTTTAAAATTCTTTTTCCTTTTTCATTTTCGTTTCCTGTAACAGTAATTAAAAATTATTTCCCCCCGTTCCTTTTTTTTAATTTTCGCTTCTTGTTTATAAAATTAAAAATTGAAAAATTATTTTAAAAAATTCTCATTTTTACTTGCAGATCACTCGTGTTTGCCGAATTGCGAGACGCAAAAGTGGACAGTGAATGGCGACACGAGAATTGGACTTTTCGCCGTGCGGGACATTGAGGCTGGGGAGGAATTAACGTTTAATTATAATTTGGCCTGCGACGGTGAAGAGAAGAAGCCATGTTTATGCGGTGCGTCGAACTGCAGTGGTTTCATTGGCTTAAAAGTCACGAAGAAACGAATCAGTGCAATTAATGAGAAAAAAAATGAGAAACCAAAAATTCCAAGAAAGTAAGGCAAATTTTTCTCTTTTCATTTTCATTTTTTCTTCTATTCATTTTTTAAATAAAAAAAGAAAAGCAATTTTTTATTCTTCTCTTAAATAAAAGAAGAAGAAAATAAATTCTTTTACTGTTTTTTTTTTTAAGAAAAAAGAAAATATAATTTTTTTACTCTTTTTTTAAATCAAATAAGAAAAGAAATTTTTTTTATCCTTTTTTTAAATCAAAAAAGAAGAAAATATTTTTTTATTCTTTTTTTTAAATCGAAAAAGAAGAAAAGAAATTTTTTTATTCTTTTTTTAAATAAAATAAATTTTTTATTCCTTCTTTAAATAAAAGAAAAAAAAATTTATTTCTTCTTTTTTTGAATGAAAAAAAGAAAAAAATAATTTTTTTAATTCTTTGTTTAAATTCATAAAAAATTATTTTTTGTAAATAAAAAAGAATATGATTTGAAAATAAAACGTGGAAATGAAATTGTTTTTTTGTTTTTTCAGACCAAAGAAGGTAATTTGTTATAATTGTCAAAAGGAGATAGTAACGAGCAATGAATTGATAAAATGCAAACAGAAAGGCTGCTCGAAGAAATATCATAAAAAATGTGTTTCGAGGACAATTTTAGACACAAAATTCATTTGTCCTGGGCATTTATGTTTTCAATGTGGCACAACAACGACGACTCACTGTTCTGTTTGTAAAATCGCCTTTTGTCAAGGTAAACTTTCAAAATTATTTATTTATTTGTTTATTTCAATTAATACAGTTTTCGTCACTTTAAAAAAAAAAATTTTTTTTAAAATAAAGAAGAAATAAGTCAAACTAATTCCTTTTCAATTAAAACTAACATATAAATTTAATTAATGATAAAAATAAATTCAATTAACGAAAAAAAAGAATAATTTTTTTAATAAATAAATAAAAAATGGATTTTCAATTTTGAATAAAATAAATAAAGAAAGAAATAGTAAATTCTAAATAAATGAATAAAAATGGACTTTAAATAAATGTAATGAATTCAAAAGAAATAAAAAAATTAATTTCTTTAATATTTAAAATAATTAAATGAGAATAATTTTATTAAAATTGTTGAAAGTACTAGAATTCTTAAAAAAAATATTCTTAAAATTTTGTAGAAAGTAAAATTATTTTAAAGAATTAATATAAATTTTATTATAAAATTTTGTAAAACATATTCAATTTACTAAATATCAAAATTTAAGAAAACAATAAAATTGAATTATATTTTTTAAAGGATTTAATACAATTCTAAAAAATAATTGAATTCCTTCAAAGAATTTTATTATTTATGAAAATAATTGAATTTTTTGAGAAGAATTTAAGGACAATTTTTTGAAAAAAAAATTTGAATTCTTGCAAAGAATTTTATTGTAATTCGAGAGAATAATTGAATTTTTTCAGAAAGTTAAGTAAAATTACATTTTGAACATTATTAACATTCCAATGTAATTGAATTTTTGAAAATAATTGAATTCTTGAGGATAATTCTGTTCAACTTTTTTTAACATAATTGAATTATTGTGACAAAATTTATTATTTTTCCAAATAATTAAATTCTTGTCAAGAATTTATTATTTTGAAAAAGAAATTGAATTCATAAGGAAATTCCTATTCAATTTTTTTTAAAGTAATAGAATTTTTGTCAAAAACTTTATTTTTTTTTGAGAATAATTCAATTTTTTTTAAATAATTGAATTCTTGTGGAGAATTCAATTCAATTTTTTTTTAAATAATTGAATTCTTGTAAAAAAATTTATTATTTTTCAAGATAATTGAATTCTTGTCAGAATTTATTATTTTGAAAAATAATTGAATTCATAAGAGGATTTCTATTCAATTTTTTTGAAATTAATTGAATTCTTGTCAAGAATTTTATTATTTTTTAAAAAAGTTGAATTTTTGTGAATAATTTAATTTAAATTTTTGAAAATAATTGACTTTTTGAGAAGAAGTCTAGATTAATTTCTTTTTTGAGAATTCTATTCAATTTTTTTGAAAGCAATTGAATTCTTGTCAAGAATTTTATTTTTTTTTTTAAATTAATTAAATTTTTGTGAATATTTTAATTTAAATTTTTGAAAATAATTGACTTTTTGAGGAGAATTTTATTCAATATTTTTGAAAATAATTGAATTCTTATCAAGAAAATTTATTATTTTTCCAAGTAATTAAATTCTTGTCAAGAATTTATTATTTTGAAAAATAATTGAATTCATAAGGAAATTTCCATTCAATTTTTTTGAAAGTAATTGAATTCTTGTCAAGAATTTTATTATTTCTTAAAATAGTTGAATTTTTGTGAATAATTTAATTTAAATTTTTGAAAACAATTGATTTTTTGATGAGAATTCTATTCAATTTTTTTGAAAATAATTGAATTCTTGTCAAGAATTTTTAATTTCTGAAAATATAATTGAAATTTTGTTAAGAATTTAATTTAAATTTTTGTAAATAATTGAATTCTTGAGGAGAATTCTTTTTAATTTTTTTCAAAATAATTGAATTCCTAAAAAGAATTTTATTATTTTTAAAAATAATTAAATTCCTAAATTTTAGAGAATTTTACTCTTTATAAAAATAATTGAATTTTTGTGAAAAATTTTATTAAAATTTTTGAAAATAATTTAATTCTTGAGGAGAATTCTATTCAATTTTTTTTAAAAGAAATTGAATTCTTGTTAAGATTTTTTTAATTTTTGAAAATCTAAATCTAAATATTGTTTTAAATTTTTGAAATTATTTGAATTTTTTCGAAGAATTTTAGAAATAATTGAATTTTTTTGAAGATGGTTTATGAAAACTCCATTGAAAATAATTGAATTCTATCAAATTATTATTTCATTATTTATGAAAATAATTGAAAGCATTTAAAAAATTAAATAAATTTTTTAAAAATAATTGAATTTTATTAAAATTTTTTTAAAACATTCGAATTCTTTGCCTACAGTTTAAAAAAAATTGTAAGAACTGAAAATAATTTAATTTGTGCGAGTCAGTTCTTATTTAGAAAATGATTGAATTTCTCCTGAAGAATTTTTTTTTATTTATAAAAATAATTGAATTTGCCTAAGAATATAATGAATATTTTCGATCCTAATTGAATTTTAATATTTTCGAAAATATTAAATAATATTTAATTATAGTTTATTAGTGAATAAGTGAATATTTTTGAAATTTTGATTCTGAAATTATTCTAAAATTCAAGTTGATATTTGAAAATAAAAAAACTTATAATTTGCATAATAATAAATTGAATGCAGCGTTAAATTTACTAACGTTTAATAAATATTTAAAATTAGATTTTATAGAAATGAAATAATTAAATATTCAAAAGTAGATTTTAAATAAATTTAATATAAAGAAAAAAGAAAAGAAGAAAGACAGAAAGGCAAGAAAATAGATTTAAAATAAATGGAAATAATTAATAGTATAAAAATAGATTTCAAATAAATAATTGAAAATACAAAAATAGACTTCAAATAAATAGAAATAATTAAAAATACAAAAATAGATTTAAGTATAAATAGAAATAATAAATTTGGTAATAAATAATGAATTTAATCGAAATAATAAAGAAATTGTTAACGTTTTTTAATTTCAGCACATCAAGAGGAAAATATGATCGAATCGAAAGGATCGTTTGTCTGTAAAAATCATAAAAACGGCCTCAGTTTGGTGACAACATCGTCGTCGTTGTTGTCGTCTTCGTCGTCGTCGTCAACAATAGCGGAAGACGGAAAGGAGAAATTGAACAACCTGGAGTTGGAGAAATGTTCTTTTGCGCCTTCTGGTTGTTCGAGTCCAATTGTCACGACGAGTAAATCACATTCGAAAATTCAAAATCAAATTCAGGAACAGTCGGCGCGTGTATCGATAGAAGAGGTAAGCCGACTGCATTCCTACATTCGTAAAAAATTGCGAAGAAGGCCCTACTCGGCCATGTCCTAAAAAAAAAATTAAGTTTCACAATCTCGTTCTCTTCATTTTTATTTCCCATTTTTTTTTTCTTGCAACTTTTTTCTTCTCACTTTTCTCGAATCTAGATTTATAGATTTTTTTTCTTCCAACTATCTTGGAATTTTTTTCTTTTGCAACTTTTCGGGAATTTTTTTTTTTTTTTGCAACAATTGGATAGTGTGAAAAATATCCAAAAAGAAAAATGTAAATTGATCTTTTATTTTTAAATGTATATAGAGATAATTTTAATCTTTTTTTTTCGTTTCTTTTTATAAATGTGAGAGACGAGATTTTTTTATTGTGAGTGTAAATTTATACTAATTTTTGTTTTTGTGTTTTAAGAAAAAAAATGACGAGAAGTCATTTTTTTCGATGTTTTTTTTTTTTTAAAGAGAAAATAAAATGTAAATATTTTATTATTATAGAATATTTTTAATTTGTGGTGCATTATTCAATGTTAATATCGATAGAATTTCAGTTTAGAGAAAATCACTTTTTATAAACTTGCATAAATAGTTTTTTCTTTTCAATTTTTTAATTAATTTTAATAAAATAGGATTTTCATTCATTTTGAAAAAATACGATTTTAATTCAATTTTAATAAAATAAAATATCAAAAGAATATCAATATAAATTAATAAAATAGAATATAAAAAAAAATGTCAATATTATAATAAAGTAAAATAAGAAAATTTTATTATTAACAAAATATTAAAATATTTGCAAATTTGAATAATATAAATAAAATTATAATATATCGAAAAATTTTCAATATTGTAATAAAATAAGATATTAATAAAATAAAATATGAATAAAATATTCAAAATTTTCAAAATATGAATTACGAATATAAACAAATATAATCCTCGATAAATTAATTAATAATTTTGAAACTAAATAAAACATTAATTTTCGATGCAGAAAAATTTCGTTGGAAAATTAAAGAAACATTAAATTGAAAGAACTAATAAAATAAATACAATTTAAATTCATTGTTTTTTTCTCAAAAATGAATTTTATCGAGAAAAAAATATTCTTCGATTTTGTAAATCGATATATAAAATTATAAAAAAAAATTATAAAACAATTATACAAACAATAAATTATCGATACTGATATTGTACATCACCACGTTATTTAATTTTATAGTTTTACAAATAACGAAATTCTCTTTGATTTTGTGAGAAATTAAAATTTGGGATGAAAAAAATTGTAAAATGTTGCTTTATCCCTGTTTTTTTAAAAAGAAGAAAAAAAAAATAAAACAATTAATTAAGAACGGAATTTTTTTTCGCGACTTAAAAAAAATATCCAATAGAATAATTATTGTCGATTTGGTTTCTCTTTTCAATTTCTTTAATTTTCGAAAAGTTTTGTTTTCTAAATTGTTACACTTTCAAATCTCTTCTGAACATTTTCTTTAGAATTTAATTTTATTTACTTTTATTTAATTTCATTTAATTTCATTTAATTTCATTTAATTTCATTTAATTTCATTTAATTTCAATTAATTTTATGTTAATAATTATTATTCGTAAATAATTTTTGAAAAGTAAATTTGTTTCCCCGGAAATGAAAAACCTTTTTGTTCTATTTTCTGTCTTCTTTTCTTTTTTGAAAAATCTTTTTTTCGACTATTTTCTTTATTTTTTATATTTTCTTGTTTCTTTTGTTGGGAAATATTTTCACTTTTTTCTTTCAAGCTTTGCACTCCAAAAAAATTTTTCAGAATTTTTTTTTTTTTTTTTGGCAAGAATTCAATTACTTTCAGAAATAATGAAATTCTTTGGTGAAATTCAATTATTTTTAAAATGATTTTAATTAAATTCTTCGTAAAAAATCAATTTAAAAAAAAATTTGATAAAACTTTTTTCGTACGAACTTAATTACTTTCACAAATAATAACATTTTTTGTAAAAAATTAATTATTTAAAAAAGTTTTTATATAATTCATTGAAAAAATGCAATTAGTTTTTTAAATAAATAAAATTCCCCACAGAAATACATGAATTTTTAATTCAATTTAAATTGAATTCTTCGAAATAATTTAATTATTTTATAAAAATTTTAATAAAATTCTTTAAAACGATTCAATTATTCATAAGAATGCAATTATTTTCAGAAGTAATAAAATTATTCATAGAAATTTAATAATTTAAAAAAATTTTTTTAAATTCGTTGAAAAAATTCAATTGCTTTTATGAATAATATAATTTTTCGCAGAAATTCAATTGTTTTTAATCCATAACTTAAATTAAATTATTCGAAAGAATTAAATTATTTCTTTTTAATTTTAATAAAATTCTTTAAAACGATTCAATTATTTACAAAAAAAATTTTTTTCTATTTTTCTTAAGAATTCAATTATTTTGAGAAGTAAATAAAATTTTTCACAGAAATTCAATTACTTTCATAAATAATTAAACTTTTTAAAGAATTTCAATTATTTTTAATACAATTTCAAATAAATTATTCAATTCAATTGTTTATTATTTTCACAAATAATAACATTTTTCGTAGAAAATCAATTATTTCAAAAATATTTCAAAAAAATTCGTTCGATAGAATTCAATTAATTTTATAAATAATAAAATTCTAAGCAGTAATTGAATTATTTTGAAAAATTTTCTAAAAAAATGTAAGAAAAAGAATACATTCTTCTTCTGTCGTAAGAATTTAATTTTTTTTCAGTAGTAATAAAATTATTTATAGAAATTCAATTATTTTCCAAATTTTTAATAAAATTCTTACAAGAATTCAATTTTTTTTTTTACAAATATTAAAATTTTCCGTATGAATTCAATTATTTAAAGAATTATTTTATAATTCAATTAATTTTTCAATTAATTAAATAATAAAATTATTCATAGAAATTCAATTATTTTCCAAATTTTTAATAAAATTTTTCACAAGAATTCAATTTTTTTTTACAAATATTAAAATTTTCCATATGAATTAAATTATTCATAGAAATTCAATTATTTTCCAAATTTTTAATAAAATTTTTCACAAGAATTTAATTTTTTTTACAAATATTAAAATTTTCCATATGAATTCAATTATTCATAGAAATTCAATTATTTTCCAAATTTTTAATAAAATTCTTCAAAAGAATTCAATTTTTTTACAAATATAAAAATTTTCCATATGAATTCAATTTTTTAAAGAATTATTTTATAATTGAATTATAAAATTCAATTATTTTCAAAAATAATATATTCAATGATTTTCATAAATAATAGAATTCTTTGCAGGATTTCAATTATTTTCAATTTAGTTTAAAGTGAATATTTCTTGATGAATGTAATTATTTTTAGAATCTTTATTGATATTTTTTTATAAAAATCAATTATTTTCCAAATTTTTGATAAAATTCTTAAGAAGAAGAATTCTTTATTTTCAATCTTTAAAAAATTCTTTATTTAATTTTTGAAAAATTTAATTTAGACAAAAATATTAGTTTTTTGAAAAACTAATTAAAATTTTTTAAGAAAAAAAGATTTTTTTAAAACAAAGTCAGGGAAATACAGAATCAATTTTTTTTGGCAATTTTATGATTCGACTAAAACGAGTTTTTTTTTCATCGTCAAATTTAATTTTTCAATAGCTACTTTTTTATTACTTCTTTTTTTATTCTTAAAAACAATTTATCCTATTTTTGGAAAATTAATTATCGAGTGCGAAGCCTGATCCTTTTTTCATTGGGAAATATTTTCAGTTTCTTTTCCTTTATTGTGAAATATTCTAATTTTTTAAATTTTTTTGTTGTCGAATATTTCAATTCTCTTCTCTTTTTTTATTGTCAAATATTTTTATTCTCTTGTTTTTTTTTATTGTCAAATATTGTTATTTTCTTCTTATTTTTTTTGTGGATTTTTTTCGTTATCAAATATTTTATTTTCTTCTCTTTTTTTATTATCAAATATTTTATTTTCTTTTCTATTTTTATTGTCAAATATTTTCATTTTATTTTTTTTTCTTTATCAAATATTTTTAATTCTCTTCTCTTTTTTTAATGTCAAAAATATTTTCATTTTCTTCTCTTTTTTTAATGTCAAAAATATTTTCATTTTCTTCTCTTTTTTTAATGTCAAAAATATTTTCATTTTCTTCTCTTTTTTTAATGTCAAAAATATTTTCATTTTCTTCTCTTTTTTTAATGTCAAAAATATTTTCATTTTCTTCTCTTTTTTATGGTGAAATATTTCCATTTTCTTCTTTTTTTTGTTGAGAATTATTTTCATTTTTTTTTATGTGTGAAAGTCAATTTGTGAATTAGAATTCATTTAGCGAATGAACGAAACAAAACAAAAAAAAAAAAGACAAACAAACCCGTAGGTTCATCTCAGCTGTGAAGATTGTGAGGAAACACTCACCGAGGACACAGACGACGCCGATGAAACGGATAATAATCATCATGACAAATCAAATTCAATACGACGAAGATCAAGAAGAATTAGTCAAAAACTTGACGCACTTAAATCTCTTAATTCTGAACAATTATTAGCAATAATTGGCGGTGGAGTTTAGAAATTTTCTTTCTTTTTAATAATTCAGAGACATATCCGGAAAAAAAAGAAAAAAATCTATTTTTTTATTAAATAATATGTAAAAATTTGTACAAAATTCAGAAATTTTTTTTATTTTTTCATTAACGAAACAAAGAAATTTCGCCGATATTTTTTTTTTAAAGTTATTACAAAAATTATTTGCAAAAAAAATTTTTGAAATACAAATATCACGAAAAAAAAAATTTTTTTTTTTTATTTTAAAAAGAAAACTTGTACTAATATAGAGAAAAAAATTGTAAATTCGGAAATGTCTCTTCGATTATATATATAAATATAGTCATTAGATAGAATTTTTTTTTAATTGTCAAATTTTCTCCAAAAACTAATTTTTTTTATTTTACATTTGAATTTTTTTGTAGACGAAAATTTTTTTTTGTGTTTATAATTCATTTTTTTCTCTCTCTCTCTCTCTCTTCTTTAAGAATTTATTTTCACCAGACAAAAATCGATGAAAATAGAAATAATTAATGATCGTCTATAATATTATAATTGCCAAAGTATTTTACAATGCAAAATGTCAATTCTTGTAAATTGCTTCATTTAACATTTTAAGATAAAGATAATGAAAAAAAAACGTAAACTGTGTAAAAAAAAGGAACAGAAAACAAATTTTGTGAAAATTAAATTTGTCGGAAAATTTTTTAAAAATTGACGACCAAGTTTTTTTCTTTTGGTTTTTGATAAAAGTGAAAATGTTCCAATGTTAAATATAAGGATTAAAAAAATTTTTTTTTTAAAAGTCGTCTTTGTATAAAAAAAAAGAAAATTTGTGATGTTTAATCGACGACGAATATCATGTAATGATTAAATCCCTGAATAAATTATTAAAATTCAGAAACAAAAATATATTTTGTATTTTGCTTATAATTATTTTGTACTTATTATTTTATTTTAATAATTAATATTTTGTATTACTTTTGGATTTTTTTTCTTTTTGAAAAAATGCGAATATTTTTTTTTACTTTTCTTTCCTATTGTTGTTGCAAAAGAATGGAATAAATAATTATTTATTTGTAATTATTTATTATTTAGAATTTGGTTATTTATTTATTTTTTGTATTAAGAAAAGAAATTTTGTATTAAAAAAGAAATTTTCAACAATTGTAACAAGATTTATTTCAAAAAATTCTCTACAAGTACAAATTGAAATAGAAAAAAAAGAGAATTTCTAATTTTTTACATGGGAAAAAAAACTAAAAAAAATATGTAAATTGTGTCTAAAAGTTTTTTTTTCTAAATCTAGAATTATCATTTTTTACAAAAGTAAATTTTTCATTTATTATATTTTACTTTAAATTGTAGTTTTCTAATTTTAATGATATATTATTAACTTAATTATTAATTTACACAACAGGGTTGCCAAGAAAATTTTATTTTCTTTTTCTCTGATTTCCAGACAATACTCCAGACTTTTTCCCCGAGTTTAAAGAATATTTTAATTCACTCTAAAAATAATTAGATAATTAATTTATTTATTAATAACTGTTTAATATCTTTAATTGTAAAATTATTCTAAACATCAATAAACTTATAAAAAATTATTCTCAAGATTTCAATTCAAATATTTTCTACAACTTTTTACCAAAAATTCTTCTCTAATTCAATTATTCAATTATTTTTCATAATTTCTAAAAAATTATTTCTCCTTTGGAATTTAATTATTCATTTAAAAAAAAAGTTGAACTAACATTTTTTTATTTTAACAGAAAGAATTTTTGATAAATTTTTACATATTATTTCTTTTTTATCACTTTTGTAATTTTTTATAATTTTTAAAATTTGAAATAAATTAAATTTTTACATAAGAATTATATTAAAATTTTTGAAAATAATTCAAATTTGGGGAAAATTATTTAATTATTAAAAGTTTTAGAAATAATTGAATTGTTTGGAGAAAAATTATTAAAATTATATTAAAAATAATTGAATTTTTGCAAATTTTTTCGACAAATTTCATTAAAATTGCATTGAAAATAATTGAATTCCTTCGAAGAATTTTACAACTTCCAAAAATAATTGAATTCTTGCGACGAATTTTATTATAATTTTTGAAAAAAATTGAATTCCTGTGAAGAATTTTATTATTTTTTCAAAATATTTGAATTCCTTTGAAGAATTTTATTATTTTTTAAAAATAATTGAATTTCTGGAAAGAATTTTATTAAAAGTTTTCAAAATAATTGAATTCTTGCGACGAATTTTATTATAATTTTCGAAAATAATTGAATTCCACCAAAGAATTTATATTATTTGTGAAAATAATTGAATTGTTTAGAAGAAAATTGAAAAAATTCTTTCGACGAATTCAGTTAAAATTGTATTGAAAATAATTGAATTGAATAATTGAATTAAAATTGTATATTCAAAATAATTGAATTTACAATTAGTGGATTCTTATTATTTTTTATGAAAATAATTAAAAACTTATAAAGAATTTCATAAAACCTTTTTTAAATATAAAATAATTGAATTTCAGCGAAGAATTCCATTATTTGTTATAAGAATTGACTTCTGCAAAAAAATTTTTTTTTAATTTTATAAAATAATTCAATTCTTTTCCATAATTCAATTAAATAAAATCGTATTGAGAATAATTGAATTTTTATACAGAAGTTTATAAAAAATTTAAAAAAAAATAATTGAATTTTTTCGAGAAATTTAATTTAAATTATATTAAAAATAATGGAATTCTTATATAAATTTTTTTTTAAATTTTCTAAAAATAATTCAATTCTATCGGAGACAATTTAATTTAAATTTTTAGAAAGAATGGAATTGTTTGAAAAAAAATTATTAAAATTATATTAAAAATAATTGAATTCTTGCAAAGAATTCAATTATTTATCAAAATAATTGATTTTACGACGAATGTTAATAAAATTTTTTTAAATAATTGAATTTTAACAATAAATTTTATTAAAATTGTATTAAAAATAATTGAATTGAATATTTTAATTAAAATTGTATTAAAAATAATTGAAATCCTTCGAAGAACTTTCATATTTATCAAAATAATTAATTTTACGACAAATGTTAATACAAATTTTTTAAATAATTGAATTTTAACAATAAATTTTATTAAAATTGTATTAAAAATAATTGACTTTCTCTGAAGAATTTTTATATGTAAGAAAATAATTGAATAATTGCCAAGAATTAATAGTAAAAAAAAATTTTTTAAACAATTGAATTCTTTCAAGGAATTTTATTAATTTATGAAAATAATTAAATTCTTGTGGTGTATTTTTTATTATTTATGAAAAAATACTTAAATTCTTGGGACGAGTTTTAATAGAATTTTTCAAAATAATTGAATTGTTTCAAAGAGTTAATATTAAAATTTTTGAAAATTATTGAATTTTTCGAGAAATTTAATTAAAATTTATATTTGTATAATAAAAAAATAAAAATAATTCAATCTTAAACACAAATTTTCTTCAAATGTTTGAAAATAATTGAATCAATTCAAAGAATTCGATAAAATTTTTTAAAAAAATTTAATTATTTCGGATAATTTAAATAAAATTGTATTATAAATAATTGAATTGAATATTTTAATTAAAATTGTATTTAATTTTTTGAAATTTTAATGAAAATTATTGCGCAAAATAATTTTCGAGTTTTTCAAGAATTAAATTATTTAAATCAAATTCAATTTCAAATCCGTAAAATTCAATAATTATTGTTATAGAAATAGAAAGAATTGCAAATTAAATGAAATCTTTTCAATATTTTTAAAGTTTCCCGGACAAGAAAATTTAGAATCTTTTTCTAATTTACTAGAAATTTAATATTTTTTCAATATTTTTCATAAAATTCCCTGACTTTTTCCTGATTTCCCAAAAAAGTGGCAACCCTGTAAAATTAATAGTAAAACAATTTCGAACTTTTGTTAACTAAAAACATTCGTTTATTACAATTTTTCCAAATTAGTATTTTTTTCCTAATAACAATTTTTTCTAATTAAAATTTTAGTCCCATATAGAAAAAGGAATTAAAAATTATTGGAAATTTTTACTCGTAAATTAAGGCGGAAAAAATTGTCTTCTTCTTTTTAACATTTTTTGTATTAAAATATTTTTTTTGATATTTTCAATATATATTTAAATATTTTTAAAAATATTTTTAGTATTTAATTATTTTTGAAATATTTTTAATATTTTCCATATTTTCGATTGTCTTTCAATTAATGTTTTTTTCCGCCTTTCTTTCTCCTTTTTTATGAGACTAAGCAGATAAATTAATATTACAATTAATTAGATACTTATTTCTAATTGAAATTAAAATAGATTCGTTTCAAAAATGAAACATACATTTTTTTTCAGTGATTCGTTATAAAATCTTCCGATACATTCTGACCGTTTCTTTTTCTTTTTTCTTCGTTTTAAATTAATTGTAAACTGTAAGTTTTAAAACTATAGTAAAAAAAACGGTTTTTTTTTTTAAAATACAAACATCGAGATTCAATTATTTACAGAAATACAAATTGTAGGACGAGAAAATTTCAATGTCCCCGAAGAATTTTTTTTTTATAAAAAGAAAAAATAAAATAACATGAATTTTATTAAAAATATTTTAATTTAATTTAAAAAACGAGAAAAACTTAATAATTCATTAAAAAAATTCTCTCAAAAGGAATTGACAAATAATAAAATTTTCTTAAATTTTGAAAAAACAAAATTTCAACGTCATTTAGTAAAATAAAAATACAAAAATTCATTGCAAATTTTTGTTTTCGAAAGAAAATTCTTACGAAATTTATTTTTTCTCACGATTTTGAAAAAAAGGGGAAAATAAATTTTCATTAAATTTGACAAAAACAAATCACAAAAAATCGAGGTACCTTTTTTTGTGAATAAAAAGAAAATAAAATTGAGCTAAAAAATTAAAACCGAGAGTATTTCGGAAGTTAGTTTTAAAAATGCAATAAATTCATTCTTAAGATTAAATTATGCTTTCATTTTTCTTTTTTTGGTAAAGCGCTCACGAGTGATTGAAAAAAATTATTTAGATTTTAATAAATAAGTTCGCTCGGGATTTTTTTTTTAAATTAATTTAAGTAATAATTAATTACTTTTTCTTTTCTTCTTTTCAAACTTTACGTTCGGTGTTGTAATTTTGGTAAAGTTTCGGACTATCCTGAAGCGATGAACTCGCCGTTGAATTGTTACTCGATACTGGACTTCCGGCCGGATTTGAAGTAATGGAAATAATTTCGTCCTGACTTTGGGGACTGAATCTTTTCCTTAAAACTGGCGGTACAAATCTTTGACCCGCTGCTAAATCTCTCTTCGGGGCAAATGTCTGTAAAGTAAAATTTATTTTTTTGAATTTCTTTGTACTTGATAGAAATAAAAATAGAAATTACTATTTTGCGCTTTTTCTTTTACTTGAAAAGAAATAAAAATATAATTTTTTTGATACTTGAAGAGAATTGAAGTAGAATTTAATTTTTTTTGTAATTTTTCTGTAGTTTAAAAAAGAATTAAATGTAGAATTTATTCTGGATTGCCACAAGTCAGGGAAAAGTCAGAATAAATAAATAAATAAATAAATAAATTTCTTCGAAATAATTCAATTATTTTCATAAATATAATAAAATTTTCACAGGAATTCAATTATTTAAAATACAAAAATTTCATAAAATTTTTCGAAAAATATTAATTATTTAAAAAGATTTTTATAAAATTCGTCGCAAGAATTGAATTATTAAAAAAAATTTTTTAAAAGTTCTTTTCAAGACTTTAATTATTTTTATAAATAATACAATTTTTTGTGGAAATTCAATTATTTTGATAAAAATTAAATAAAATTCGTCTAAAAAATTCAATTATTTTTATAAATAATAAAATTCTTAACCGAAATTCAATTATTCTAATAAACTTGAATAAAATTCGTTGCAAGAATTCAATTATTTATATAAATAATAAAATTCTTCACAAAAATTCAGTTATTTTTATAAATTTTGAATGAAATTCGTTGAAAGAATTCAATTATTTTCTTAAAAAATAAAATTCTTCGAAGCAAATCAATTATTTAAGAAATTTTAATTAAATTCTTCCCAAGAATTCAAATTTTTTTCAAAAATAAAACTTTTCACAAGAATTCAATTATTTAAAATAAAATTTAATAGAATTCTTCGTCAGATTTCAATTATTTTCAATTTTTTAATGAAATTTTGTCGATGGAATTTAATTATTTTCAAAATGTTATAAAAAATTCTGAGAAATTCAATTATTTAAAAAATTTGAATAAAATTCTTCACAAAAAATTAATTAATATCATAAATAATACAATTCTTCTCCGAAAATTCTTTGAGTATCTAATAATTTTTGGAGTGAATCGGTATATTCTTCAGGTTCAGGGAGAAAGTGAAAATTTTGTCTGGAAATCAGGGAAAAGTCAGGGAAAAACAAAATTAAATTTTCGTGGCAACTCTGTTATTGTTTTGTAATTTTTTTCTACTTGAAAAAATTGAAATATAATTTGACTATAAATTCAAATAGAAATAAAATGAAATGGAAATAAAATAAACCAAAATAGAAATGAAAAAAATAAAATGGAAATAAAATAAATGAAAATAGAAATAAAATAAAATGGGAATTAAATAAACCAAAATAGAAATAAAACAAAATGGAAATAAAATAAAATAGAAATAGAAATAATACAAAATGGAAATTAAATAAAATAGAAATAAAATAAAATGGAAATTAAATAAAAAAAATAAAGTAGAAATAAACCAAAATAGAAATAAAATAAATAAAATAGAAAAAGAAAATAAAAATATAAGAGAAAATAGAAACCTTGGGCCTAGAAGAAGGCAAACTGGCGCCAGTGACGAGACCCAGAATACTAGCAGCGAGTCCGCTTAGTTGAACAGCGGCCATTGGCGACAATCCTCTTCTAACGATGCCCAAAGCCAAAAAGGCAGCTTGGGCCAAAACTGGAGCTGCTCCGGCCGCGCTTGCCGCAGCACCGGCTAATTGTCCTCCGCCAACGCTCGGTCCATACGCAAAACACAAATTGTGTCTGTCAACCTGTGAAAAACAAAAAAATTCAATTATTTTTAAAAATTCTAATAAAATTCTACGAAAAAATTCAATTATATTCATAGATAATAAAACTCTTCGTTGAAATTCAATTATTTTCAATACAATCAGATTATTATAAGCAGGTATATTTTTACGTATAAATTAGTAATTTTAGCAAAAGTATATGAAGAAAAAGTAATTTTAGACTCTAAGGAGAATATAATAATTCTTTTTTGTTTTAAAGAAACTTTTTTTTTCTTTTTTGTTAATTAAAGAAAAAAAGAGGAAAAGTTGTTACCAAATGCTTGATGAGCAAATAGAGTAGACCAAAAGGTGTGATGAGTGGACAGGCGAGACTGTAAAATGTCGTCATAGTGAAAACAAGAAGCAGCCAAGCGTAATGTGCGCCCAATGGAAATTCCCAGAGAACAGCTTTTCTCACATAAATCCTCTCGGCTCGACTCCTCGCCATGCACAATCGAAATGTATAGAGCGCAAGTTCTGGAAATCTCACCAGTTCCAGTGCACAGCCCACCAATGCCGACGTGATCACGTAATTTACAAAAAATGCCCCCTAAATAACAAATAATTTCATCCAAATTAATTATTTCATTCGAAACAATATTATTAGTCAAACTTCTTTATTGTAATTTAAAAATATCTTAGTTATCATAATTTCAAGATATTTAATATTACATTTAAATTATTAGAATTCTAAAATATTTAATGTTTCAGTTAAATTATTAGAATTCTAAAATTTTCAATATTTCAGTTAAATTATTGTAATTCTAAAATCTTTAATATTTCAGTTAAATTAAATTTCAATAATATTCTTCAAATTACTATAATTAGATAATATTTTCTCGATTTTTACCTGATCGGGCAAAAAAATACACTGCCATCTCATTGTATCGTTTCCATTGTGAACCCATTCGAAAGCGGTCTCGAGACTTGTAAGACCGAGACTCGGCAGAATGAGGAACGCCAAAAGCATCAACAGCAATGTTTTCTTCATTACTGAACGATTTAATGTACTCCTTGTCCAATGTCTCACAAACGATTCACATCGTCCAACTAATGCCGGCATTAATGCCGCCACACTCACAAGTACAACTGTCGGCAAAAATGTCGATATTAATACGCTCAAATTTTTTATTTCGCCCATTATTTCAGGTTTATTTATCGCCGTCAGCACAACCTGCAAAATTTAAATTATTTTTATAACCTAAAACCAAGAATTAATAATAATTAATTATTAATTAATTAATTAATAATTAATAATAATAATTTAAGAAAAAAATAGCTTTTTTGTATTTTAATTATAGTTTTAAAACTTATTAATAAGAGAAATATTTTAAAAATTATCTCTTCAATATTCTGTTTATAATTAAAAATTTAAATAAATATTTTAAAAATTATCTTTTCAATTTTCTATTTATAATATTAAAAATGTAAACAAATAAAAAACTATCTTCTCAATATTTTATTGTTATAATTAACAATTTATAAATAATAAAAAGAAATGAAGAGTATAAAAAATAATTAATTAAAAAAAAGTGCATTAAGGTCATGTTATTCAGTGGTCACGTGTTCCCATAGTAAAGTATATGGAGCACGTGACCACTGAATAACATGACCTTAAATAGACAGAGAGAAACTCACAACGGGCGTTGTAATGAAGAAGAGCAATAATCCTAAGGCAATGTTTATTAGAAATGCATTTAAGTACCAACAGGGCCTAGTGATACTTAAATTCTCCCAGAAAATATCTGAAGGCGCTGGCGCGTAATTAACGGTCCACTTTATTGCCGGCGATGAACGCAATTGTCGTCGCATTGCTTTTGCGTCACCGGGAGTTCCTGCAAAAAAAATAAATAAATAAAAAAAATAAATAAATAAATAAGTAAAAAAAATTACTCTAAAAATTAAAAATTCTTCTAAAAAATTACAGTAATAAACCCTAAAAAAATACTTTAAAAATTACTCTAAAAAATTATAGAAATAAACCTTAAAAAAATAAAATCTTCGAGAAGATAATAAAAAAAAAACACTTCGAGAAAATAAAATGAATTTATCTACCCAAAGTGACGAAAGCGATTCCCAATCGTTTGCTGAGAGCGACATTTTTCTCCTCTTCGACCAATGCAGTAAGACGAATTTCTTCCTTTGTATAAAATTCCTGCGCGTCGACTAATTTCTGAAAAAGAAAACGCATTTCATTTTTAATCAAATTTAAATTTGTATTATATCGTTTCTTATTTTTGTTTTTGGGAATATTTTCCTCTCTTGTATTAAAAAAAAATAATTATAAAAACATTACCGTTTTACAGCAACAGCCAACAATTTGTCCACAAGGATGGGGATACATTTGCAATGGTTCCTTTCGTTTCGAGTAACTTTCGCAATACAATCGCGCCTGTTCGACACAATCACGTTCGGCGTCTAATATCGATAATCGCTTAATATCATAGGCTAAAGTCACATCTTCCACCGATGACTGCGGAAATGCTCCTCTAAAATCAAATTTCAAGCATTAAATATATATATATACAAAAAATGAAATTTAGAAAACAAAACTAAAAAAACTTAAAAAAGCTAGAAAAAAACTTTTAAAAAAATTTAAAAAAGCTAAAAAAGCTAAAAAAACTAAAAGAAAACTTAAAAAACTGAAAGAAAATTACAGGGTTGCCACGAAAATTTAATTTTGTTTTTCCCTGACTTTTCCCTGATTTCCAGACAAAATTTTTACTTTCTCCCTGAACCTGAAGAATATACCGATTCACTCCAAAAATTATTAGATACTCAAAGAAATGTTCTATTACATTTATATTTACGAATTTCTTTAAGTGGAAAATTATTCGACAACATCAATAACTTCTTTTTTAAAAAAGTACTTCATCATTATATATATTTTTCTATAGGAATTAAGGATTTCAAATCCAAACCTTCTGAAATTAAACAACTTATCAAAAAATTTTATAAAACATCAAGAAATCGATCACTTTCTTCACGCTTTATAATAAATTTAAAATTACAGAGTGATAAAATCATTATTTTATATTACAAGAATATTGCAAATATAAATTTAAATTTTCAAAGATTTTCATTTTTTAACCCTTTTCAAAATTCACTTATTTATCAAAATTCACGCTACGATGCTTTTAACATTCAATTATAATTTCAAATTTTAAATGAAATTCATTTTTAATCTTTTTTAATAGGAAATTTTTCAATAATTCAATTATTTAAATGCAAAGATAAATAATGTATTAAATAATTAAATATTTCTTAAAATTGAATTTTTTTAAAGAAATTTATAAAAAAAAATTCTAAAAATAATTGAATTCTTTCGGCGAATTTCAAAAAAAAATTATAAAGAATAAATGCAATTTTCTATCAGTTTATGTAAAATTGTACATAAAAAATAATTCAAACTCTGCTATAAATATTGTTATTTATAAAAGTAATTTAATTCTTGCAACGAATTTTATTAAAAAAATTTTTAAAGAATTGAATTCCAGTGAAGAATTTTATTTGTGAAAATAATTGAATTCCGGAGAAAAATATTATTATTTATGATATTAAATTAATTTCTTGTGAAGAATTTTATTCAAATTTTTTAAATCATTGAATTTCTGAGAATTTTTTATAACATTTTGAAAATAATTAAATTCCATCGACAAAATTTCATTAAAAAATTGAAAATAATTGAAATCTTGACGAAGAATTTTATTAAATTTTTTTTTAAATAATTGAATTCTTGTGTAAAGTTTTATTTTTGAAAAAAATTTGAATTCTTGGGAAGAATTTAATTAAAATTTCTTAAATAATTGAATTGCTTCGAAGAATTTCTTTTAAAGAAAATAATTGAATTGTTTCGAAGAATTTTACAAACTTGACAATAAAATTGTAATTTCTATAAGGAATATTATATTTTACAAATACAATTGTATTCTATAGTCAATTTTATTATAATTTTTCAAATTTATAAAGCATTTTATCTCAAAATTTTTGAAATAATTGAATTCTCGCGAAAAATTTTATTATTTATGAAAATAATTGATTTCTTACAAAGAATTTTATTGAAATTTTTTTCAAATAATTGAATTGCCATAAAAAATGTATTATTTGTGAAAATAATTGAATTCTTAAGAAGAATTGTATTGAAAATAATTGAATTGAATAGGAAAATTTTATTAAAATTGCAATTTTATTAACTAAATCTTGTAAAGAATTTTGTCAAAATTTTTTTAAATAATACAATTTTATTAATTTGATTGAAATTATTCTATTCTATTCTAATTAATAGAATTGAATTTCTGTGGAGAACTTAGTTATTTTTGAAAATAATTGTATTTTGCAAACAATTTTATTAAAACGTCTAAAAATAATTGAATTTTTGTGAAAAATTTAATTAAAATTTTTAAAAATAAATAAATTCTTGACAATTATATTCAATTTTTTTTTAAATAATTGAATTCTTGTCAAGAATTTTATTATTTGTCAAAATAATTGAATTTTTATTACAAAATTAAATTTGAAACTTTTGAAAGCAATTGAATTCTTTAGGAGAATTCTATTCAATTTTCTTTCAAATAATAGAATTTATTCAAGAAGAAATGTTATGTTTTTGAAAATAATTGATTTATTGCCAAGAATTTTATTATTTTTAATATTAATTGAATTGAATAATTTAATTAAAATTGTATTCAAAACAGTTGAATTTATGAGAATTATTCTCAAGAATTCAATTAATTTCAAAACGAAAAAAGTACTTCAAATTAATACAATTATTTTTTTCAAATTTTAATAAAATTCTTTAAAACGATACAATTATTTTTATAAAAATAAAAATTGACGAAGAATTTTATTAAATTTTTTTTTAAATAATGGAACTCTTGTGAAAAGTTTTATTTTTATTTTTTAAGAAAATAATTAAATTGTTTCGAAGATTTTTACAAACTTGACAGTAAAATTGTTATTCCTATAAGGAATGTTATATTTTACGAAAATAATTGTATTCTATAGTCAATTTTATTATAATTTTTCAAATTTATAAAGCAATTTATCTCAAAATTTTTGAAATAATTGAATTCTCGAGAAAAATTGTATTATTTATCAATAGTTCAATTCATTTAATTTTATTCAAATTTTTTTTAAATAATTGAATTCCCATTAAAAAAAATGTATTATTTGTGAAAATAATTGAATTCTTAAGAAGAATTTTATTTAAAATAATTGAATTGAATAGGAAAATTTTATTAAAATTGCAATTTTATTAACTAAACCTTGTAAAGAATTTTGTCAAAATTTTTTTAAATAATAGAGTTTTCAAAAGAATTTTATTTAAATTTTGCGAAATAATTGAATTTCTCTGAACTATTTTTTTCTATTCTTTGAATATATTTGAATTCTTTCGATAAACTTCATTAGAAAATTAAAAATAATTGAATTGGTGAGAAGAAATTTATAAAAAATTGGAAAGTAATTGAATTCCTGTGAAATTTTTATTAAAATTTCGTTCAAATAATTAAATTCTTTTGGAAAATTTTATTAAAATTATTAAAAATAATTGAAATGAGGAAAATTTTTCAGAATAATTGAAATTTTGACAAGAATTTTATTAAATTTTTTGAAAATAATTGAATTTCGGAAAAGAATTGTATTATTTGTAAAAATAATTGAAATTTTGACGAGAATGTTTATAAATTTTTGAAAATGAATGAATTTCTGTAATCAGTTCTTAAAATTTCTTAAAATTTAAATTGATTAAAAATTGAAATTTTTAAAAATTTCATATTGAAGCCTTTGAAGTTCATCGATTTATGCAGATTTAAAACGCAACTCTTTTGAAATGTAATTAATTTTGAAAATTTTGAAGTAAAATTATTCATTAAATAATTTTTGAGTAATAATTTGATGAAGAATGAAGTTATTTAAAAAGAAATTATTGTCAGAAAGAGAAAAAATTGAAAGTCTTGTATTAAAATTCTTGTCAATTTCATAGTTTGTAAGGCAAACAAAAAAGACAAAAATTCAGAATTTTCTTATAAATTCTAAAACTTAAATTTTTTCCAGTACTTTTAATAAGAATCCCTGACTTTTCCCTGATTTCCCTAACCTGTGGCAACCCTGAACTAAAAAAAGATAAGAAAAACAAAAAAAGCTAAAACAAACTTTTTAAACAAAGCAAATAATTAATTAACTTAAAATAAATTGAAGAAGAAGTGTAAAAATTAAAATACATACAAAATAAGAAGAATAAAGAACATAATAATAATAATAATAATAATAATAATAATAATAATAAAAATAATATAAACTATTTACCTAAAATATTTTTTAAGATTTTCACTATCGCATTGATGTTTTGGAATTTCCGTGATAAGTAAAGTTCTCGCTGCCAATTCACCGGCGGGTTTTGCATCTCTCACCTAAAAGAAATAAAAAAACAAAGAGAACAAAATATTTAAAAATGAAAAATTTTGAAATTGCAATGATTCGCGCTTTTTTTCTTAATTATACCTGTTTCATAAATTTCCGCATGACAATACCGCCAACGGGAAGATAAGAGAGAAGTAAAATGGTGTAAATCCACATGAGCGATGAATCGGGAGCGAGATTTAATAAAGTTGTGCGACCAAATGACGCCGCCTCACCGACGGGATTCCCATGATAATTAATTGGTAAAGCTACGCAAATTGATACCAACATCATCAGAGCCGTCAGGAGAATTAAATATCTCTCGAATGAGATATATAACAAACCATCTGGTCCTGCTCTCTTTAAAAATTCCTCGTCCCTGCGAAAAAATAAAAAAAAAAAATATTTAATAACAACAAAATTTAGAATTCTGAAAATTGAATATTTTTTCAGTATTTTTTAAAATCCCTGATTTTTCCCTGAAAAATCTTTATATAGCTCAGATTTAAAAAAAATACCTTTTTTCTGAAATATCTAAAAAATTAAGAATAATTTTAATAATTTTCTTCAATAGCAGGATAAAAAAAGAATAACAAGCGAAAAATCTCATCAAGATTAGAATATTTACGTGACTCTGAAGGCTGTGACGATCCATGATAAAAATCCACGATCTACGTGCGATAACTGTGTATTGACGGAAGTCTCAATGCAAGTCACGTCATTTTCTCTGTCATTATCACCATAAAATAATTCCATCCATCTGTTTTCTGTTTTGTGCAAAAGGGCCAGTCTTCCATAATTCCAAGCCTTCTTTCGCAAAAGGCCAAATAATGAAACTAGAAACTTTACCAAAACAGAAAAAAAAAGTTTATTTATATTAATTCAAAACCGAAATTAAATTTAGTAAACATTAATAATATTAAAAATAATTAATAAAACTCACCACAAAACCGATGAAATTTAATAGTAAATTTTCCGGAATTCCATTATAAACGTCGGTTATAATTGTATTATTTCGTCGGGGACTCGGTATACATTCTTGAAGCGTTGGAGTATTTTTATATGGACTATCACTGAAAAGAACAAAAAAGTTTTATTAACAAAATTACAAATTTCTGACAATAATTTACTTTAAATTACTTAATTCTATTGAAAAACTGCCACAAAAGAACACAGAGAAATTTTAATTCCAATTCTGTTGAAAATTAGTTTTAATTTTAAAAATTTCAACGCAATTCTTTAAAAGAATTCAATTATCTTAATTAATATTAAAATTCTTTCGAAAAATTCAATTATTTTCGAAATTTTATTAAAATTCGAATTTTTTTACGAATTTTTAGAAAAATTATTATTTAATTTTCTAGAGTTTTTAACTAAAATTTTCAAAAATAAAAAAAAAATCCTCGTCAACATTTTAATTATCTTTATAAATAGCAAAATTCTTCGCTAAAATTCAATTATTTTCAGAATTTTTAATAAAATTCGAATTTTTTCCGGATTTTTAGAAAATTTTTTTTTAACTTTCTAGAATATTTAACTAGAAATTTTCAAAAATAAAAAAAAATTCTCGACAACATTTCAATTATCTTTATAAATAGCAAAATTTTTCGCTGAATTCAATTATTTTTAAAAAAGAATGAAATTCTTCGCAGAAATTCAAATATTTTTGAAAATTCATTAAAATTCTTCGCAGAAATTCAATTATTTTCAAAATTTATTAAAATTCTTGGCAGAAATTCAATTATTTTCAAACAAGAATAAAATTCTTCGTAGAAACTCAATTATTTTCAAAATTTATTAAAATGCTTGTCAGAAATTCAATTATTTTCAAAAAAGAATAAAATTCTTCGCAGAAATTCAATTATTTTCAGAAAAGAATAAAATTTTTCGCAGAAATTCAATTATTTTTCAAAAATAATAATATTTTCAAAAAATTTTCTTAACTTAATAATTTGTATAACTTTAATTTTAATAAAATTTCCCAAAATAAATTCAATTATTTAAAAACAATTTTAACAAAATTCTACACAAAAATATTCAATTCAAATCTTATTAAAAGTTTTCAAAAAATAATTGAATTCCTGAGAAGAATTTCATTAAAAGTTTTAAAAATAATTTATTTCTCACGAAGAATTTTAATAAATTTTGAAAAAATAATCGAATTTCAGTGAAGAATTTTATTAATTTTTAAAAATAATTAAATTTCTGCGAAGAATTTTATATTAAAAGTTTTGGAAATAATTGAATTCTTGCGAAGAAAATTAAAATTATTTCTAGGAAAATCAATTTATTTTCGTATTTCCTATGACATTCTTCAAAAAAATCAATTTTTTTCAATTTCAAATTCTTTTGACGAATTTGAATAAAATTTTTAAAAATAATTTCATTTGTTGAGGAATTCTATTAAAAATAATTGAAATTTTACGACGAGTCTTATTATTTATATGATGAATCTTTTTCGTTTAACAAAAAATTACTCAAAGTACAACAATTATAATAATATAAATAATAGAAAAAAAGGCAAAACAATTTCGAAGATTTCGCACGAGAAACATAACCTAAAAATCGAAAAAACATTTTTCGCTTACAAATACGGTAAATAAAAAAATTCCAAGTATAAAATATGTTTATAGAAATTAATTGACATAGAAAATTGATTTAAAAAAAGCACAAACTATAGTTGGGAAAAATTCGCAAGAAACAAAATGAATTCAGGAAAAATATATATAATATAAGCGAATCGAGTGTGTTAATTTTTATCACGAGTTTTTAACGTTTTGTATACGATAAAACACATTATTATGATTATTCAATGAATTATAATAGGAAATTAAAAAAAGAAAATAAGAAATGACCTCATTGGGAGACGGAAAATGCAATAACAATGGGAGAATTAGTCATCGCTGCTACTGCGAGTTTATAGACAAAAAAAATAACAAGTGTTCGGAGAGTGATAAAGAATTGAATTTTTCTACTCACGTGGTATTGTTAAAATCAAATTCCATTCTTGAAAATTAGGAGCACCCGTTTGTTAAACAAATGTGAAAAGACATGTTATTAAACATGTGTCAATTTGACACTTTAATTTGACATTTTCGGAAACGACGTAACCTCCATATTTCGCAACTTGTGAAATTCTCTGCGTCGTCAAGCGGAGGAAATCAGAACTACCAATTTTCAGCCAATGAAATAAATACCAAACGAAAGATTTCCTTATAATTATTATTATGGAAATTTAATATTAAAAAGCAAGAAACACGTTTCAAAATTTTATTTTAAAGGTTCTCTTCGTTCCAAAGAAACTATTTTTCCTTTTTTTTCTATCAAAAATTGATTTCTAAAGAGAAATAAATTTCGTTTTGAATTTTCCGCCAAAAACTACAAATTGTCGTCTGCTGTCAAATAACACAAAAAACGTTCCTTTTATCCCGAAATTCGTCAATTATTCCTAATAATTAATGGAAATTGTGAAAATTAGAAGAATAAAGTTTATTTGTAATGTTTTTTTTCCCGTGTCAATATAAACGAATGGGGGAAATATGAAAATCAGTGCTTCTACCAGAGCTGCATTCATGGCAACTACGTAGAAGCTGCCAGGTACCCTCACCAAACGCAACTGCGCTTGCGCTATAAAAATGATCTATTAGCGAAATGAACCGCGCATTTTTAAAACGTTTAATACCCAGTCGAGAGCGAACATATTTGATTTGGGCGCCTGTATATCCCCGTTTTTAAAAAGTCCAAAATATAATTTGATCAAAATTACAAATTATGTCAAACGTTAAATCCATATAAATGTCATTCGATATAATGTGGCTTTACACAAACGTTTACTAAATAAAATGAGTTTATCCAAGAAATTGTTTTTCAGCAAATGGGCTAAATTATTCAAAATAATATTTTAGTAACCATCTTCTCAAAAAAGCAGCGAATCAAAGATTATCTGTTAAAGGTACTCTCTCACCTCTACTGCCTGCGCAGGCAGGCGCAATGAGAGTAAGGGAGAAAAAACATTTAATTTGAATTTTCTGACTCTCTTACTCTCATGTGTTACCATGACGACCTGCAGGCAGGCAGGCAGGCAGTAGAGCTGTGCGAGCGCCTTTAGACAAGTCACCCGTAGAGGAACTGTAATTTCTTTGTCAACAGTTTCTATTCTTCTAAGGTTAATTTTAAATTAAAAAAAAAAAATTTCAATAAAACAATGTTTCCATGAGAAGCCTACATATAGAGTTAAAAACAAGAGAAAAAAAATATACCTATTTATTACTATAAACAATAATTAAACATTAAAATTAACCTCAAAATAAAATTTCAAGACAATATTTATCCTAATTAATTTTCCGAACTGGTGTCGCTCGTTCCCTTATAAAAAATGAAATTAAAAAGAAAGTAGGAAAGAAATAAAAAAAGAAGTAAAAGGTAAAGAAAGAAAGAAATAAAAAAGAAGTAAAAAGTAAAGAGCGAAAGAAATAAAAAAATTAGTAAAAAATAATGAAAAGAATAAGGAAAGAAAGAAATAATAAAAAGAAGTCGAAAATAAAGAAATAAATAAATAAAAACGAGGTTAAAAATAAAAAAAGGAGTAAAAAATAAAGAAAGAAATAAAAAAGAAGTAAAAATTAAAGAAAGGAATAAAAAATAAAGAAAGAAATAATAAAAAGAGAAATAAATAGTAAAAGCAAAGCAAAGAAAAACAAAATGTTCGAACTAGAAATAGAATAATTTACCAAACGAAATAAAAATTAGCGCTGCTTTTGAAACTGATTTCCATTTTCCATAAAATATTAAAATTGCAAATATGAATTCTCTTTTCTAGACAAAATTCAGTTCGAGAACAAGAGGATGGGTTGAATTGCCCTCGGATTCGGAGTGCAGAGCAAAAATTAAATTGAGATTGGAGCACTGCCTCAAGGACAAGGAGGATTCGAGGAGATTATCACAAGCGAGTCAAAGTACTTACAGCAGTAGATCGTCCCAGGATCGAGGGAGATTTGCCGGCGATATTGAATCGGAAAATTCTGCATTTAACATTTGCGATAAGCAAAGTGTCATGGCTCTATTTAAAGATCATGTCAATATCAAAGTTTCGAATGTTAATTTAACATTGTGCATGAGTTCAATCACTGGCCTCACGGACTTAATTGAGGACGAAATTATTCCCAAGCCCATTCCAGTTGAGGTTCGTTTGCTTCTAATTTTTAATTGTTTATTATTAAATATAAGTAAATTAGATCGAGGAAATTAATAAATTAAATTGTGGAAATGAATTAAAATTAAGTAAAAGAAATTAATGAAGTAAATTAAAGAAATTAACTAATTAAATCACTGAAATTAAGAAAATAAACTGAGGAAATTAACTAATTAAATCAAAGAAATTAATAAAATATATTCAAGAAATTAATTTATTAAATTAAAAAACGAATTAAGTAAAATTAAAAAAAATTATTTCAAAAATAATAACATTGTTGTAATAAATAATAATAATAATAATAATAATAATAATAATAATAATAATAATAATAATAATAATAATAATAATAATAATAATAATAATAATAATAGTAATAATAATAATAATAATAATAATTATTAATACCTAGGAATTAATAATAATATTGTAAAATTATTTTCAGAAATATCAAATAATGCCAACCAGGAAATAACGAAACTGAAAGAAGAAAAAAGGAGTTTAGATCAAGTGAATCTGGAACTAAAGGAGAAAATATTAAGTTTAGAAACGAATCTAGCAACGAAGAAACAAGAGTTCGATAATTTAAATACACTTCATGAAGCTGCCAGGGAAAATTTGAATGATTCTCAAAAGAGAAATTCCAATCTAGAGAGGGAAATTTTACAACTTCAATCTAATTGCAAATCTTTAGAAATTGCTGCAAGTACAAATCAAATGAAATCCACTTCTGTAAGTTTTCTCATTTTATTTTAAGAAAATAAAAATAAACACTATTAATTTACAATTACGTTTTTCTTTTCAGAAAAGTGATAAAAATAAAGAAGTGAAATTGATCATGAATAATACGTACCACACATTACTGTCAAAATTCATAGAAGACAATTATTCAACTAGTTTTATAAAAGAAACGATTGCTAACACGTTGAGGGTAAGAAATATTCAAAATACGTATAGAAAATTAATATTTTCATTGCCATTATTTTCAATTGACATTATTTTCATTTGCCACTATTTTTAATTGACATTATTTTCAATTGACATTATATTTATTTAACTTTTTTCATTTGACTTTTTAATTGACATTATTTTCAATTACCATTATTTTTATTTGCCATTAATTTTCAATTACCATTATTTTCATTTTCTAAACAATTCAATTATTTTTTTAAATATTAAAATCTTTACAAAAATTCAATTATTTTCAAAACATTTTTAATTGAATTCCTTGAAAGAATTCAATTTTTAAAACAAATTTCAACACATTTCGAAAAAATTCAATTTTTTTCTAAAATTTTAATAAATCCTTAGAAAAAATTCAATTATTTTTATAAATAGTAAAATTCTTGGCAAGAATTCAATTAATTTTATAAATATTAAAATTCTATATAACAATTAAATCACTTTCAAGGCAATTTATAAATATATATTCGTCAAAAAAATTGAAGGAATTCAATTATTTTGAAAAAATAATAAAATTCTTGTGATGAATATTCAATTATTTTCGAAACAACTTTAATTGAATTTCTCGAAAAAATTTCATTATTTTTGCAAAGATTTTACAATTTATAAAAATAATTAATTTGTTTCAAAGGATTTATTAAAATTTTAGAAAATAATTGAATTTTTCTTTAAAATAATAATAAAATTCTTTTTAAAAATTGAATACATTTATAAAATTAATTTTATTAATATTGTATTAAAAACGATTAAATATTACAATTTCAGAAAATATAAAATTTCCATAAAATTCAATTTCAACAAGAATTTAAAATTCTCTAAAAATAATTCAATTATTCTCAAAATATTTTTAAAAAATTCGATATAGAAATTAAATTATTTTCAAGGCAATTTTTAAATATATTCGTCAAAAAAATTGAAAGAATTCAATTCTTTTCAAAAAAATAATAAAATTCTTAAAAGAAATTTAATAATTTTTGAAACAACTTTAATTGAATTTCTCGAAAAAATTTCATTATTTTCAAATATTTCTATAAAATTCTTCATAACAATTTATTCATTTCTTTAAATTTTAATAAATTCTTTGAAACATTTCAATTATATTTTTATAAATAGTACAATTCTTTGCAGAAATTCAATTCTTTTCAAAACAATTTTAATAGAATTCCTCGAAAAAATTTAAATTTTCAAATATTAACAAAAAATTAATTTATTTTCTAAAATTTTAATAAATTCTTCGAAACATTTCAATTATTTTTATAAATAGTATAATTCTTTGCAGAAATCCAATTATTTTCAATACAATTTTAATAAAATTCTTCTTCATAAAATCCAATTGCTATTTTAATTAATTAAATTAATTTTTAATTTTCAATTAAAATTATTAAAAAAGCTTCATTAGTTTAAAAAAAAATTCAAAGAAATTCTTCAAAAGAATTCAATTAGTTTTTTTTAAATTTTAATAAAATTCTCTGCGAAAATTTAGTTATTTTTCTAAATAATAAAATTCACTGCGAGAATTCAGTTATTTTTCTGAATAATAAAATTCTTTGAAATAATTTTTAATTATCAAATTTTTTGATAAAATTCTTTGCAACAATTCGATGATTTTCAATGCATTAATTTTAAAATTGAAAATATTTGAAAAGAAAAATTATAAAAAAGTTTAGAAAGAAAAAAGTAAAGAATTAATTTATTAATATTATTATTAATTATTATTTAATTAATAATAATTTTAATAAAATTTATAATTTTTTAAAAACAGGACATATCTTTAAAAGTACTGAATAGCGATGAATGTGAGGAAGAATCGAGTGATAAAAAGAAAATGCATGAGAAAAATAGTCAATTACAGGAAACAGAGAGATTATCATCATCATCATCATCATCTTTAAAAGAAGACAACGAAGACACGAAAAAGATTTCAAATTAAATTCCGAGACGAATTTGAATAATTTTATTCAGGTAATTATTTGTTAAATAATTTTTTTCATTTTCATTGTATTCTAATACATTTCTATCAGATTTCTATATTGTAGATTGCTCCGGAATTTGAAAATGTACCACCGCCAATTCCACCACTGGATTCTAGTAATGAAGCCGATTTGAGCGATTTTTAACGTTGATATATGAGAAAATCGAGAAAAAAATTAATAAAAGAAGCTTTATATACAATTTGTATAATTGAATAACAAACAAAATGTTTATATTCTTCTAAACACGAAACATAAACAATTTTTATTCTCAAAAAATAATCACGCACAAAATGTTCTTTAAGTAATTGAAAAATAAAATTAACTTAATATGAAAAATTCGAAATGCATTCGAAAGACAAAAAAAAAAAAAAAAGAAGGTAACTTGAACTAAAAACACCAGAGAGATAAAGAAAAAAAATAAAAAAATATTCAAAATGAAAATGAATTTTTAATTTTATTGCATGTTTATTGCTTGTTTTCCATTACGAAGAATTAATATTAACTGCGCACGTTTCTCTTTCAGCAAGCCGTTTTACTCTTCAAAGTATATAAAAGAAATCCTTTTCTCCACCACATCCTTATCACACGGTTTGAAAAAATTGACTTTTAATCATATTTTTCTACGAATAAAAGAAACAAAAGAAGAATCCAACTTCTCATTTCTTTTCCCCCGCGATTCAATGAGACAAAAATTATTATCCAATTCTTTTCCTAGAAAACAATTAAAATAATTTATTAAATGTAATAATAAATTAGAATAAATAAAAATTATCAACAAATCTGTAATTGGAGTACTAATTTTTCATTCACTATGTAAATTAATGTGAGAACGTAAATTTGGAGACATCTTTATTTCTCAATATTCCGACATTGATTAATTGCGCACTCTTGTCAGTTACAAATTCCCATCGTTAAATACTTGAACCTATAAACAAAATAAATAACAATTAATCAAAATAGAGAAACTAAAAATTATATTAAGTATGTTTTCTTAGAGTAAAAAAAAATTTTTTCTTACTCGTAATTTCTTTGTCAACATTTTCTATTCTTCTAAGGTTAATTTTAAATTTAACAAAAAATTTTCAATAAAACAATGTTTCCATGAGAAGCCTACATATAGAGTTAAAAATAAGAGAAAAAAATATACCTATTTATTACTATATAAATAATAATTAAATATTAAAACTAACCTCAAAATAAAATTCCAAGACAATATTTATCCTAATTAATTTTCCGAACTGGTGTCGCTCGTTCCCTTATGGTATGTGTCAAATTTATTATGACTTGACGTATGGTTGGAATTTTTAACCTAAAAAATAAAAACAATTTCAATATACCTTTAATATTAATTTGTGTGATTATCAAGATTTATATTGATAAAAATAAATTTCAATTAATTTTTTCTTTAATATTGTTATTTATAATTAATAAATTAATTATTTGTTATTTACTATATGTTATTATATATATTTATATAATATTAAAAGTAAAACTAACCTCAATGCACAATTTAATTTTCTTCTTCTCCTTACTGTCATATATTGCACCTATAATTTAAACCTGAAAAAAATTAATTCGCATTAAAATAATTAAACTATTTATTAACTTATTTATTTATTCATTAAAAAACAATACTTATCTTAATTAATTATACAACACGTTTGTATATTCCATTCTGCACAGATTATCGTAAACAAAACAAAACTGCTTTACCAACAAATTCTTTATTTTGAAATTTGACACACTATAGGTAATTTCACTTTCTGCATTATCGACTCGTGGTACGAGTTACCGACAATATGCTTGAAATAGTTTGTACATCACCACGGCGCTAGTAGTACAAGCGCGCACTGGTGGGGACGCTCGAAATGGTGGGGACACGGGTATATAAGCAGGCGCCCGAGACGAGACTGGCACTTCATGCTCAGCTGTGTTACAGGTAAGCAATAGTACCAAAGCCTTGTTAAGGCAGACGAACTTAAGCTGTATTACAGCAAAGCCTTATTAAGGCAAACGGACGTAAAGCTGTATTACAGCAAAGCCTTATTAAGGCAAACGGACGTAAAGCTGTATTACAGCAAAGCCTTATTAAGGCAGACGGACGTAAAGCTGTATTACAGCAAAGCCTTATTAAGGCAGACGGATGTAAAGCTGTATTACAGCAAAGCCTTATTAAGGCAAACGGACGTAAAGCTGTATTACGGTAAAGCCTTTTTAAGGCAGACGGACGTAAAGCTGTATTACAGTAAAGCCTTTTTAAGGCAGACGGACGTAAAGCTGTATTACAGCAAAGCCTTATTAAGGCAGACGGATGTAAAGCTGTATTACAGCAAAGCCTTATTAAGGCAGACGGACGTAAAGTTGTATTACAGCAAAGCCTTATTATTAGCAAACGGACGTAAAGCTGTATTACAGCAAAGCCTTATTAAGGCAAACGGACGTAAAGCTGTATTACGGTAAAGCCTTTTTAAGGCAGACGGACGTAAAGCTGTATTACAGTAAAGCCTTTTTAAGGCAGACGGATGTAAAGCTGTATTACAGCAAAGCCTTATTAAGGCAGACGGATGTAAAGCTGTATTACAGCAAAGCCTTATTAAGGCAGACGGATGTAAAGCTGTATTACAGCAAAGCCTTATTAAGGCAGACGGATGTAAAGCTGTATTACAGCAAAGCCTTATTAAGGCAGACGGATGTAAAGCTGTATTACAGCAAAGCCCTTATTAAGGCAAACCGACGTAAAGCTGTATTACGGCAAAGCCTTTTTAAGGCAAACGGACGTAAAGCTGTATTACGGCAAAGCCTTATTAAGGCAAAACGGACGTAAAGCTGTATTACGGCAAAGCCTTATTAAGGCATACTGAAAAGACTAAAGCTGTATTACGGCAAAGCCTTATTAAGGCATACTGAAAAGACTAAAGCTGTATTACGGCAAAGCCTTTTAAAGGCATACTGAAAAGACTAAAGCTGTATTACGGCAACGAATACAATTTTTAACGATAGACCCATCGTTAGGGCATACGGATAACGTTAAATTTTTTGAAATTTTATGTACATACGTGTTTTCTTTTCTCTATTCATTAATAACAATATCACGCGGGTTAATTTCGTTTTTAAAGTAATGAATAAATACTTCTTGTTCTGATGAGGCATTAAAAAATTGTTACACTCAAAAAGCGGCTAATAAGTAATTTTTTCTTTTCAATTAATCCCGATTGTTACATAAATCGTTTAATTATCGTGTGTACATTTAATTTTTAACGTTATTCGACAGTTTATTAAATAATCGTTGATAAAATAAGTCCCCGAGTGCAGTCCCATGGCATCGTTATTTGCTTTGCTTTTTGTAACTTGACTATTAAAAGAATTTATTTTAGAAACTTTATAAATTATTTATTCTCTACATAATATTATGCAGACTTTTTTCAAATTTCTATCAAAACTATAATTATTTTAATGAAAATTTTGTTAAATAATTCATCTTTTTGAAAATGATTTTCTGAAATAATTGATTATTTTCTAATTTCAAGACAATATAATTGAATTTCAAAGATTTTTTTTAAACTACTAATTGAATTTCGTTTTAAAGAATTTTATTATAATTTTTGTAAATAGTTGCTTGATCTCTAATAATTTGTGAATTTAATTTAATGGAAATTTAAAAAATATATATATATATATATTAACACAAGTAGTTGCTTGTAGTTGCTAAAATTTTAAAAAAATACCCAAATAGCCTAATTACAAAACCCAACGCAAAACGATGCCATTAGATTGCACCCTTATTATTTTGTCTTTTTAACAAATTTTTTTTTACAGAAATTCATGTACCAGTATCTACTGTATTGACATAATGAAGAGAAAACAACAATTGAGTTTAAAATGTTAGTGTTTAACAGATGTATTTTAAAAATATTTTTATTTACATGTAAAGTTAACAATTGTAATTTATTTGTTTATTCTCTATTTTTTCAGCAACAAATGAATCTCGTGAAGGACATTCTACCAGATTTTTCTACGGTAACTTACAGACACAAAAATCTGACGAAAATTTAACATTTTCTTCATCGTCATCAACTCCAAAGACTGAGCAGGCTGAACCTCGAAAAGCAGAGAAGAAAACTTTTCGCTCGAGTGGAATATTCAGATTAAAATGTAAGTTTTTTAAAATTATTTTCTTCAAGTATTTGATTTAAATTGAGGAATATGTTAATTTTAATTCTCTTGTTTCTTTTTAATTTTCAGCACCAACTAGATCTCGCGAAGAAATGTCTACCAGTTCGATTGGAAAGACTGAAGATCTAAAATCTGGAATTCCGGAGAAACAATTTTTCTCTTCTAGTGAAAGATTGAGTCTAAAATGTTAGTGTTTAACAGATGTATTTTAAAAATATTTGTATTTACATGTAAAGTTAACAATTGTAATTTATTTGTTTATTCTCTATTTTTTCAGCAACAAATGAATCTCGTGAAGGACATTCTACTAGATTCTTCTACGGAAACTCACAGACACAAAAATCTGACGAAAATTTGAAATTTTCTTCATCGTCATCAACTCCAAAGACTGAGCAGGCTGAACCTCGAAAAGCAGAGAAGAAAACTTTTCGCTCGAGTGGAATATTCAGATTAAAATGTAAGTTTTTTAAAATTATTTTCTTCAAGTATTTGATTTAAATTGAGGAATTTTTAAATTTTAATTCTTTTGTTTCTTTTTAATTTTCAGCACCAACTAGATCTCGCGAAGAAATGTCTACCAGTTCAATTGGAAAGACTGAAAATGTGAAAGCTGGAATTCCGGAGAAACAATCTTTTACTTCCAGTGAAAGATTGAGTTTAAAATGTTAGTGTTTAACAGATGTATTTTAAAAATATTTTTATTTATATGTAAAGTTAACAATTGTAATTTATTTGTTTATTCTCTATTTTTTCAGCAACAAATGAATCTCGTGAAGGACATTCTACCAGATTCTTCTACGGTAACTCACAGTCACAAAAATCTGACGAAAATTTGAAATTTTCTTCATCGTCATCAACTCCAAAGACTGAGCAGGCTGAACCTCGAAAAGCAGAGAAGAAAACTTTTCGCTCGAGTGGAATATTCAGATTAAAATGTAAGTTTTTTAAAATTATTTTCTTCAAGTATTTGATTTAAATTGAGGAATTTTTTAATTTTAATTCTTTTGTTTCTTTTTAATTTTCAGCACCAACTAGATCTCGCGAAGAAATGTCTACCAGTTCAATTGGAAAGACTGAAAATGTGAAAGCTGGAATTCCGGAGAAACAATCTTTTACTTCCAGTGAAAGATTGAGTTTAAAATGTTAGTGTTTAACAGATGTATTTTAAAAATATTTTTATTTATATGTAAAGTTAACAATTGTAATTTATTTGTTTATTCTCTATTTTTTCAGCAACAAATGAATCTCGTGAAGGACATTCTACCAGATTCTTCTACGGTAACTCACAGTCACAAAAATCTGACGAAAATTTGACATTTTCTTCATCGTCGTCAACTCCAAAGACTGAGCAGGCTGAACCTCGAAAAGCAGAGAAGAAAACTTTTCGCTCGAGTGGAATATTCAGATTAAAATGTAAGTTTTTTAAAATTATTTTCTTCAAGTATTTGATTTAAATTGAGGAATTTTTTAATTTTAATTCTTTTGTTTCTTTTTAATTTTCAGCACCAACTAGATCTCGCGAAGAAATGTCTACCAGTTTAATTGAAAAGACTGAAAAGCAAATTTTGTCTTCGAGTAAAGGACCGGAAAGAAAAATTTCATTTCATAGTCAAAGATTAAGTTTGATATGTAAGTTTTTAATAATTAACCAAGGAAAAAATGATTCGTACGATGAATCATTTTCACCTGGGTACATTTTAAAAATATTTTATTAAAATAACAATTTAAAAATTTTAATTTATTTAATTCCTTTTTTTCTTTTTCAGCACCAAGTGATTCTCCTGAAAAGCTGTCACCGTGTTCAGTTTACCGTGTACCAACAGAAACATCATTATCATTATCGTCATCAACTGGACCTGATTTAAAAATCACTTCTTCAAAAGTAGAGAAATCGAAAAAGCAAGAAGCTAAATTTTCCCATTCAACATCAACTTCAAAAAGAGATGGTAAAATTTTGTATTCTTTTTTCTTCTTTTATATTTTCTTAATCTCTCTCAATATAAAATTAATAAAATTTTCATTTCTTCCAATTATAGGTGTTGACTCATCAATTGAAAGTGGTGCTGGCCCCTCTTCAAAACGAAAGAAATACAGTGTCGAGAAATCTACAATTGGTGTTTCTTCAAACAGAAAAAGAAAGTCAATTACTTTGGATAATGATAATATTGATAAACCGTTGCATCATAAAGTGAGAAGAAGATTGGAATTAATGGGAACAGAAAAGCATACGGTAAAAGTTTGTTTGGGAAAATTATGTAAATCAGCAAACATAAAAAATCGAATTGAAGAAGATGCAAAGGTTGTTTCATCAATGATGTATGAGGCAACAACAATGGCATTATTCGGCCTGTATGAAGAAACGAATGTTGAAAATGTTGAAAACTGTCCATCATTGTTGGAGAAATGGACCAACAATGGTCCCGACTTTCTGCCATTTTTAATATCATTAAAGCAGAAAGTAAATGCTCAACGTAAAGTAACTGAACAGGATGCGAAAATAAATACAATGGTCAACGAATATAAAGAATTAAGGAATGACATTCCACTTTATGACGGAGAACATAGAACGGCAATAATTCAGGAGGCAGCTTTAGTGTTGAATCGAAACTTTAAAACAAATTTCACGACGCATGCAGCATCACGATTAAGAAGATATTTGCAGCTATTAATGGAAATTGAAGACGAAGAAAAAAATCATATGGAAGTAGATGAAATTCAAGAAATTTGTTCAGTTTACCATATCGAAAATGATAATGATGAAAAAATAAAAATTAGGAGTTTTAAAAATAGCATTAAAAATGAACAAAGAAAAGAATTTCAAAAATCTCAAAAACAATTTCCAGATGAAATGCGAGAAAAAAAAACATCAGACTATTGCGATGAAAGATATGTTCGACAGGAAAAATATCTCAAACATTGCGATAAAGTCTATTATAAAAAAAGGCCAAGAAGGCGAAGAAAAAAAACGAAAAAGGAAAAAGAAGAAGAAAAAGAGAAGAATAAGGAAAAAGAAGAAGAAAAAGAGAAGAATAATGAAAAAGAAGAAGAAAAAGAGAAGAAGAAGGAAGAAGAAGAAGAAAAAGAGAAGAATAAGGAAAAAAAGAAATTTCGAAAAAGAAGGCCTTCATTTTATAAAGAATCTGTTGCTGCTTTAAATCTCCTGCTGCAAAAAAATAAATGTCAAGTGAAAGGATTCCCTATTGATTTACTGAAAAAGGATGATGTTGATGCTACCAATGAAAAAAAATTGGACTTTAGAAAATTGACAAAAGATGAAGAATGGCATAAATTTTTGCCATTTTTCATTATGATTCAACAAGAATTTCATGATAAAAAGAAGAAGAATTTCACGTTAATTCCACAAATTTCATTAGGCGTGAAGCATGTGGTTTATACAAATACTGCTTTAAAAGAATTGCAAACGGCAACTGTTATTCAAGAAATTAAAGAAAAAAAGGCAATTTTACAAAAAAAGAAAAAAAAATCAGGAACGAATAAGGATCATGTTCAAAGAGCAGTTGATAAAATGGACGATGAAATGAAGCGCTTAAGAGAAATGAACAATGAAGAAAGGTGGAATTCAATGTTCAACTTTAAATCAATCCAAAGAGGTCGAAAAAAATTAAAGAATGGTGGTCAATTCTCTGGTACAATAACGACAAATGGTGTGGACGTGTCAGTAATTTTTGATTTACCCACAAAACATGATGTTGTGCAATCAAAGAAGAAAGTTGGAAGTTACAAAAAATTTTGTGGTTTTGATCCTGGTGCGAGGGCGACTCTGGCTGGTGTCAGTAGAGAAAACGATCCTAATCCAACCACTAATGTAAAAAAGGATTCAGCTATTTACATTGGTAGTTGGATGATGAGATGGCAGATGGGCGACTACAGAAGAAGAGAATTAATGAAGAAAAAAGGTATAGACATGCAAAAATATTACAAGCAACTTGCTGAGGATCCATGGATGGAAAATTTTTGCATGACTAATCCTCGAGATCGCCATCGCATAACAAAATATAGAATACATCTTTTACAAAATTTCCAAGCAATTCATCAAAAAAGATCCGTAACGCGTTTACGAATTGATCGATATTCAGCACAAAAGCGACAAGTTGATCAACTTGTGAATTGGATAGTAGGTGATACAAAGAAGAAACCCTGTTTCGTTGCTATTGGTGGAGCTGAAATACCTAATTTTATCAAGGGATACACTAAAGCTCCTTTGAAACGTATTCAACAAACTCTTTTCCAAAGATCAGAAGAATTAGGAAAAGATAAATTGCAAGTCGTGAAAGTAAATTAGTTTAATACAACAAAAATGTGTAGTCGCTGTGTGAGACCACTTAAAATATCCAAGAGTCCCCATCGATACACTTATTGTGCGAAATGCAAAACAACGTGGGAAAGAGATGTAAATGCAGGGCGTAATATTCTTAATCTTGCACTTGTTCAAGAGAAAATCATACCAAAGGATTCCATAAAAAATCACCATCTATTTCGGATGAAGAATGATGACATTGAACATGAGGCTGCAGAATTGCAGAAATAATTTTTCCCATCACTTTCAACATTCATTTTTAAATGTAAGTTTTTAAAATTTATAGTTAAAAAATAGTTTTTTTTATGGAAAACATTAAAAAATTAATTAATTTGTAATTATTTTCTCTTTTTCAGCACTAAGTAAATCTCTTCAAGGACATTGAAAAGGAGGAACCTCGACAACCGGAAATACAATTTTCTACGATGGACAATATACTGCTTAATTGCGGAAATAATTTAACAAAAATATTATTCGGTCCTGGTGGTGATGGCTTTTTGCCATTGTACATACCGGGGATCTCTCACGAGATCCGAACCAGCCTGTAAAAAGGCATACCAGGTTTTTTAAGAAATTAAAAAACATGCTACTTCTTTTATTGATTATTGTTTGAATTTTTCAAATTTTTTATTAAAACAAAAGCACATTTGTGTTTTTTTTATAAATTAAAATAATCAATAATAGGAGGAGAGGTAATTTTGTAAAAGACATTTATTTCTTTAAATTTAAATCATTTTTCTCTTTTTTACTTATAATTTAGTTTCAGTTTAACGGTGTAATTTTTAAATTTTAATTTTTTCAAAACATTTTAACTTTATTCAACATTTCACTTTAATTTTAAACCTTTTGTTTAACAATTTCAATTTCTTCTTTTACAAAATTACCTTCTAATCAGAAGTACCCTTACCAAATGCAACTAAAGGTACACTCTCACCTCTACTGCCTGCCTGCCTGCGCAGGCAGGCGCCATAAGAGTGAGAGAGAAAAAACATTTAATTTGAATTTTCTGACTCTCTTACTCTAATGTGTTACCATGTCAACCTGCAGGCAGGCAGGCAGGCAGTAGGAGCTGTGCTAGCGCCTTTAGCTTGCACTACAAAAATGATCTTATTGGCGAAATGAACCGCGCATTTTTAAAACGTTTTATATTTAAACATATAAAGTACTTCATGTTATATGTATGCTAACTTCACAACCATTAAAGATGGACAAGTTTCTACAAATAGAAGCATTTTTGTAGCGCAAGCGCAGTTGCGTTTGGTGATGGTACCTGGCAGCTCTGCATGGTAGTTGCTGTTGTGCGTCAAATCATGTCAAATCTTTTTGTGTTGTTCGCATTTTGTGATGTGAATTGAGATTTAGAATGCCAGCACGTGTGAGTAAACGTATCATTCTTTATTCTTAAGTATTTTTAACTTTGTTGAATAAATAGACAACGTGGAAAATATTTCTTTCGGAGGTTGAAATCGAAAAATGACGCTTTTCAATAATTTTGAGGTTATGTTTGTCGCGCGATTTAACAAAAGGAAAACAATAACAAACCCCCCCAAAACAAAGTGTTTTTCTCCATTTCTTTTTATTTCTTTTCAACTACAATTATAATTTTCGTGTTCTATTCAATGTATTTTCACTGGTTTTTTCTATTTTCGATAATAATTTTTAATCTTGAGAGTGCAATTTTTCGTGACCTACTTATTTTGAGGTTAGCATCCTTTCTAAAATCTCTTTTGCGTCTTAAATCTTTGCTTTCTAATTTCTTTTTCTTTTAATTATATATTCTTATTAGTGTTGTTATTTTGTTTTTTAGATTTTTATTTAAAAGAGTGGTTTTTAATTTTTAAAGTTTGTTAATTCTTTTGTTCCAAGGTGATGTTTATTTTTTTTCATGTATTGTTTTCATAATAATTGAAATTTAGGTGACAGAAGTGAAATGCAAGCGTTGCAGAACAGTTATTTTTACTGAAGAAGCAACTCCACTTCTTTCTGCTCACGGCGCCGCGGAAAATAATTCGGAAAATCTTCAATGCTCAGCTAATGAATCGGAAAATTGTCTTTACATTTCAACAGAAACTGTACCTGATTGGATTAGAGATTGCATAAATAAGGTACAATTTTGTCTTCAATTTTTTCAATTATAATTATTTTTAAATTTCAATTACAATTTTATTTTCAATTTTTTCTACACTACTTAATCTGTTCAATTACAATAATATTTACAATTTTCTTTTATACAATTATTATTTAATTACAATTCTATTTCTAATTTTTTTCAATTTTCAATTACAATTTTACACTTAATTCAATTATTTTCAATTTTTAATTACAATTTTGCATTCATTTTTTTGAATTACAATTATTTTCAAAATTCACTTATACAATTATTTTTTAATTACAATTCTATTTACAATTTTTTAAATCATTTTCATTTTTCAATTACATGTTTACACTGAATTTTTTCAATTAAAATTATTTCTAAATTACAATTTTATTTATAATTTTTTCAATTATTTTCAATTTTCAATTACAATTTTACAACTAATTTTTCAATTACAATTATTTTCAATTTCCATTTATATAATTATTTTCATTTTTCAATTACAATTTTACACTCAATTTTTACAATTACAATTACTTTGCTATTACAATTTTATTTTCAATTTTTAATTTTTTAATTACAATTATTTTTAATTTCCACTTAAATTTTTTTTTTTTCAACTTTTAAGTACAATTTTATTTTTAGTATTTTCAATTTCAATTATTTTCCATTACAATTATTTTTCTAAATAATTTTTTTTTTTACAAAATATTTTTTTTACTTAAAAATTGTTAAATTAATTTGAAAGAATATTTAAAGTAAAAATTCAAGATAAAGAAATTAATTGAGAATTTATTTTTGTTTTCAGGAATTATGGACAAAGGGGAAAATTAATTGTCTCAATTGTAAATCACGATTGGGATCTTTCAATTTCGTCAATGAAATTAAATGCGATTGTGGTGAATGTTTATTGCCGCCAATAAGAATAATTAGATCTAAAGTCGATAGACCTGTTGATAGTCCGAGAAATTCCTTTGTTTAATTAAGAATGTGTGCATGAGTGAAAGAGAGAGAGAGAGAGAGAGAGAAGAATCATTATAAAAAATTGTACTTTTGTTCATGTCAGTAAATAAATTTTCGTTAACGTTATTTTTTTCCCCTCTCCACTTATTTATTAATTTAGACAATTTAAATTTTCCCGCCAGTCATTTTCTTTTCCACGCGCGTTTCAATAATTTTGGAACATCGAAACGGAATTGAATCGAAACAAAGGGAACAATGGAAATGGAAATAGTAAACAATTTTAACAGGTGTAAATATTTGGGATTCAATAATTATAAACTGTGCGCTTAATTGTTGAATTATGTTCTTGAAATTGATGTCTTTTTATTCTGAGGAAAGGAAAATTCCTATTTGTATAAAAATATAACTTATTTGCTTTCAGAATTGCAAAGAAATACATCGCTCAGTGATTATTATTTTTAGGTTAGGAACGCTCGCACAAATTAAATGGCGCGATGTCGTTTGATATTCAAAATTTAGAAATTGTCAAATTAAATAAATTGGAGAGTGCGAGTTATTTTATTGTTTGGATTGGGGCAATTTTTTATTCTATTTATCAGGTACATCTCACGGATCATTGTAAGTAAATTCATTAAAAAAAAAAAAAAAATACTTTCAATTACTAATATTTTATTTATCATTTTAATTACAAATGTTTTGTCTCATAAAATTATGACTTCGAAAATAATTGAATGAATAATTTTACTTAAATATTTCCAAATTAATTCAATTGTTGCGTTTACAATTTTCATAAATAGATATTTAATTAATTATTAAAAATAATGGATTTATAGAATAATTTTAGTTAAAAAAAAAACTTTTAAAAAAAATTGAATTTTGAATAAGTTAGAAATTATTGGAAAAAATTCAATTATTTTCAAAAGTAATAAAATTCTTCGCCAAAATTCAATTTAAATAAAATTTTACAAAATAATTCAATTACTTATTTGAAACAAATTTTTTATAAAATTCTTCGCAAAAGCTTTTAATTATTTTTATAAATAATAAAAATTCCACACGAATTCAATTATTTACCAATTTAATTATAAATTTCTTCCCAATAATTTAATTATTTTCATAAATTATAAAATTTTTACCAGAAATTCAAATTATTTTCATAAATAATAAAATTATTTTTAGGAATTCAATTATTTTCATAAATAATAAAATTCATCGCAAAATTTCAATGTATTTATATTTTAATACAATTTTCATCGAATTCCTCAAAAAAATGTAAATATTCTTAAAAACTTTATTAAAATTCGCGTCAAAAGAAATTGAAATTGAAAAAAATTGATTTTTGAAAAAATGTTTTAGGAAATTCGAAAAAATTTGATTACGAAAACATTTTCATTCTTCTTAGAAAATAATTTAATTTCAATAAAGAAATTTATTGAAATTTATAAAAATAATTGAATTCTTTCGAGAAATTTTCAAAAATTATTAAACATAATTGAATTGTTTCGAAGAATTTTATTAAAATTGTTGAAAATAATTTAAATCTTTGGAAAAATTTGACAGAATTTGTTTGAAACGTTATTCAAGTCTTGCAACAAATTTTATTTGTGAAAATAATTTAATTATTTTGAGGAATGCTATTAAAATTTCATTGAAAATAATTGAATTCAAGTAAAAAAATGCTATTATGTATAAAAAAATAATTGAATGTTTAGAAAAATTTTATTTCAAATTTTTAACTATAATTGAAATCTTTAGCAAAATTTTACTGAAATTGTTTTTAAAATAATTGAATTCCTGCGACGAATATTATCATTTATTTAAGAATAATAACATTCTTTCAAGAAATTTAGAAAAATTCTGTTGAAAATAATTGAATTGTTTCGAAGAATTTTTATTAAAGTGTTGAAAATAATTATTGAAGTCATTAGTTAAATTTTACAGAAACTGAATATAATTTCAATTATCATTAAAAATATTAAAATTCTTCTCCAAAAGTCAATTATTTTCAAAAATTTTAATAAATTTCTTATCAAAATTTCAATTATTTTTAAAAATTTTCCTTAATTCAATTATTTTCAAATACTATTTTAATAAAATTAAAAAAAAATTTAATTATTTTCATAATTAATACAATTTTTTAAAGAGATTCATTTATTTTCATAAATAATAATATTTTTTTAACAGAGATTCAATTATTTTCATAAATAATAAAATTCTTCGCCAAAAAATTCAATTACTTTCATAAATAAAAAAATTTATCTAAGAATTAAAATTCTTTTTAATACAATTTTAATTGAATTTTCGGAAAAAAGCAATTATTCATAAAAATTTTATTGAAATTCGTCGAAAGAATTTAATTATTTAAAAATTTGTTGATAAAATTCTTTATGAGAATTCAATTATTCAATTAATTATTTATTATTGTATTTAAATAGTTGAATTTTCCTAGGATTTTCTATTTTCTATTATTTTCTATTTTCTATTATTTTTTTTTTCTATTTTATTTTCTATTTTTTTTTATTTTTCTATTATTATTATTATTTACTCTCCAATTTTTTTTTTCTATTTTCTATTTTCTATTTATTATTTTCTTTTCTTCTTTTTTTTATTATTTTCTATTTTTTTTCTATTTTCTATTTTTTATTATTTATTTATTTTATTATTTTTTTCTATTTTCTATTGATTTAAAACTGAATTTCAATTAGCGTGAATTTTTAGAAATAATTGAATTTTGATAAAGTTTCAAATTAAAATCTTTAAGAAAATTTTGAATGTTTCATACTTTTAATTGATAATTCTGTAGAATTCATTTTTTTTTAACAAATTGAATTGAATTTTACTTGAAATTATAAATTTGAAGTTTTTATTTTCTAATATACCTAATATTTAATAATATTGAAGAATTTCCGAATAATGAAAATAAAATTTTTGTGGCAACCCTGTTTTTGCTAAAAAAAAATAATTATAAGAAAATGAAAAATAATTAAATCATTATTATTTAATATTAATTTTTTTCTTTACAGATTTTACTGATTATCATGATACTTATGAGGATTTTCGACCAGGTTGGTCGTGGATTGGTCGAAAAATGGATATTTCGGACCGAGAGTGGAGATCGTGGATTCCATTTATGTACCAGTTGATTCCATGGATTGTTCTCCATCTTATTGTCGGTCAATTAATTAAACGATTCTTTTTCAAATGTTCATTGGTTGGTATGTTTATTTTATTCTATTGTTTTCAATAAAAGAAATTTAATTTAAATTTAATAATTCGAATGCCTATTGAAAAATATAGAATTTTAGTTATTCTTTATTATAAATATTATCATTATTAATTATTATTATTGTTATTATTATTCTTTTATTTTATTATTATTATTATTATTATTATTATTATTATTCTTTTATTTTTATTATTACCATTATTATTTTATTTAAATAATTAAAAGTCAAAAATGTAAATCAAGTCCGTTTCTGAGCCATAAGGCTGAAATAAATAAATAAAACTAAAATTAATTTTAATTATTTGAATTGATGAAAATTGTTGATGAAAATTATAAAGATACATAAATTTTAATTCAATTATTTAAATTTACTAAAATTCTAACTAGATTATTTTTTTAATGCTCGATTTTAATTAATATAAAAATAACTTTGTTTTTTGTTTCTCTGAGTAAATAATAATTCACTAGTATGAAATAAATTGCAGATTTTATCCTCGTGGTACATTGCCTCGTCGATAATATTTTTATGGTACTACGTGGGATTTATGGGCGTTCTTCTGGCATTAATTCAACCGTGCGTCGATCGTCTTTTAATATCGTTTGGCAGCAAAATTCTCGCATGGATTGTACATTTGGCAATAATATCGATAATTTATTATGAAAAAACTTATGGTTTTGTCTTTGAAAATTGGCTCGGCATTGAGGAGGAAAAATACTATATGCTTACGATTGCACTCTGCTGGATACAATTGAGAAGCATCAGCTCTTGTCTTGACTGTATAGCTCACGATGAGGAGCCGAAAACTTTAGCTGGATTTATGAGAAGTTTTTTGAAAACTACTGCTTACTGTCTATATCTACCGACATTGTTTCTGGGTCCGGTTATTTTATACAAAGACTTTTTGGAAGGAGTGAGTAATTTTTCTTAAATATATTCTATTCTATTTTCCGAAATGTATTCTATTTTATTTTCTTAATTATTATATTGAAACATTAAGACATTACACAAATTTTTGTTTTGCGTCTAATTATTTTAAAATTCTAAATAAATATATTTAAATACTCTATTTAATATTTTTAATATTCTATTTAATATTTTTTTAATATTCTATTTAAAATGTTTGTTCTTTTTTAAATATAAAATTCTTTCCCGTTACTATAAGTAGTATAAAATTATCTTCTTTCTTTTCCAGATTGAAAAACCACCGGAACTGTGGACACCGAAGAGAATTTCTATCTTCTTTTTGAATTTGTTCAGATTTATTTTCTGGCTCTTCTTCACTGAATTCTCTATGCATTTTCTCTATTTTAATGCGTTGCAATTTTTTCCAGAGGTTGGTAATTTTTCAAAAGGAAAACTTTTCATCACAAAGAAAGTAAAAAGAATTAACGTATTTTTAATTTTCTTCTTTCTTTTTTTAAAAACTAAAAGGTCGTCAAAGTACTGGAACCGTGGGCATTTTTTGGAATGGGTTACTGTATGGGACAATATTTTCTAAATAAATACGTCGTTATTTATGGAATTTGGAGTTCAGTGACACGATTGGACGATATTGAGGCGCCTCCAAATCCAAAGTGCATCGGTAGAATTCATCTTTATTCGGATATGTGGAAGCATTTCGATCGTGGATTATACAAATTTTTATTGCGGTAAATTTTGATATGATTTTTTTAAAAATATTATTAAATTTTCCTTCCCTGAGAAAAACAGGCCTTAGATTACTATTAAAAAAATAATAATTTTTCTCTCTCAATTCTTACTAAAATGATCGATTTTCTCTACAGTTATTAATTAAAATAATTTTCTCTTTTTCTCTCTAAATTATTAAAATATTCGATTTTCTCTACAATTATTAATTAAAACTAGCAAATTATATCAATTTTTGAATGATTACAGATTTAAAATTAAAAGAATTTACTTATTAAGTACATAATACATTATAATAATCGTAAGTTTCCTTTCCGTTAGCAAATTATCTGCATTCATTTGTTTGTTTTGAAAATTAAATTTTGGGGGTTAAGTATTGGCATTTTTTATATATTTTTTAATGTCAAACTTTTTAATGTGTAAAATACTTTACTTATTAAATTGTCTCGACTCTTTGGTAAAAAATCTAAAATTATCAAAAATTCGAAAAAATTCAAAAATCCGATTTTCTTAAAATTTAACATTTTTTCTTCTCTTTTATGGGATTTAGCTTCATTATTTTTGTGCTTTTGAAAAATACTCTACTTATTAAATTGTCTCGACTCTTTGGTAAAAAATCTAAAATTATCAAAAATTCGAAAAAATTCAAAAATCCGATTTTCTTAAAATTCAATATTTGTTCTTCTCTTTTATGGGATTTAGCTTCATTATTTTTGTGCTTTTGGAAAATACTTTACTTATTAAATTGTCTCGACTCTTTGGTAAAAAATCTAAAATTATCAAAAATTCGAAAAAATTCAAAAATCTGATTTTCTTAAAATTCAACATTTTTTCTTCTCTTTTATGCCATTTAGCTTTATTATTAATTGAATTTTTATTCAAGAGAAAAAATGGAAAACTGAAAAAATTTAGAAACTTTTAAAAACTCCAGGCCTTTACCATGATTTCCCTGATTTCCAGAAGCCTTTTAAAAATTCCATACCATTTCCATGATTTCCATGATTTCCAGATTCTGTAGGAACCCTGCTTTTGTCTGACTTTCTTCTAAATTATCGAATTCAGTGATTTCTGGGGTGAATTTGGTTAAGTTGTAAAATGATTAATTTCTATTTGAATTCGTTTTTTTGAATGTAGAAAATCTGATGTTAATTTAATTCTTTTTTCGTTATGCACGGCAAAAAATATTTAGCTGGATGAACTACAGATTTCACTTTAGTAGCGAAATTTTTCAGTGCTTCAATTAATACTTTCGTTATTCTAGAGAAACTTATCGCTATTTTAAGTAAAACTTTTTTCAGTGTGTAATAATTATTATTTCTTTAAAAAGTATTTAATTTAAAATGGCTTTATAAAATAAGCAATGCAAAAGATGACCCAGATACTAATTGTAATTGTTCTAGTTATAGTTTAAGTCTAGTAATGTAAATTCTATTTAAATTGAGACCATTGAGTGAAATTATTTGAATTTTAGTTAGTTAAATCTCTTTGTTAGGTTATAATAACTATTTCTTTAAAATTTTTTAAATTGTTTAAAATAAGCAGCCCCATACAACATTCCCGCGCGCTTGCGCGCGGATAGTTTGGCTAGTATTAAATAATCTTGTTTATTATTATTAAAAAATGTTAATAAAATTTTAAGCAAGAATTTCATTATTCTCAAAAATAATAAAATTCTTCAGAAGAATTCAATCATTTTCAATACAATTTTCATAAAATTTCTCGAAAGAATGCAATTTGCAAATATTAATTAAATTCGATTATTTTCAAGAATTTTAATATCAATTCAATTATTTTCAACAATTTTGATAAAATTCTTTTTAAAAAATCATTATTTTCAAAATTTTTAATAAAAATGCCTTCAAAAATAAAACTTTTCACAAGAATTCAATTATTTAAAAAAAAATTTAATAAAATTCTTCGTCTGATTTCAATTATTTTCAATTTTTTAATGAAATTTTGTCAATGGAATTTAATTATTTTCAAAATGTTATAAAAAATTCTGAGAAATTCAATTATTTAAAAAATTTGAATAAAATTCTTCACAAGAAATTAATTTAATATCATAAATAATAATATTTTTCTCCGGAATTCAATTATTTTCAGAAATAAAATATTCTTCACAGGAATTGAATTCTTTAAACATTTTTTTAATAAAATTCGTTGCAAGAATTAAATTACTTTTATAAATAACAATATTTATAGCAGAGTTTCAATTATTTTTTATGTACAATTTTACATAAACTGATAGAAAATTGCATTTATTCTTTATAATTTTTTTAAAATTCGCCGAAAGAATTCAATTATTTTTAGAATTTTTTATAAATTTCTTTAAAAAAAATTCAATTTCAAGAAATATTCAATTATTTAATAAATTATTTATCTTTTGCATTTAAATAATTGAATTCTCGAAAAATTTTTTAATAAAAATTGATTAAAAATAAATATCACTTAAAATTTGAAATTATAATTGAATATTAAAAGCATCATAGCGTGAATTTTTATAAATAAGTTAATTCTGGAAAGAATTCAATTATTAAAAAGAATGTTTATAAAATTCTATTCAAGAATTCAATTATTTTCAAATTTTTTTAAAAATACTTTACAAAAATTCAATTATTTTCAGTATATCGACAATTTAATTATTCCTGAAAATAATTGAATTCTTGAATAGAAGTTTATTAAAACTTTTTTTAAATAATTGAGTCCCTGCAAAAAGAATTTATTATTTCTGCAAATAATTAAATTTTTGCCAAATTTGAAAAAATAAGTGAATTTATGAAAAGAATTTTTTATAAAATTGTCTTTAAAATAATTGGATTTCTGTGAAATATCTACTATTTATTGATATAATTGAATTCTTTTGAAGATTTAAAAAAAAATGTTTAAAAATAATTGAATTTTTCCTGGAATTCAATTAATTTTGTATTTAAAATAATTGAACTCCAGCAAAAATTTAATTATTTATGAAAATAATTGAATTGGATTTTATTAAAAGTTATTTAAATAATTGAACTTCTGTGAGAAATTCAATTATTTTTTTAGAATAATTGTATTTTCTCGGGGAATTTTTACAAGATTTTGAAAAATAATTGAAATTTTCGATGAAATCAATTAAAAATGGAATTGAAAGTAAGTGAAATTTTGATATAAATTTTATTATTTATATGAAAATAATTGAATTTTTTTTATGAAGATTTTTATTTGGTATTTATAAATTGACTAATGAATTTTATTACAATTATTGAAAATAATTAAATTCTTCATAAAATTAAAAATTATTGTCAAATGTTTTGATAAAATACAAGAATTCAATGATTTTTCTCTCTAAATTATTATGATTCAAATATTCAATTTTCTCTCTTCAATTATTAATGAAAATAATTTTAATTTTCTCGTATATATATTTTTCTTTCTGTTTTCTGTAGGTACATTTACATTCCATCATTGGGAATTGAATCGGGAGCGAGAAAATTATTCGCCTCCTTCCTCTGTTTCTCTTTTGTGTTTCTTTGGCACGGAATGGAACTTTTCATTTTTATTTGGTCCTTTTTGAATTTCTTTGGACTTGCAATTGAATATTTCGCGACTGCAATTGGCAATTCAGCGAAATATCGCGAATTAACGATGAATAATTTGAGTGCAAAAAATATAAGACGTTTGCATTGCATTTTCGCCAGTCCACTGCTTGCAATGTCGGCAATGTCGAATTTTTATTTTTTCGCTGGCGCCGAAATTGGTCATCTTTACTTTCGACGAGTACTTTTTACAGGTAAATTCCAATTTTTTCACTTTCTTAATTCTTTTTTTATTTTTTTTACTATATAATTTTTAAATTTAAATTATAATATTTCCCTTTTTGAATTTATTTACAAACTGAAATAAAAATTTTGAAATTATATTTAAAAATAGAATTTTAAATAAATTCGATTAAATTTAGAAAAAGAAAAACTTAAAGTTACGAAAAGAAAAATTTAAATTTACAAAAAGAAAAAGTTAAATTTATAAAAAAAAAACTGAAAATTGAAGAAAGAAGAATTTTATTTTAAATAAAAATTTTAATTTGCAGATTCGTGGACGACGATTTTATTGCTATTGTTCAGTCTTTATTGTTGTTGTCAAGTTTCGTTGGACTTGAAACGAATTGAGAAACAAAAGGAAACACGAACGAAGAAATTGTGAAAAATACAAAAATACAAACAAACAAAAAATGACGAACGAAGAAAAGAACAAATTAAAAGATAAGAAATCTTAACAAATATATTTTTTTAACAGAAGAGAGTGAAAAATCTATATTTTTAAATATTTAGTATTGAATTGTATTGAATATTTTAGTATTAAAATGAATTGAATCTTTTAATATTGAATTGTTTCGAATATTTTAGTATTAAAATGTATTAAATATTTTAATATTGAATTGTTTCGAATATTTTATTATTAATAGCAAAATAAATTTGTATTTTTTTTACAATTTTACTGGAATTGGAGAAAAGAATAGACAATTTTTTTTCCTTAATCTACAGTCAGTAATTTTATTAAAATTTATAAATTACAAATTATTCCCGCCGAAGCGAAATGAATAATTAATAATAAAACGTCAATTAAAATTAATACTTTTTCAAGACGTTAAATTGCAATAATTTACAATTTTTGCTTTCTTTCTGTCAATTAATTCTACAAGAGAAAAATTGTTTAATACTAATTTTAAAAGGAAAAATTTAACACTAATTCTAAAAAAGGTAAAATTTAATACTAATTCTAAAAGAAAGAAAAAATATTAATTCTAATAGAAAAAAAAATTAATACTAATTCTAAAAGAAAAGAAATTTAATAGTTATTCTAAAAGAAAAAAATTTAATACTAATTCTAGAAGAAAAAATTTAATACTAATTTCCACGAATAAAAGTTTTAAAATCGAGACGAAAAAAAATTGCAATTCTAATTAAAACGGAAAAAATTTTTATTAAAGAAAATACTTAGCTAAAAAAAAGTAATAAAAAGATTTTATTTCTTAAGGAAATAAAATTCCGATTGAAATTGATTTTTATGGAAAAATATTTTTATATTTTTATTTTAAAAATATTTTTTTTAAACTAATTTTTATGAAAAGAAAATTTTTTCTACATTGAAAAAATAAAATTTAGACGAAAGCCAAAAAAAAAAGGATTTTTCTCTTTTTCGAGACTAACTTTTAACGAAATTCAGACGAAAGACAAAAAAGAATTTCTCTCTTTTTCGAAACTATGGAATTTTACGCGAAAAAAGAAAACGTTGACAATTTGAAAAAAAGAAATTAACTTCACTTTAAATAGTTTTTTTTGTTCTTCTACTTTTATTTTTTTTTATTCTCCTTCAAAAAGGAATGTCTATTTTGTTTCTTGTTAAAATGGAAATAAAAAAAGAGCAAAAAATAAATTAAAAAAAAAATAATAATAAATAAAAGAAAAAAAGGCAAAGAAGAAAAAGTTCTAATGGAATAAAAAGTAAACTGCAACGTCTCTCCCTTATTATTATTTAGAGAAAAAAATAGCACAATCTTTCTTTTTTTTTGGGTGGGGTGAGTTTCATGCGAAACTCTTTCTCTCTTTTTACATTTGCGGCAATTGATCAATTGGCGTTGCAAATTTGAAGTCGTCAGGAAATAGTAATGACGCTTTCGAGTACATTATTCGATAGGCTTGTCTTATTGTCACATCAGCGACGCCGGCAATTTCTCCGATTTCTTTTTGCGATCGCTTGTGATCCGAAGCCTAGAAAAAAGAAATTTTCCGATTAATATTGATGATAATTGAAATTAAATTAAATTAATTCATTTAATTTAATTTTAAATAAATATTATTTTCAATAAATAAATAAATGAATAATTTAATTAAATTAATAAACAATTTTTGCAATTTTAATTTTCTTTCAATTTGAAAACTGAAATTTTTCTTATAATTTGATTTAATCAAATTTTTTTCAAATATCAACAATAGTTTCTATTCTTTTAATTTTAAAAATTGAAAGTATTCTTAAAATATAAGATTCAATAAATTTTCTTTCAATTTTCCAACAATAATTTCAATAATTTCCGTTTAAAACTTCAAATTAGTGATTTAATTTGATACCTATAATTAAATTTTTTTCAACTTTTTGAACGAAATTTCAATTCTTAAAAATAATTGACAAATTACGGTTATAATTGAATAAAACGAATTTTCATTCAATTTTTAAACAAAAATTTCAATGTTTGAAATTTAAAAACTAAAATTAATGATTTAATTTAATTTAATTTAATTTTTTTCCAATTTTTGTACGAAAATTTCAATTCTTTCAATTTAATAATTAAAATTATTGTTTTCACTTGATTTAAATTAAATTTCTTCCAAATTTTTTGAACAATAATGTCAATTCTTTAAATTTAAAAATTAAAATTACTGCCATAATTGAATTAAATAAATTTTCATTCAATTTTTTGAACGAAAATTTCAATTCTTTTAATTCAAAAACTGAAATTACTGTTATAATTGAATTAAATAAATTTTCATTCAATTTTTTGAACGAAAATTTCAATTCTTTGAATTGAAAAATTGAAATCACTGTTATAATTGAATTAAACAAATTTTCATTCAATTTCTTGAAAGAAAATTTCAATTCCTTAAATTTAAAGATTAAAATTTCTTTAGTTTAATTTAAATTGAATTTTTTTCAATTTTTTTGAACGAAACTTTCAATTCTTTCAAATTTAAAGATTAAAATATTATTGTTTTCATTTGATTTAAATTGAATTTCTCTTTATTTCTTGAACGAAAGTTTCAATTCTTTTAAATTAAAAATTATAATTATTGATTTAATTCGAACAAAATATTTTTTAAGATGAAAAATTGAAATTATTGACTTACTTTCATGAAATTAATTTTCTTTTAATTTTTCAAACAATATTTTCAATTCTTTCAAATTAAAAATTTTGAAACTGTTTTTTAAATTTATTCTTTCAATCTCAATATTGAAATTATAGTTTAAAATCAATGAAATTATTTTTTTAAACTGAAAATAAAGAAAATGGGTTTTCCATTTTAATTAAATTAATAAAATTTCTTCAAAATAATTGAACAATAATTTTAATATTTCAAGATAATTTTGAATTAAAAAATCGAAATCATGGCTTGAATTTAACTGAATTATCTTCGAATTGAAAAAATGAAAGTATTGTTTCAATTTAGTAAAGTTTCTTTCATTTTTTTGAATTTTCAATTCAATTTAATATTTAAATATTAAATTAAATTGAAAATTTAAAAAAATCAAAAATATTAAATACATTAAGTTAATTCATTGAAAATTCAAAAAATTTAAAATAAAATTGTAAAATTTTCAAGACAATAATTTCGATCAAAAAAATAATTTAAGATTGTTTGTCAAGAAAAAAATTAGACAAACCTGCGATGCCATGTAAATTGCAGCGGCAGCAACAGAAATTGGCGATCTTCCTGATATGATATTCAATTCTGATGTTTTCCGTGCGATATGTGTCGCGCAACGTTGCACATTATTTGGTAATTGTAAATTGGCGCAGAAACGTGACATAAAATCGCCAGTTGTTATGACTTCGACATTTGTTTGCAGTGCCTTTAAAATTAATTTAAAACATTTGCCAATCTCCTTTTTACTGACACTGCTCACTGCGCATATTTCCTTAAATGTGCGCGGTACGCCTTCCTGGCGACAAGCAATATACAAACAAGCCGAGCATATTGCATTATTTGCACGTCCCTTCAATACCTTCTGATCGTGCACCTGCTTAAAGAGATTATTCGCGCGATCAATTATTGTTTGCGAGAGATTTATTCTGTCTGACATTGAACTTATTTCACGGAATGCGTTGATCAACGTGCGATCCGAGCTGCTCATCTGAAAATTTATTTTTACAATTACTTTCAATTTCAATTTTATAAACTTTTTTTTCTAATTAATTCTTTTGACTTTAAAATCAATTTTTCTATTTTCATTATTTTATGCATTAAATAAATAAAATAAATTTGGATTTAAATAAAATTTGGATTTAACTAAATTTTTATTCAAATAAAATTTTGATTTATTAACTAAATTTAGATTTCTGTAAATTAAGATTTAAACTAAAAATTTGGATTTAAATAAAATTGGGAGCGAAATAAATTTAGATTCAAATAAAATTGTGGGTGAAATAAATTTAGATTCAAATAAAATTGTGAGTGAAATAAATTTAAATTTCTGTAAATTTAAATTTAAATAAAATTTGGATTTAAATAAATGTTAAAAAAATAAAATAAAATTGGGAGCGAAATAAATTTAGATTTAAACTAAAAATTTGAATTTAAATTTAATTTTTGATTTAAATAAATTTATATAGATTCGAGTAAAATTTTCAGATTTAAATTTAGCGACAAATTAATTTCTGAACAAAGAAAAAATATTCCTTACTGTTCGGCGATTTTGATATTTAGAGACGCCGAAATCATCGAAGGAGGCTGCGCCAGTTGCTGGACCAATTATTGTCGATAAATCTGCTCCGCTCAGGAGAGGATTCTCTGGACCTCCAACACGTGAAGGATCGACGCCAGCTTTTTCATTGCTAAACGTTCGCCATTCAGATCCAACATCGATAATTCTATTGAGAAGATAAAAAGTAGAAAATTAATTAATAGAATTAAAAATTATTGAAAACTAATAATCTTAATTAGTCTTAATTTTTTATTTTATTTTTAATTTTACCAAACTCGCTGATTTCTAGACAAAACAACTATCATTATTTTATACTACAAAAATATTATTACTATAATTTCTTCAAAATTATTTTCATTTCAATTCAATTATTCATTTCTAGAATTTTTAACTAAAATTCTTCTCTAAATCAATTATTTTTAATAATTTTTGAAAAAAGTTCTTCTTTGGGAATTTTTAAATCCATTTGTTTACAATTCAATTTAACCTAAAATTATTCGATTATTCAGACATTCTTCAATGAAAAAAATTAGAAATTAAAAACTTTAAATAATTAAAAAAAAATTCCAAATTAAACTTTTTGAGAAAAATTAATACTAAATTTCCTTAACAATCTTGTCAAGAATTTAATTTATCTTTATAGATAATAAAATTATTCGCAGGAATTCAATTATTCTCAAAAAATTTGAATAACATTCTTCGGAAATAATTCAATTATTTTCTAAAATTGACAAAATTCTTCGCAAGAATTCAATTATTTTCAAAATTGATTAAAATTCTCAGCAAGAATTCAATTATTTTGCAAAAATGATAAAACTCTTCGTAAATATATTCAATTATTTTCAATATTAATTTTTACGTAATTTCGATTATTCTGATACATTCTTCAATTAAATATATATTAGAAAATAAAAACTTGAAGAATTAAAGAAAAATTCAATTAAACTTTTTAAAAAAAATTAATTCTACAGAATTGTTAGTTAAAAGTATGAAAAGTTCAAATTTTACAAGATTTTAATTTCAAAACCTATTCAAAATTCAATTATTTCTAAAAATTTACGCTATATTGCTTTCAATATTCAATGATAATGTAAAATTTTAACTGAAATTCATTTTTAAATCAATATTTACTAAAAAAAATCCATGAGAATTCAATTATTTAAATACAAATAAAATGCAAATAAATATTTTATTAAATAATTGAATGTTTCTTGAAATTGAATTTTCATAAAGAATTTTATAAACAAATTTCTAAATATCTGAATTCTCTTGACAAATTTTAATAAAAATTTTAAGAATAAGTTCATTTTTCGCAAAATTTGATTAAAATTTTAATTAAAAATAGTTTTAATTTCTCCAAAGAATTTTATAAGAGCTTTTGAAAATAATTTGAAATTTTGTCAAGAATTTCATTAAAATTTTATGAAAATAATTAAATTTTGGCGAAAAATTTATAAAGATTATTGAAAGTTTGACGAGAATTTTTGTAAATTGTTGAACACAATTAAATTATTCTGCAAAGAATTATATTAATTTTTGAAAATAATTGAATTCTTGAGACGAATTTTATTAAAATGTCTTTTTAAATAATTGAATTCTTTTATGAAATTTTATTGAAATAGTATAGACATTGAAAATAATTTAATTTTGACAAATTTTTGAAATTATTAAAATTTCTACGAAGAATTTTATTAAAATTATTTTGAAAAAAAAATTGAATTATTACAAAGAATTTCATTAAAATTTTGGAAAATAATTTAATTTTTTGAATAAATTTAATTAAAACCTTATATAGAAAATAATACTTTGATTCTAATAAATAAATTGTAGCAAAGATTTTTAAAATAATTGAATTTCTTTGAAGAATTTTAATAAAATTTTTAAGAATAATTCCATTTTTCGAGGTATTCCATTAAAAGTGTATTGAAAATAATTGGAAGTCTGCAATTAGTTTTATTATTCATCGAAAATAATTGAATTATTGCGAAGAATTTTATGCAAGAATTTATTTTTTTGAAAATAATTCAATTCCTGTAAAAAAATTCAATTACTTTTTAGTAAATAATTTAATTCCTGTAAAGAATTTTATGAAAAGTTTTTAAATAATTGAATTTCTGTGAAGACTTTCTTAATTTTTAAAAATAATTGAATTTCTGAGAAGAATTTTAATAAATTTTAAAAATAATTGAATTCCTGTGAAAATTTTTAATATTTTTTAAAAGTAATTGAATACCTTCGAAGAATTTTATTATTATTATTTTATTTTTTTTTTATTTTATTTTTTTATTTTTTATTATTATTATTTTATTTTTATTTTGTTTTCCTGTGAATAATTTTATTAATTATTGCAAAAAAAATTGAATTTTTGCGAAGAATTTTATTAAAATTTTTGAAAATAATTGAAATTCTGCAACAAGTTTTATTATTTATGAAAACAATTAAATTTATTAAAATTCCTGAAAATAATTGAATTTTGCTATTCACTTATAAAGATAATTGAAATGTTAACCATTTTTTTTTAGATTTTTTGTAAATAATTGAATTTCTGCAAAGAATTTAATTAATTTTGAAAATAATTGAATTCTTGAGATGAATATTATTATTTATGAAAATAATTTAATTTTACAATGAATTTTATAAAAATTTCTGAATATAATTGAATTTCGGCGAAGAATTTTGTTATTTATAAAGATAATTAAAATGTTGAAAAAAGGGAAAAATTGAATACAATAAAAATAAGGAAAATAAATAAAAACAAATACAGAAAAACAGAAGAAAAAATAGAAAGAAGTTAAAAAAAATAAAATACTGAAAAAAGTAGAAAAAAAGTTAAAAATAGAAAAAGAAAAAAAAATAAATAAAATTCAAGAACAAAATAAAAAAAACAGAAGCAGAAGAAATAAAAAAAAGTAGAAAAAATGGAAGAAAAATAAAAAAACAGTAGAAAAAAGAAAAAATAGAGAAAAAAGTACAAAGATGTTAAAAAAAGAAAAGTGAAATAGAAGAAAGAAAAATTGGAGCAAAAAAAAATGATAGAAATCGAGCAAATAATAAAACGAAAATAAAGAAAAAAGTGTAGTAAACAAAATGAAAATGTAATTTTAAAAAAAATGTACTTATTTCTGATAAAATATTTACCTGTCTCCGACGACTAATCCGCATTCCGAGCAAATTTGATCACCTGCTCGATAATCTTCAATCAGCGGTACATTCGGATGGTAAGGACAGCCAATTTTATTAACATACGGACTGAAAGTACAAAAAAATAAAAAAATATTACAAAATTCAATAAAAGAACCACAAATCGAAAAAATAAAAACAAAGAACAGTGAAAAGAATGCAAATTTCCTTCCAGAAGAAATAAAGTAAATTTTCATTACAAATCACTGCCAATTAAATAATTATCTACTCTAATTATAATTCGAAAATAATTCTTATTCTTATTAATAATAATTCATTGTAATTCCTAATTATAATGATAAAAGCTTTAAATTATGTTCTACAAAGGAAAATATTTTATTTTCAATTTTTTTCCCCCAAAAGGCCCAAAAGTTTTCCTTCCCTCGTCAAACATAACCTCAAAATTGAATCTGCCAGATGATTGTAATTTTCACACGATTCGAAGGCGAAATTACGGTAAATTTTTAAATGAACGATAAAAATAATCTGTTAATGAACTTACTTTGAGGAGCTAGCCATTACTTGTAGAGTGGAAAAATATGAGAAATTATTTTTATTTTTGAGGAGAGAAAATGAAACGTCTGAAAAGAATGTCAAACTTGATTAAACTCCTGTTTTTATCTATTTTGTTGGCAAAGTAGAGAGAGAGAGAGAGAGAGAGAGGAAGTGAATTGTCTAGTAGTTTCCGTTTAATGTCGACAGGTGTCACTTATTGTCAATTCTGTAAACTCGTGATTTTATTGATTCGAAATAAACGGTTCGTATTTATTCGAGTCTATATTTATTATTTGCTATTTACAAATTACAACTTTGGCTTTGCAATTTTACAATTTTATAATTTAAAATTAAATTAATTTTTTTAAATTTATTTATTTTTTACTATAATTTACGAAAAGTAGAATAAACAGAATTATTATTTAATTATTTTCGAGTATTTATTTGAGACTATATTTATTATTTCCTATTTGCAACTTGGCAATTTTATAATTTTTTAATTATTATAATTATTATAATTATAAAAGTAGTTTTAAATTAGTAATTAATTTACTAATTTACAAAAAGTGACGAAAAGTAGAACAAAAATTCTCTTTGGAAAATTTGAATTTCCCGCAATTCTGAAAATCGGAACGTGGAATTGAATTCGGAATGGGGAACAAAATCGGGGGAACGCCATTCGGCCATTTGCCATTAGCCATTATTGCGAAATGCTTGGACCGGTGCGGTATAAGAAGTATTTTTATTCTTCGTAACCGATTTTTCAGAAAGAAATAAGAAAAGTTTTCAGTGATAATAGTTTTATTTAGATGTTTCCTTTCCATTTTCGTGATTTTCAGGTATTTCGTTCGTCCGGCATTTCGCTAAACTTTGCATTAATTATGCATGTGGTAAGTTGCTGCGCGTCTCGAGAGTAAATTTTGTCCTTTTTTTTCCGGAGAGAACGCATTTAAACAATCGCGTCATTGTCAAATATTTATTGTTTTTTTCACGTTGTAAATTGTAGGTATTTATTTATACATGTTTATGGTCAATATTTTCTTTAGTGTCTTTTTTTAGGTTGTAGCCAAATTTTTTCCGACGAAATTATAAATAAGAACTGTACAAAAGGTACAAAATCTGTTAAAATATTTTCATCCCACGAGTCGTGGGCATGAAATCGACAAAATCGTTTCATTTTTTTGGGGGTTTTGTATAAATTTTTGTCTAAATTCGCGACATTCAGTTCGAAAATAATAGAAAAGTGTAAAGTCGTTGCATTTTTTTTGAGTTTTATGTCTGAATTTTTGTCATATTTATATTTTTTTGACGAAATCGTCGAAATTCAATGAAAATAATAGAAAATTTATGCTTATTTTCGGTATTTTTCTTTCCCACGAGTTTCGCATTGTCGCATTTTTTTTTTTTTTTTGAGGTTATGTGTAAATTTTTGTTATTCTTTTGTCGAAATTTTCGTAATTCAATGAAAATAATAGAAAATTTATCCTCATTTTCGTTTTTTCACGAGTTTTGCGTATATAAAATCTTCGCCTTTTTGAGGTTATGTCTGAATTTCTGCCATTTTTGTCGAATTTCAATGAAAATAATAGAAAATCTAGAAAATTTATACCTTTTCTTTCACAGAAAGAAAATACAATTAGATTTTGACGCATTTTCGTTTTGCACGAGTTTTGCGTATAAAATCGTTACCGTTTTTGAGGTTATGTCTAAATATTTGACATTTTTTTTGTCAAAATTCAATAAAGTCAATACAAAAATAGTAAATTCGTGATTAAATAGTAAAAAAAAAATCGTCGGAATGTTTGATAAAATTGGCAATATCGCATTATTTATTAATTAGGTATGAAAAAAAAGAAAAATTCTCGAATTAATTGTTTGGAATTTGCGACAAAAATCAGAGAAGACAATATTTTCTTTTTTTCTTTTTTTTTTTTTTATTGGTTAGAACACAATTTTCACAATAAAGTATAAAGTACAAAATAGAAAAATATAGTAATGCAGATAAAATAAATTAGTAATAAAAAATTATTAGAAATTGTTAATGAAAATACTTTTAAAAAATGTAAAATTTCCATTGTTTTAATTGTCGGGAAAAAAATACTTGATAAAAATTTTGTTTTTCTTTGTAATGATTTTTTTTTGTGATTCAAAAAAAAAAAAAAAAATTTCCCTTTCTTCAAAAAAAGTGGGAATTTTAGTCAAAAACCTGAAAGAAAAGTTGAAAAACAAGACAATCGTAAATATTTTCTTCTTCATTTTTCGTCTTTTTTGGAATTTATTTTAATTTAATTTCTGCTTTTCAATTATTTCTATTTATTTTTGTCTTTATTTATTTATTTTTCTTTATTAATTTCTTTTTTTAGTTATTTACTTATTCCTTTATTTACTTATTTATTTATTTCTTTATTCATTTATTTACGTATTTCTTTATTTATTTACTTATTCATTTATTTACTTAATAATTTATTAACTTATGAATAAAGTTCTCGCGGTTTCTCGAATGTTTAAAAAAAATATGAATAATTACAGTCAAAAGTTTAAAAAAAAACAAAATAAATATTTTGTTTTTACCTTCAAAATTCGGTTTTTTAATTTTAAAAACTATTTCTAAAAAAAATTCCTGTTAAAAACAATTATTAAAAACAAAATTTTCTATATTTAAATTTCAATTTTTTTGTTATGATATTACATTTCTTTTTTTATTTTCAGCCCTCTCTCAAAAAAAATTCTTTGGATGAATGTTTCTGGAAAATAAATTTACGTACAAAAAAAGTCGGTGTAATTTAAAATGGATTTGGAATTTAGTTCGGAATTCTCGGTAAATATTATCTCATGAATATAAAAAGGTATTTAAAAGTTTTGTAATTTAATATTTATACTTCTTACATAATTATTTTCGTTGATAATATTTTTAATTTATAATTTTAAAATTATTTTAATTTCCAACGTTGAAATTCTTTAAAGTTTAAAAAAAATAATTAAAATTTGAAATACTTTAAGATTTCAAATGTTTTAATTGGAAATATTTTTACATTTGAAATTTTTTAATTCGAAACATTTTTACTTGTTAAATACTTAAATTAAAAATATTTTTAGATTTTAATTAGAAATATTTTAATATTTCAATATTCAAATTCAAAATATTTTTCCATTTTAAATATTTTAATTTGAAATTTTTTAATTCGAAATATTTTTTCATTTTAAATATTTTAATTTGAAACATTTTAATATTTAAATATTCAAATTCAAAATATTTCTCCATTTCAAATATTTTAATTTGAAATATTTTAATATTTAAATGTTTTATTTCAGTTAAAATATTTTTAAATTACTCTGAAAAAATATGTTTAAAAATTAAAAAATTCACATAAAAAATTACTATTTTAATCCATGAGAAATTAATAATGATAATTTTCTCCCTTTTGAGAAAATATTCTCCTCACTCTCATTTTCTCTTCCTCTCTGCGTTTGTCTCCGAGAAATATAAATTAATACACACCGGTAAAAATTTTCTGATGAGTGAATGTGAGTATATTGTGGATTAAGAAAAAGAAAAAAGAAAAATTATACGACTTAATGGCATCATCATAAAATGATATCATTATCACGTTCACGCAATGACGATTTCCTAAGTATATATATATCAGATTGTTTTCTCGATTTCAACTGAATACTGGAAGAGATAATATAATGAATTTTCTATCTATTTTTCTCCAATTATTTTTTATTTATATTTTTTTTTCGCTTATTGTTTTTTCTTAAATAAGAAAAGTTGATGACGAATCAATTTTCTTGAGTTTCGATTTTTATCGTTTTAATTGAGAAAGAAAAACGGTTGAGAGGATTTTAAAGTATTTTATTAAATGTTCGAGAGTATAGAAATTTTTATTTTTTGTTTAGTTAATTATTAATCTTTTATTCTAATTATTATGATTATGATAATTAAGGTGTTTTATTGTATGTCATTTTATTTGCCTAAAATTTTTAACGAGAAATACTTTTAATATCTTTTTTTAAAAATAGAAAATTTGGTGCTAATATTCTATTTCTTCATTATAATTTTTTAACAAAATTTGAAGTATTTTTTTTCTTTTTTGAAAACTTAAAAAACTTTCATAATTTCTATTTCTTTGAAATATTCTTAGTTAAAAAAAGGCATGAAAATGTTTAAAAATTGGAATTGACAGAGAAAATGAAAAAATTTATAAATTTTATAAATTATTTTATAAAAATTATAAATTATAAAATTATTTATTAAAATATTTTAATTGAATTCAGTGCTTCATTTATTCTTTTCAATTATTACTGTTTAAATATTTTAATAAAATTAAAATTTTTTTAAATATTAAATATTTTAATATTGAATATTTTTTTAACATTAAATATTTTAATATTGAATAGTTTTGAATGTTTAATATAGATAATATTTAAAGTAAATATATACTTAATGGTCGAAAATAGCAACTTGAATATTTATTCAAACGAAAATTTTGAGAATGAAAAAATTAAAAATTATTTTAATTAATAAATTAATTAATTAATATGTTTATAATAATTAATTGTTAAATTAATTAATATGTTGAAGTAAAAGAACAAAAAGTTGAGTTTAATTAAAAATTTAAAATATTTTAATTAATAAAAAATTGAATTGAACAAAAAATTAAACATCATTAAAATGAAAAATATTAAAAAGATTTTACTAAATATTTCTGAAGGGAAAAATATTCAACGAATTTAATTAAAGGCAGAATTATTCGTTAAACTGTAATTACCGAAATTTCGTTTCGTTTCATTTCTTTTTTTCTTTCTTTTTTTTTTTATTAAAATGAAGACACATGACACTCATTGAACTATGAACATTTAAAAGGTTAATCGTTGAACGTGTTGTGTGAGGTTGACGGTTCGCGTGCCAAACGGGGTCAAATTAGTTTTCAAAAGCTATTATCTCGCTTGTCATTAATTAAGAAGTCATTAATATATCGATTTGCATTTTTTCACTTTTTAATCAAACAATTTTTCTTTTTTTTTTGTTGATTATATTCAAAAGTCGCTCTTCAAATATATAATAATTTTACTAGGAATTTTCTCTATTCGATAAAGTTTTATGATAAATTTTATATTCTTCTAGAAAAT